AACCGAGGGCTCAATTAATTCATCTACTACAGTGAAGGTATTCGGCAGACATTTTCAAGCAGCAATCTGCCAACAAATCATCTGCCGATTTGGAAGCAAACACAGCATCGGTCGCTATGTTTATAATTCACTGGTAATGTGCGATGCACCCCCTCAAGGTGGAATAAAAACAAGTGTTAAATTTAGTATATCTTTGAACTCTGGAAAAGACTTTAGCGTTCAAAATAATTTGACATTTTCATATATGCACCCGTTCGACAAACATGACCAAAACGTGGCCTCAATCATTGTCGGATAGTTCCAATTGAAAACAATGCATGGACAGTTTGTAGTAATATTGAATTTTGTTCTTGTTACTTGAATAACATATTTTTTCTATTAAATCTTTTGATAATTGAAAAATGTAGAATCGAACTAATGACGTTTCTAAGAAGCAATTTTCAAATTCCCCTACCACTAGGTACCCCACAAGTAGTATGTCAGTATTTTGAAGGACCATGGTCTTTCAATGATGCCATGGTGGATGACCACAAGTAGTATGTCAGTATTTTGAAAGGACCATGGTCTTTCAATGATGCCATGGTGGATGACCACAAGTAGTATGTCAGTATTTTGAAGGACCATGGTTCTTCAATGGTGCCATGGTGGATGACCACAAGTAGTATGTCATTTTTGAAAGACCAAAGGGCTTTCAAATTTAAAGCCTGGGGGAGACCACAAGTAGTATTCATTTTTTTTCAAAAAACCCTTGGGCTTTCAATGATTTCCCTGGTGGATGACAAAAATAGTATGGGCATTTTTTTGGGAAGGGCCCCTGGGTTTTTCAAGGGGCCATGGTGGGGTACCAAAAAAGTAGTAATGTTTAAATATTTTGAAGGCCAGGTTCTCAATGGTGCCTGGGGGATGACCACAATAGTAGTCAGTATTTGGGAAAGGGCCATGGGCCTTTTAATGAACCAAAGGTGGGTCATGAATGAGCTTTTGATTCCCTAGTTTAAAAACGTTCATCGTAATTGTTTTATTTTACCTCCATGAGGGGGAAAATGATGTTATAAAAAAACTAGAAATCAAAAATATTTAATTTTTCAGGAAACAATTTATAACAATGGGTTTTATCTTGCCCCCTTTTAAATTTTAAAATTTTTTTGGGAAAGTTCAGGTTTTTTTTAAAAAACCCGAAAGGGCTACAAATTTAAAAGGGGGGAAAAATTTTAAACCCTTTTTTACGGGATCACTGGTACCAGACTGAAATGCAAATTTTAAAAGAAAAAATTTATTTCCATATTGCTATTTATCTGTATTTCAAGTTTCATAGACAAAACTGATACATTGTAATAACGGACTTTAAAGATTGAATAATGAATTATGTTGATGGATCCAAATACATTTTTATTTTTGCAATATCTTAATTCTATTTGTTACCAACAACCTTTTTTTTAGAAAATAAAATATTGCCAATTCCAAACCCAAACTATTTACCCTCTAAAAATTTTAGAAATAAATTTTAAGTACTTTTGAATTTTTAATTACAAGGGGGAAAGGACGGACGGGAGGACGAACAAACCCAAGGGCGGACAGACAACGGCTTTTTTCTCCCCCTGAAATGACGTCATCTTTTTTTCTTTTACCTGCTTTGATTTCAAAAAATCCATAAATAATTTTTTACCTCATAAACAAAATTTACCCCCAAAAATTGCCCCGGAAAAAAACAAATATTTTAAAAAAAATAAAACCATTATTTTGTAAAAAACAGGGTCGACTGACGGGAGGGAAAACCCAAAGCCCCCTCTGTAAAAAAGTTAGGGGGCCAATAACCATTGATAAATCATGCCGTTTTCCCCGTTTCTGGGGAAAATTTAAAAACATACATTTCCCCAATAGGGTTTAAACATTTGCATTAGAAAAAAACAAGAAATTTTTTAATAAGAAAAAAGTAAAAAAAAAGAATTTTTAAATACAAAATTTTAAAAATCAACCCTTTTTGGCCCGAACAGCCTTCTTTAGGGTAAAAAAATAAAAAAATGACCAAAAGGAAAACACCTAATTTTGCAGGATCCAGGTTTGGGGTGTTGAGACTTTAACCCTTTCTTGCCCGAAACGTCTCATGCCCCATTTAAAATCCCAAAAGGATTTTTTGAACGCTCCCAAGATTTTAATATTCCGATTTAAAACCCCAAACCCTTTTTTAAATTATTTTTTTTATTGGGCCAAAATTGGCAAGACAAATTTTTTTCCCAAGCCCCAGGGGAAAAATAGCCAATAAAAAATTGTTTAAAATTTAAATTTTAAATAGTTTTAGTACTGACTGCGTTTGAATGTCTAACAAACGGGCCAACTTCTTTTTAAATTCTCCTCAGTGATTTGATTAAATTCTCCAGTTACTTACATACTAGCGCAAGTTACATAATCATACTCTTACAGTTTGTAAAAGATATTCATAGTGTTTCAAGAATGTAAACATGAACTAAATGTGAAATTAACAAAATATATACTTGAGTAGAATTACACTATGTACATGTATATAGAAAAATATCACATATCCATTATCCAATCACTACAGTTCGCCAAAGTTTCTCTGCCAATGAAATCGCTCTATTTTGTTTAAATTTTGCCGAAATATTTACCATACTGCATTGTATACACACCGGTCTCAAATATCGTATACACACCGGTCTCAAATATCGTATACACACCGGTCTCAAATATCGTATACACACCGGTCTCAAATATCGACCTGTGTCTTACGACGCATTACTCACCCCAAATGAGGGTAAAAATGACTCCGACAGAAAAAAGTCCGCGTAGGGATGACAATTTTATTTCACAAACCACAATATATCTTTTCAAGTGATTATAATCGTTTATTGCTTTCAAAGGATCACTGTTTTCCAGAGTTTAATATTGCATGTGCAATATTGATAGTTCCAATTCAAATATTCAAAACTACTTTCACTTTCGGTTTTAATTTAAACTAACAATTGACGAAATACTATCACGGGTGTTGAACGAAACTGGATTTTTAAAACCAATAAAGGATTGTCAGAAGAGTGTTTGGTGCATGTTGAGTAAAAATGATGTAATGGCTATTATGCCAACAGAGTATGGAAAAAGTTTAATTTTTCAACTGGCCCCATTTTCGATTTGTTCTATCACTTCGGTGTTCAAGCCGCCATGTAAAAAGTAGTGCGTTCCCATCATGCTTAGCGTGGATTCACACAGGTCAGTAAGACCGGTGTACACAATCAGTAAGACCGGTTTACACAATGTACCATACTGTACAGTGCCGATTTAATGGACTCCGCCTATTTACAGAATGCGTATGCGTGCTTATTATTTTGTTATTATTTTATATGTCCATAGCAAATCTTTCACAATAAATGTCAGTGTTTCTGACATTAATATTGTCAACATGATAGAAATACATGTATTATTATAATCACCTGCAGCAAAAAAGAGAGTGAACAATATCAATATTGCACATGCTGCCATATTATATTTGAATTAATATTATATTAATAATGATATTTAATATCAATTAAGACAAAAATAGTTGATGTTCCTATAACAATTTTATTTAACAGTTGTTTATTTTGCCTACATTTCCCATAGCGACATAGCAACTTAGTATTTAACCGCTTCACAAATACATACAAGTATACATACATCGTGCACTGATACCCTCCCACCCTCCCGAAAAGTTCACGCAGTCATAGTTAATCTGTACAGTAACAATGCTTTTTCTTGGTCCATTTTTTTTTCTTGATAAATCGTTTTAATCGTTTAAATCGACACGCTAATTAAAAAGGACAAGCATATTCTTACAACTGCAGAATAATTTTGCAAGGTTTATAATTGATTTATAAATACATAAATGTATTAATGGTAAATGAAGTATGGTATTATAAAGATGCATTTTTAGATTAATTCAGTCAAGTTTTTTACGTTTTGGTTACGATTTGAATTTAACTAAAAATATTGTTAATTACTTTAGTTTATATTTTTCAGATTTTGTTACAAGAACAAGATGTACTACTTTCCCAGGATGTTCGTTATTTTGGAGAACGATTCTTTAGTTAGTGAAATACGATACCTTGAACTTTTATGATTTCAATTTTTATAGTCTGTATATAAGAAGAGATTCCATATTTTATACGTTTTTGTAAATGTTCTGAACTTATAGGTGGAAAGCGTGCAGTTAATGAGCGTACATATTCGGCTTTTAATTACATTTTACATATTAAGTGGGTTATTTTTATGGATTTTCTCATTAAATTATGTCAGAGCACTTACGGAAGGTGGCTGGTCTTGAGTTTTGGTTTCCTACTACGCCCCCCTCCCACGATGGAGTAGGGTTGCGCAGCCGACTCGCAGCATACTGACAGGGAAAGTACGTTCATAACTGTGTGTTTTCCATGTTGATGTACGTTATAAAGATATGAGATTATTGTCAAGAATGTCATTTCAGAGTACACCGATTTATGAAACGTTGAGATGTTAATGTCATGTATGCTGTTTCTAAGATATAATTATATTAGTAATGTAGATATACGGCAATGCAGATAACAAATTCTTAATGTGAATTTATGTATTTGTTGTTCTTTCTTCCTTCGATTGCCTTTATTATGGGATAAATAATTTATTTACGTTTGAGCGTAGCGAATTAGGAAATAATAGTTGTTTCTTGGCAAACACATTATAATTTTATGATAAAATTTCTGGCAATAAAATAGTCAAATGTTATGAGCTACTTTAATGTTTCGTGTAGTAATGTGGCAGAGTTTAAATTAATCGATATTTGAGACCGGTGTGTATACAATGGTCGGTTATAGGTTATATACAGAATTTTAAGAAACTAATTTTCTCGCTTCACTTCGTTCGCTCGAAAATTAATTATATGTAACCTATACTTATATATTGTCCTTGGTGGCGCGTCTCAGAATAATAATAAAATTCGTTATCAAATATTCGGATTACTCCCCATATATTGACCTGCTTACATTTAACTTCCTAGTTTGTCTATTAGGACAGGAAAATTTGTAAATATGTAAATCGCTGGATTAATTCTAATATTAACATAAAAAATAAAAGTCTGTTAAATAAAATTGAAGTTCGAATAGACTTGCAGGTGAAAATAAGCCAGGAAACTTGGAAAAGAGTTTTAGATTATGTGGCATGTTGTTACACGTTTTGACACGAATCTATAAACAGATAAAGGATTATGTTTTTCAATTGTGTATTTACAGCTACTTTAACTAAACAAAAGAAACTTTTTGATAATAAAAAAACACACACACTAAGTTCAGATATAGTGAATGTGTAATCGTATACAATACATAGATGTCATATCAGCTAGTATTCTATCGTTAAACATATCCAAATTATCGATGTAAGTGAACTATGCACCATGTACCATATTGATCATATTAGTTAATTTATAACTGATAACGTTTGAAAGGTTAGGGTTTACAAATATCAACTGCTTTCCAAAAAATATGCTGGACTATAAACATGATAAATCGATGTTAAGGTTTTTATATTACATCAATACATTTTAACATAATTTGTTTTAGGATTGAAACATTTTGATTCACGAACATTTGACGTAAATATAAAAAATATAGACATATTCCAAAATGGAGGTAACAGGGAGGAAAGATGACATTATGACAATGGATAAGATCTTATGCCAGCCATGTAAAGGAGACGATGATGTAGTACTAGCGGAAGGATATTGTGAAAATTGTAACGAATACTTCTGTAATTCATGCCTGAAGGTCCATCGTAAAATGACGGTCACAAAGAATCATGTAATCAAATCAAAAGATGACATGCCAATAGTTCACGTAAAAGCAGATCCATGTATACAGCCTTGTTCGAAACACAAGTCTGAAATAATAAAATATTACTGTTTTCAACATGATTCCGTGGGTTGTGGCGACTGTATGATTAATGATCACAAAACTTGTAAATTAGATCTAGTTGCAGATGTATCTGATAACTATGCTGACAGTGAGGAATTCAACGAGACAAGAACAAAGGTGGAGGATCTGGGCAATAAAATCACATTGATCAAGAATGAAATCCAAGAAAAAATAAAAAATGTATCAGACATGAAAATCAAAATGATAAAAGAAATTAAATCATATAGGAATGAACTGAACGATTACCTGGACCAAGTTGAGGCAACACTTTTGAAAGAGGTTGATGAACTAAATGAAAAAGATGTTACAATGCAGACAGATCGCCTTCATAAATGCAAAGCACTCGAATCTGAAATTCATCAGATGCAACAAACATTTATCAGTCAAGATGGCAAGGTCAATCAACTATTCGTGACAGTAAAACATGCTTTAAAACATCTAGTCGAGTTGAATGCTTCTTTACAACAAGTATCGCAAGAGGAAATGGTTGACAGTTATGTATTTGTACCTTCTAAAAAAGTCCAAGATATCAAAGTATCCCGAATTCCATTGGGAGTAATTCATGTGCACCAAGAGAAAAGAGTTGTTGATGCAACGCAAACTATACTTGACATGAAGGCTGAATTCGTTCGAGAAGTGAATATACCCGCTAAAGACGAGAGTGGATGTTTGATAACTGGAATGGCTATGTCATCAAGTTCTGAAATCTTATTGATAGATAACATGAAAGAATCACTAACAATCTTTGATATACAGAATGATAGAATAGTTTCGAAACATGCATTACCAAGTGAACCGTGGGATGTAACAATGATCGATACTCATACCTGTGCAGTTACTTTACCCGGAGCCGCAAAAATAATATTTATAGATACGAAAGAGGGATTGAACGACAATAAACTTAGTGTGAAAGAATGGTGTAGGGGTATTGACTACCATGCTGAAAAAATAGCAGTGTCATACACATCTCATCCTGCTTCCATAGAGATTTTAAACATGAATGGAGAAATTCTCAATCTCACTACATTTCCAACGGATGACAGTTATTTTCCAAATTATTTGACCTTCAGTCATGATGGCGAAAACATTTACACATCTGACTATATGCACGGATCTCTTCACAAATGTAGTGTTAGAAGTCCGCTCTGCAAAAGAATTTGTGAGAACCTTAAGGGTCCAAGAGGGTTGGTCATTACGAAAGACGAAAGTTTTCTAATTTGCTGTCAGGCTGACAGTGATCAGCTTAGTATAATAGATCTTGAGACACAACAAATGTTGCCGCTATCCGTAACTCATCTGAGATCGCCTATGTCTATACTTCTCTGTGAAAAAAGCAGAAAAATGTTTATTAGTGACGAAACTGAAGGATGTAGCAATATAAGGCTTTTTGACTGGAAATGGAAGTAACAATACATGTATAAACTTTAGCATTGTCCGTTATAAGTCTATATGTTAACAAACTGACCTCGGTACAAGGCCCTTTTTGATTGCAGGTGCACGACATTTTATGACCATTGCAGAGGATCACAGGGTGATGTCACATGCAAATTATCTAAGCTCAAACCATTTTAGCTTTCAAGTTTGTTTTCTGTACAACTCCCAAATGAGCGGTCATTTTCGACCCGTTTTGTTTGATTTACAGCTAGAGCGTTTTATAGGTATACTTTATGTCTATCGTCTACGCTCTGTGCATTCTAATTTTTTTTAAAAGATTTAATTAAATGTTTTACCTATATGAGTCTATGTAAATTGAGTGATTCCAAGAACAAGTTCAATTTTGATCAAAGGGACATGACTAATGAAACATTTATAGAGGAACACATTTGTATTGCCATTTAATTTTATATCTAAGCTCTACATTGAGGAATTGTATTTCCCTAGGATATTTTTAATAATTTAATTTTTGTTCAGTTCTAGTAAATAAACATGTACAGTGCTACAATTACTACTTATTAAATTTAAGCGTGATCATTTCTAACGATTTATCTGCAGATATATTATACATGTAGTAATCGATTTAGTTATTATACTTATTACCAATTCTATATTGAAATTGTCAATATTTCTGATGATTTCTGATATTAAACAAACAGCATAAAAATTACACAAAAGTTATATATGTCAAGAGAATCGTAAAATTTTGTTTATTTAGGCCTACAGTTTTCATCTTGTTTTCAGCTATTAATGGACCAGGGCCTTATTCATATTATGAATAGCTAAATTTATTTATCATTTTATTGCAGCATTTGTGTTAGAGCGTTATTTAATATAATTCTTCTTGTTCTATGGATAAGTCATTTCTCGCCACATGTACACTATAGTAAAATAGCACATCATCCATTGACATGACTTATGTTAATTCATCATTTACAAAATTTGTTGATTTTGGGAGTTGAGTTCAGTGAATTTTCTTTTGTTTTGTACTGATCTTTTCAAGCGTGGTAAAATTGTTGCGTTTTTAGCTCACCTGAGCACAAAGTGCTCAAGGGTGAGCTTTTGTCATCACTCTGCGTCCGTCGTGCGTCGTGCGTCTGTGCGTCGTGCGTCCTTCAAAAAATGGCGTCAAACTTTTCAAACAACATCTCCTCCTAAACCACATGGCCAATTGCAACCAAACTTTACAGAAATGATCCTTGGGTGGTCCCCTTTCAAAGTTGTTCAAATGGTTCCGGTCTGTTGCATATGTAGGTCATAGGGTCATAGGGCCAGAAAAGGATTTCAAAAAACACAAAATTAAAAAATCTTCTTGTCTGAAAGTACATGGGCCAGAGCTTTAATTGATTTTTGGTATATGGTATCATCTATGGATCCTCTACCAAAGTTGTTCAAATTTTGTCCCTAGTGTCAAAATTGGCCCCGCCCCGGGGGGTCATAGTTTTTTCCTTATATGTATATAGTAAAATCTAAAAAAATCTTCTTCTCTGATTTGGCAAAGGCTACAGATTAGATATTTGGCATGAAACATTGTGTAGTCGACCTCTATCAAGATTGTTCAAATAATGGACCCTAGGGTCAAAATTAGCCCCGCCCCGGGGGGTCATTGATTTTCCATTACATACATATAGTGAAAACTTGAAAAATCTTTCTGGTCTGAAAGTAAAATGGCCTAGAGCTTTGATATATTTTGGTCTATGGTATCATCTGAAGGTCCAATACCAAAGTTGTACAAATTTTTGTCCCTAGTGTCAAAATTGGCCCCGCCCCGGGGGTCATAGGTTTTTCTAATATGTATATAGTAAAACATAAAAAAATCTTCTTCTCTGAATTGGCAAAGGCTACAGGTAAGATATTTGGCATGAAACATTGTGTGGTAGACCTCTACCAAGATTGTTCAAATAATGGCCCTCGGGTCAAAATTGGCCCCGCCCTCGGGGGGTCATTGATTTTCATTATATACATATAGTGAAACTTTGAAAAATCTTCTGGTCTGAAAGTAAATGGCCTAGAGCTTTGATATTTGGTCTATGGTATCATCTATAGGTCCAAAACCAAAGTTGTTCAAATTTTGTTCCTAGAATTAAAATCGGCCCCGCCCCGGGGGGTCATTGATTTTCCCTATATGTATATAGTAAAAACTTACAAACATCTTCTTTTAAAGAACCCAAAGAGCTAGAGCTTAGATATTTAGCATGAAACATCTTCTAATGGGACTGTCTACCAAGTTTGTTCAAATAAAAGCCCTGGGGTCAAAATTGGCCCCGCCCCAGGGGTTCATTGATTTTCCCTATATGCATATAGTTAAAACTTAAAAAAAATTCTTTTAAAGAATGCAAAGAGCTAGAGCTAAGATATTTAGCATGAAACATTGTGTGGTAGACCTCTACCAAGATTGTTCAAATAAGAGCCAATAATTGGCCCCGCCCCGGGGGTCATTCATTAGCTCGACTTTTTTGTTTAGATAGTCAGAGTTAGAACTTACCTTTAAGGATAATGTAATGTTCTCCAAACAACGCAATTCTATATAGTTCTTTACAGAACATTATAACTTGATTCTTTAATAAGGATCAGCCTTGCACCAGTGACCTGGTAACATTTTGTTTTATATCAACAGAAAAAGAAACACTTTGTATTCATTTGCTTTGAATTGTTTGGAATATGAAATGTTTGAATGGTATATTATTTTCCGTTCTATTTGTTTAACAATGTGTTAATTATTTTACAAGTTTTTATTATTTTACATGTTCGTCAATGAAATTTCGCACACTGGATATTGAGTTCTTGTCATTTGCCCAACTATACTATTATTTATCTATAAAAATGATTATATATCATCTGTATGTGGTAGAAAATCTCTTGATAGCTTTTAAATATCCCGGGATACGAGATAGTACTAATCTCAGTAAATGATCGCCTGCTGATAACTTACATCCGCTCATCATCCGCTCATCATTATCTTTTGATGCATGGGAGTTTGACAATGCCCCACCACGGACACTTGAGGTGTGGAGTTACAGCTAGACGCCTTAAAATGCAAATATGAATTGTATATTTGTCAATCCCAAACGCCTGTATAAATTTAAGCTCCATGGAAATGACTTAAGGTATTAAATTAACGTTCATTACAGTAAAGTTGTGTTAAGGATAATTGTCTATAAAAGGAAATTTTATAAATATTTTACAAACTAGAATATTCAGAATACTATATATACCGAAGTTTATATGTATACTATATACGTGTGTGGGGGGAGGGGGTGGGACGTCCTTAGCTGAGTGGTTATGATCGTTGACTTCAAACCAATTGCCCTTCATCGCTGTTGGATCGAATCCAGACAACAACTTTGGACTCTTTCATATAAAGAAGCTATCCTGCTAGCTTATCGGTGCCCGTTAGATGGTCAAAATATTTAATTTCAGCTACTAAATCCGCTATAAAATTCGCATTTTCCGATCAACGTAACACTGTAAAAGAAAAAAAGAGAGAGAAAAAATGCGAAAAAATGACGTAGGCCTACTAGTGCCGTTCGTGTTTGAAATAATGCAAGGAACATGAGGTCTTTCTCCACCAAAGGTGCTTATCGCATTGATTTGACCTAAAATATGGTTAACCATATTCATGTATTATTAAATTATATCCAATAATAAAAAAATAGATTTTTTTTTCATTTTTTGTTATCAAAAATCTTTTATTTTATTTTATTTTGTAATGTATGGATATACTATTACATGAATAACAATTGACATTACGCCGCCTGTCAATCAAACTGGCAGGGGTCTCACAGATTTAAGCCAATCAGCGATCGTTATCAGTTCCACGTTAAGATGCCTGCTTGTGATGAAGTAATTTAATAATTAGATTGAAATTATTTTAATTTTCTGTCAATTTAAAGCCAATATATTAATGTATTTTAAGTTACGAAATATACTGACATAATTGACAGATCGAAAAAGTTACATGTAGTTTATTATACTAAAAGTCAATAACTTCTACATATGGAAATAATAAGTACGAAACATTTATCCATTTACACATTGACAATGCATTGAAAAAGGAAAAGGTTTAACAAACGCACTTTTTTATTTACATTCTATCTATAATTCATAATCACATTACATATTATAAGTCCCAGAATATCCAGAAGATTTTCGTTTATAAAGTATACCGTCAATAACAACGCAGACGTAAAAATCCAAATATAATGAGTAAAAACAATAAAAAATTGGATGAAATTATATAACCTGAATATTTATATTAAAGTTCAATAAATTAACATTAAATATTCAAATAGATCTGCATAATACGAAACTAATACCAATAAATCATGTCTGATAAGATGTATACGTGAATCTTATTTTAAAGAGAATAACGTTGTGTTTTGTCGTGAATCATTTCAAATGTATGTTAACAATACATAATCACATATCATTTTATAAAAAGTTAGCAATTAAGTGCATGCAATTTTCTGAATCAATTTTAAAACAAATTAATGTATTATCTAAACTGACATAAAACCCGGAAATGATTTTAAATTTATTTGTGTCACTAATATAACTTTAATGTTTATGTTTCGCTACTTCAATTTCAAAGTAAAATAATCATAACATATAATCATATACTTTTCTATATATAGCCTCACTTTGAATTTGTAAGATATAATGATATTTTGTTAGTTTTAGATTTTCATTGAAGTAAACAAGAAATAACCCGATCTTTGCAAAACGTTTCATGCGTCATTAATACGTGAATGCAGATATTTTCTTTCTTTCTATCATTGTTTATGTTTAAACCAAATCTTGCAATATTCTATCCTGCCATATATGTTTGTGTTTACAAATATCATTTGTTTTCTAGGGAGAGGAACTATATAAGTTTTCTTTCGTTCGAATCCCTTTCAATTTAATGTAACAATTATATGCATATACATTTAAAATGCAATATACGTAAAATATTGAAATAAATATGTTTAAACTAATGCAGATATTATTATTATTATATATTTTTCTACTTTTTTTTAAAATACCATAATACATTTATAGGCTACATTGAACAATATATCTAGATCTACTATTCAATAAAACCATTAAAAAACATGTGGCGTAATTTGTCAATTAGGTAGACCACCTTTATCCACCTCTGACAATCGCAACTTCTCGGTCCTTTCCGTGTCGAGATGTTCCGAATCCGAATGTGTGATTCTGGCTGCAGATGCTGAGCAAAAATTAAAATTTCTTTGTTTTGTTAGTATTTCTCCTTTTATTTTGTTAAGAAAGTTTTATTCTTAATTATTGAATATGAGGCATGTGAAAACGTAACATATTTTCTTCATTGGGATCACTCGTGTAATAATATTCTTTTATGAAAGTGTAAGGATACTATTCGCCCCGTTATCATTCGCCCTACTTTTCTTTTAACAGTTTAAGTGATAAATTGGACCAGATTGGAGATTATTCACCCCATTTAACATAATCTTATTAACTACATATATAAATCACTGTTTAATGTCAAAGTAAATTTTATGTATCTGCCAAATTTCGACATAGAAGGCTTGGATTATTATAGGAATAAAGTCCTATAACATAAGTTATTCCGTTAGTATCGTGGACTAACCAGTTCTCAAACCTCTAAGCATTCAAGAGGTCTTTTAATGTAAATAAAAATATATCTTTATAAAAATTCTTTACATATGTACACTTTAATCTTTATGTAACATTTCTGTAAAATTTGACTGAAATTCAACTATTAAAAAAGCTCTATTTCCATCTTGGAAAAGCACAACCCTCTGTTTTAAGGGCAGCACGAATTACCCAAATATACCCAAATACACTCAAATATACCCAAATATTGCCCAAATATACCCAAATATTGCCTAAATATACCCAAATACTGCCCAATTATACTAAAATAAATGTTTTATCCTAAAAAAGTGCTGTTTTTATCATGAATACAATATATATTTTCACTAAGATATAATCAACCATACCCAAATATACATTTCCCTATCATTGTGTTTTGAACCAAAATACAGTCTATATGTACACCATTAAAGCTATTTTTTTAAATAACATGGACACTTGTATATGATATGAAATTTCAACAAAATTACACCTTAAAAATGTAAGTGTAGACAACAAATATCATATCTTGATTTAAAATTGCAAGTACATTCATAAAGAACCAATATAGTACTAAGATAAGCAAATGTCACAACTTTATTTTCTTACAACATCGTAACTGCAAATGTGTCCATTTCAACGGAATGAATGAAAATTATAGCAGGCTAAGTCATATTATATTTAATAAATATTTATGTATTTCTCATTATAATCTATATTATTTACAAACAAAAATAAATATTGCTATATTTGGGTATATTTGGGTGCATTTGGGTATATTTGGGTATTTCGTGCCGCCGCTGTTTTAAAACTAACATGGCCTCTTAAAATAAAGAACCTAATCTCAAACCCCTTCAAGTATCTCTAAAATTCTACTGTTTAGTTTAGCCAACGAAGTGATTGTTATATGACTATCACATGACAATGAAGTACCCTACACGATGCAGTTACCTGCTTTAAGATATTTTTGTCTATTATATTCATTTTCACAAATAGTTAATGGTGTATCTATGGGACATACAAAGGTAATAGCAATTTGTATGAAATTACGCTAAGTAATAAAATATGTTATGTAAATATTTGTTCCTATGCACTGTTTTCATTTGACATCAGCAGACATATGTCTGTCAGAAACTAAGCTTTTATGCACACATGTTCAGGACATCATAGTCACTTCTAGTAAAAAAAATAACAGCACATGAATGAAAGGTTTGAGAATAGGTTGGGTGTGAGATTAGGTACTTATACGATACAACGTACACTCCAACGTCGTATCTACTTCTTCATAAGTTCCTTTAGCAAAACGCGCAGCGATTTTGAAGCGCTATATAAACCATCGTAATGTACTACAAAAACAATATTTTGAGTCAAAAGATATGCAGACAATAAATTTAAACATTTTTGCATCAATGTGCAGCAAAAAAAATAAATGACTCACCTTCGAATGTAAATAAATCCAATCCAATACAATACATACCACTTTCACCGCTACATAATGTATATACATTCGGCCATGTTACCTGTACTCATGTGGGCATGTTTTGCTAAAGGAACTTATGAAGAAGCCGTTGGAGTGTACAGAGTACTAACGGAAATGTCTTATGTTATAGGACTAGGATTATTAGAAACTAGAGTGTATCAAACGAGCACTGTGTAAATGCTTAAGATCACATACAACAATTACATACCCTTTAAGTATTTTTTTGGAATGTGTAAATGCCCATAAGAAAATTTTCTGAAAATTAAATCAGTCTTGGGTCAATATTGCCAAACAATGAAAAATTTTCGTCAATATATGATAAAACATGAGGTTGTTCCTATAACCAATAAATCACTTTTTTATTTAGAGATGAAGCAAACATGGAGAACGAAGGCAACAGTTTGTTGGAATTGCCACTAGAGACTGTAGAAATACTAGAGGAAGTTCATATTCCCTCAAACCATGTAGGAAATGTGTCTGACACCCATGTTGATAATGTGGGAGAAATGTTGATCGATGAAGGTACACAAAGCGGAATCTCTGGAATGGAGTCAAACAGTATAGATTTTGAATTTGTGAACACAGATCTAGGGACTGGTTCAGATTTTAATATAGACAACTCCAGTGTTTTTGGTATGACAGAAAATGGGATGGATGTGAGAGAAGACTGTGAGTATTTGTTCAGAGATTCTTCATGTTTTTATGATAGTAACACATGTGTCAGTAAACAGATTGACTCAGGAACTCTTACTCAAAGTGGTATGATCTCGATACCTAACTCGGGAAAATTAAATCTGTACAAAGACTTGGGTCTTAAATTACAGGTCATTCCATTGAACAATCTGCAGTATGTGTCAACTATTCAGACAAGCAAAGGTCTGCATATACTGGCTATACCATCACAGGCATCACTACCTTCTAATTGCGATGATATCACTATTCAACAACTATGCCAGAAGTTAAAGGTTAATTCTCCAGAACTCAGTTTAAACCAGTGTCTAGAAAGTAGACTACAAACTAAGTCACCACCTTTAAAAGTTAACAGTTCTGAAACTTTATCAAAAGTAAAAGCAAAGGCTATCATGAAAAGCAGAATCTCAGTTAAGGATTCATTTCTGTCAAAATCTTCAAGAAAATTAAGAAATTCAGTAAATAAGAAACTAATAATTTGTAGAAATGACTCTCATAGAAAAGGATGTGTTCAAAGTATGTTCAATAACAACAGCTTGGTGAATCAAAGAAAAGATGTTAAAGGAGTTGTAGATGTTATTAAGTCTAAAAATATCAAAAAACACAGAATGGTCTCTATTTTAAATAAGTCAGTTACAAGCAAACTTAAACAAACTCAACATGTTATGAATAGTAATACAAATAAAGAGATCAAAGTCACATTTCATCTTAAAGCACCTTTAGGAAGTGAAAAAGAAAGAACTGCTGGGGGCATTTGTACAAAGTCAAATAGTGATATTTCTAAAATTAAAACTAATGAAAACCAAGAAGAATTTGAAATCGACAGACGAAAAACCCATCAAATTGGGCAAGATTTAGCTGGAGATAATAATAGGAAGACTCTAAGAATCTCTGAAAGTGATCAAATATTTGTATCTGAAGAAAATGCCTTGTCAAAGTCTGCCCATACTTGTATTTCTAATAAAAACCGTGATTTAGATAAAATTAAATTAGACAAAGCTGTGGAAGAAAAAGGTAAAGTAAATTATCTAGGATTAGACAGAATGGAACAAATACAAGCCCCTGAAAATTGTAAGAAGATATTGAAATATGGAGCAATTAGTGCAGAAAATAAATCAGTTGGGAAAAGATTTCAGTGTAAAACATGTTTAACAACTTTTTTGAGACAAGGGCATTTAAAAAATCATATGAAAACTCATTTGGAAATCTTAACAGAACTAAAACGTGTGCCAGAAACTTTCAGAAGTGATTCAAAACACTTTCCAGAGGACAGTCTGACTAAGAAGGAAAAAGTTAGTGTGTATAAAGATGGTATGTTAGAAAAGGAAACACCTCGGATATCCACAGAAAAGGAAATATCCCAGTTATCCTCAGAAAAGGAAATGCCTAATTTATCCAAAGAAAAGGAAATACAGTTGTCCACAGAAAAGGAAATTTTTCAGTTAACTAGAGAAAAGGAAATACCTCAAGACTCCAATGCTGATTCTGGAAAGAAAATTAACAACATCTCCAGCAATGTTTTGACATGTGAGTTTTGTGGAATGTCATTTAAGACACCAGGGAATTTGACCCGGCATAAACTTACCCACAGTATGAATGTAGATAGAAAGGTAGATCCAAATATTACTTTACTACATTTTATGTATATAGTATTCTACCAATTATTATCCTACTTCTTTGAATGTTGTTAAACTTTATACATTTACTAAAGGACAGAATCGACATTGAAAATTTTCTGAGACAGTCTGTCTGTGTCATATATAATAAAGTGAAAAAATGACTGCTTCTAATTCAAAACAAAGAGTATTTGTAAGTTTTGAGGTGGTTGAAAATGCATTTGAGTCAGTTATTTTGAACTGCAGCCACTTCCTCATGACAACCGTCAGAAAGATGGTGGTTTTACTCATATACATTGTAACTATTGGTTAATAGTTCAACCATAAGTAATGATGATAATTGTAAATATTTCTGTACATTAATTAATTTGTATATTGTATATCCAGTGTTGAATAATTTGTAATGGTGTAAAATTTTATGATAGGAAATGTTATTTAACTGAAATGAATATTAGTAGATAGTGGCTGCAAGGTTATCATGTCAGACTAGTAATGTAAGTATTACTTGTCAGAGGCAAGCCATTATTTCATATTGTACATAATAGAGCATTTTAATTTTATTTTAAAGTTTAGTAATATCTAATGTTGATTATATTTATATGTTGTTTGACAGGTGAGGGGAAGATTCCAATGTGATGACTGTGACAAAAGCTTCTTGCAGAAATGTGATTTAAAGAGGCATGTTATAACTCATTCCGGAACGTTTCCATTTACATGCTTAGTCTGTAAAAAAGGTAATTTAGCATGGTTTTGATAATAAACATATAATTTTGTATTACACATGTACTGCAACATTTTACTGCTTAGTAGTATTTTGTGTTTTTCAAATGTAGAGAAATATTATATTTGCAGACATATTATTTTTATTGAATATTTCATTCCTAACTAAAAGGAGTATGGCTTTTGTCAATCAGTTGTTTATAATCTATTCCTCATTCAACAATCTAAATACACATGTATTCCATTTTAGCTCATCTGTCACAAAGTGACAGGGTGAGCTTTTGTGATCGCTTTTCGTCCGGCGTCCGTCCGTCCATAAACTTTTACTTTAAATGACATCTCCTCATAAAGCACTAAGCCAATTTCATCCAAACTTCACATGAATGTTCCTTTGGTGGTCACCTTTGAAAATTGTTCAAAGAATTTAATTCCATGCAGAACTCTGGTTGCCATGGCAACCAAAAGAAAAAACTTTAAATATCTTCTTCTAAAAAATCCAAAGAGCTAGAGCTTAGATATGTGGCATGAAACATCTTCTAGTGAGTGTCTACCAAGTTTGTTCAAATAAAAGCCCTTGGGTCAAAATTGGCCCGGCCCCAGGGGGTCATTGATTTTCCCTATATGCATATAGTAAAACCTTAAAAAATCTTCTTTAAAAGAACCCAAAGACTTATAGCTAAGATATTTAGCATGAAACATCCTCTAATGGGTGTCTATCAAGTTTGTTCAAATGAAAGCCCTGGGGTCAAAATTGGCCCCGCCCCAGGGGGTCATTGATTTTCCCTATATGCATATAGTCAAGACTTTAAAAATCTTCTTGTAAAGAACCCAAAGACCTAGAGCTAAGATATTTAGCATGAAACATCCTTTAATGGGTGCCTACCAAGTTTGTTCAAATAAAAGCCCTGGGGTCAAAATTGGCCCCGCCCCAGGGGGTCATTGATTTTCCCTATATGCATATAGTAAAAACTTAAAAAATCTTCTTTTAAAGAACCCAAAGAGCTAGAGCTAAGATATTTAGCATGAAACATGTTCTAATGGATGTCTACCAAGTTTGTTCAAATAAGAGCCCTGGGGTCAAAATTGGCCCTGCCCTGGGGGTCATTGATTTTTCTTATACAGTTAAACTTAGTTCGCTCGAACTCGGATCGCTCGAATACCTCCCTTCGCTCGAACTCATCGCCCAGTCCCGGCAAAATTCCTATATAATATATATTGTTCTACCTCGGATCGCTCGAACACCGATCGCTCGAACTCTCGAACTTGATCTCTGGTCCCTTCGGCAGAAATATAGTGAAAATCACACCTTTTCGGTCGAACACAAAAAGACAAGTCGACATGTCCTAAATAAATGACAGTCGGCGACACATGTTTTTAACACCTCGTGATCGTGACAAAGGTAATTAAGGTTAATTGATACAAAAAAGAGGTGTTGTAACCGATTTGTTTGTTATGATAATATTGTTAATTTGCCGTTTATGGTAACGATAAAAAGAAATAATAAGTGAAATAAGTGAAATATGCAGAAGTCAATAAAGAATGACGTTTACCCGGACGGCTTTAATTACAACCGTGGTTCATGTAACGTGAATTGTAACAGTGTTGTCTATTTATATTTGTACGTGTGTTTATTTTAGTAAATGACTACAAATAGATGCTGCTGTAAAACGTTGTTTTTTTAAATATTTTATTAATTCATTTTTTTTAAATTAAATTCATCCCATAATAAACATATAAATATATTTTGAACATTGTTCAACAAGTTTGGTCTGATTGCCCAATCGAACTCAACCAATTACAATATGCATGGATATAGATTAACACAGTGTACCGTTAATACTTAATTGAAAACACTGGGATAATAATTCTGAATATGACATATTCGACGAACGGATGTACTAACAAACAATTATATTGACTTATTTATCATTCGATTGATGTAAGTTAGAAAACCTTTAGGCCTATGATCACCAACCTCGGTTGGCTCGAACTACCGATCTCTCGAACAAATTTGCACAGGCCCTCCCGAGTTCGAGCGATGAAGTTCGACTGTATGTGTATAGCAAAAACTTAAAAAATCTTCTTTGAAAAAAACAAATAGCTAGAGTTTAGATACTAAGCTTGAAACATCTTCTAGTGAGTGTCTACCAAGTTTGTTGTGATAAAAGCCCTGGGGTCAAAATTGGCACCGCTCCGGGGGTCATTCATTTTCCTTATATGTGTATTACAAAAACTTAAAAAATCTTCTTTGAAAGAAACAAATAGCTAGAGTTTAGATACTAAGCTTGAAACATCTAGTGAGTGTCTACCAAGTTTGTTGTGATAAAAGCCCTGGGGTCAAAATTGGTCCCACTCCGGGGGTCATTCATTTTCCTTATATGTGTATTACAAAAACTTAAAAAATCTTCTTTGAAAAAACTCAAATAGCTAGAGTTTAGATATTAAGCACGAAGCATCTTCTAGTGAGTGTCTACAAAGTTTGTTCAAATAAAAGCCCTGGGGTCAAAATTGGCCCCGCCCCGGTGACATTGATTTTCCTTATATGTGTATAGCAAAAACTTAAAAATCTTCTTTGAAAAAACCTGAATAGCTAGAGTTTAGATATTAAGCATGAAACATTTTCTAGTTAGTGTCTACAAAGATTGTTCAAATAAAAGCCCTTGGGTTAAAACTGGCCCTGCCCCAGGTGTGTCATTGTTTTTAACTATATGTGTAAAGAAAAACTTGACCAGCTAGACCTTAGATGTTTAGCATGAAACATCTTCTAATGGATGTCTACCAAGTTTGTTCAAATAGAAGCCCTGGGGTTTAAACTGGCCCCGCTCCGGGGGCCTATATTCAGGTGAGCGACTTCAGGGCCATCATGGCCCTCTTGTTTAATATTATGTCCTCTCCATAACTTTTAAACCGCTAAAGTGCAGAACTCAACATCAAGGTTGCTACCCCCCAAGGTCAAGGTTAAATGTTCTTGATAACTTTTTGACTTTATAACAATGCACAAATAATAACTATCATGAGACTACGTGCTTATAATATACATGGCACAAGGTCATGGTCTGTTAAAGGTCAAAAAGTACATACATGTATTCATGTTCGCTGCAGAAGGGCATTTAGCTGTCCTCCAGACTGCATTGTTTGAACTTTAAATTTACATTTTACATTACACAAGAAAAGAAGCTTCTACATGTGGTTAATAAGTAACCAACAGTTAACTGAGTTAAAATGAACAGGATAACCTTTGTCAAGTTTTCAGGGGGGAAAAAAAGGCTGTCACAACATATATGTTTTATTACTTTCTGACGTTCTTAGATAAGTCAAGTGAATGAATACATGTTCTAATTATGAATTTACAAAATGTTTCGGGCAGCCCAAACTAGGGCCAACATTTGTGTGAGCTCAGTACTTGTATTCCTTAATGCCAGCCCCTAGAAATACAAACCCATACTGGCATACACATGTAGTATATATTCAAGAAAATAACTAATATTTATCAACTAAGCAAATTATGTACATAATTTACTTAGTTGATAAAAAGTTGTTTTCTTCCCAACTACTTCTTACATACATATGTTTCATTTTGTGTTTCTATTGCAGATATATTTTACTGTGCACAATTTTGTGTTTTAGGTTTCATAAGGCAAAGTGATTTAAATGTTCACCAAAAATTTCACACTCAAGAAAAACAGTTCAGATGTGGTTTGTGTTCAAAATCTTACTTCCAGACAGGTATTGTATATTATATTAAATGTGACTCTCCATTTTATTCGTCTATATGAAATACAAGTGTATGATGTTGTGCTTGATACATCTCAGTAAAATATTATTATTATTATTTATATATTATTAATGAAGTGTAGTTTTATGTTACATGTATATACACTTAAACATTCAAATATGATTTTCTATAAAATAAACCTGAGTACAATACTAAATTATATTGGACAAGTACATAATTGTAAAAACAATATTGGACGAGGTGACAGCAAAGTCAGATACAGGTTTTGCAGCTGTGAATGTATACTAGCCTTAGCCTGATAGAATCAGTATACATGTAGTACATGTATAATATTGTATGATTGACACCAACAATAAATTTTCTTGACATTATGACAGAATTTTCTCTCGTCCAACTATTAGTTTGATTGTGTAGGAAGCTATAAGCTTATAGACGCAGTCTGTTTAATCTGTTCCTGGAACCAACCAGTACTGAGCAAAAGAGTCAAGGAAACAATGACTTGCCCCTGACAAGGTTTGAACCCTTGCAGCTAGCAATCATTACATTACTAGTCTGACGAGTTAACATTGTTTTCTGTTATAAACACTAATATACATGTGTTATATTAATGTATGCATGACACAGATTGAGTTAGAAGAAAACTAGATGATATTAATGGATATATGTGACAATGTATTTCAGGTGACTTATCTAGACATATGAGAAAGAGTCATGCTGATATGTGTCCGTTTACGTGCCAGCAGTGTAACCAGAAATATACTACACAGAAATCACTCTACCATCACATCAACACCAAACATTGACCCTGGCAGAGCTTTGACTGATTACCCGAGTTTATCTAAAAGTTCATAATGATAAACATACTTATATCTGGTGAAAAATGCAGGTTATATAAACACAAACAAGAGAAAACATTAAAAGTTGTAATTATAATGATGTGGGATCTAGAGAATACATATAGAATATTTGTTTGTTTTGAGCAAACATGCAATATATCACACTTAGAACGAAGAAGTGAGAAAATTGTAATATTGAGGAGCTAGCTCAGGTGAAAATGTGGATATTTTCTCATTTCTAGGTGACATATATAACATATTCATGAAAAAACAAACATTTTCTTTAAATTTTTATGCCTACATGTAAAAAGTGAAGAGGAACAATTTTCAGATCTTATTTTTTGTGAAAGCTCCGTAAACAGACTCGCATGAAGAAGATGATGTCAGTACAACTGCCTACAAGCACTGCATAAACAAAAGTTGTTCAGGTGTAAAGTTATTATTGTGGACAAACTTTTAACAGTTTTTGAGAGATAATGCCATAAGGACAAAACCCAACAATTGATTTTATATCAATTTACAGAATCCTTAACAATAAAAATGTATGCCAACTAAAAGCTATTGTAAGACACAGTGTGAGTGATATACTAAAAGTAATAAGGATTTTTAGCTCACCTGTCACAAAGTGACATGGTGAGCTTTTGTGATCGCTTTTCGTCCGGCGTCAAGTCTGTAAACTTTTACTTTAAAGGACATCTCCTCATAAACTGCTAAGCCAATTTCATCCAAACTTGACAGGAATGTTCCTTTGATAGTCAACTGTAAAAAATGTTCAAAGAATTTAATTCCAAGCTGAACTCTGGTTGCCATGGCAACCGAAAGAAAAAACTTAAAATATCTTCTTTTAGAAAACCAAAAGAGCTAGAGCTATGATAATTGGCATGAAACATCGTCTAGTCAGTGTCTACCAAGTTTGTTCAAATAAATGCCCTCGGGTCAAAAATTGGCCCCGCCCCAGAGGGAACTTGATTTTCCTTATTTGTATATAGCAAATACTTAAAACTCTTTTATTAAAAAACCTAAATAGCTAGAGCTTAAAATATGAAATGGTGTACATTTAGGCTGATTTCATATTTAATAGTCATGTACATGTATTTTGATAAATTATTGGATTGGTTGATTCCATATACTGAAATTTTGATAGTATTTGCCACTTGTTCTCATGCTCCCTAATTTTCCTGAAGATTTTGCATTTATTTCCAGACCGTACATGTGCCTGGCATAATGTTATTTGATTGTTCTGAATGGCACATCATCTGTGTAACTGTGGCCATAAATGCTAATCTTTCTTTGTATTAAATCTAAAGGTTTTTTCGTGTGTTTTTTTTTTCAGTTTGTTTCTTTTTAGCTCACCATATTTTAAAGTACTCAAAGGTGAGCTTTTGTGATGGTAATATGTTCATTGTTTTTATTGTCCACCACTTTAAACAACATACCCACTAAACTACCTGGTGGATTTTGACCAAACTTCACAGAAATGATCCTTAGGTGGCTCTATACAAAATTTGTTGAATTGGTTCCAGTCTGAATCATAAACCGGTCACATGAGAGACATTAAAAATGAAATTTTCAAAAATCTTTACAAAAAAAAAGACATTGACCAGAACTAAGATATATGGCATGCTGGAGTCATTTAGTTTATATAGATGTAGTAAAATACATTTAAATCTTCTGTTGTGACACTGCAATGACCAGCACTTTGTGATTTGGCATGCATCAGCATTGCCTAGTGGACCTCTACAAAAGTTATATATGTCATCCCCCTTGTGTCAAAAAAAGACCCCGCCCTGTGGATCACTTAATTTTCTTGGAAACTTCAAAGCATTTGGCATTACCTTGTGGTCTTCTACCAAAGTTATATAAATCATGCCCCGAGGGTCAAATTTGGCTCAAGCCCAAGGGCTACTTAGTTTTATATTGACATGGAAAGGAAAACACTTTCCAGTATCTGTGTGAACCTGCAATGTGAAGATTTAAGATGTTTTTGCATGTAGCACTAATCTGAGATCCTTTACAAAAGTACACTGTAACTTAAATGGTGCCCCTGTGGTCAAAAATGTCCAGTGTTTGAGTCATTTAATTTTCAAAAGTGATACTCATTAAAATCTCCGGGGGGGGGGGGGGGCTTTTATATTTGGCATTTAGTATTTATTAGTGAGATCATCTACAAATGTATTCATATTTTTGCAGCTTTGATAAAAATGGCAACCTAAACATTATTACTAAATTTTGAATTTAAGATCTTTTCTAGCAATGTATCTCCGGTATCTCTTGTTTAATTAATAGGCTATGGCATGAAGTGATTTGTATCATACCATAAAGTGTACCAATTTAACATTTTTCAAGCTGTAGCTCTGTATTTAGACACAGATATCTGGGTGAAATTTCACATTGGATGACCTGAAATACACTTAGTAATCTAATTTTTGAATTTTAACCTAATTAAGGGCCTCCAAAATGGACCTTATGAACAATATTGTTTGTGGTATCAGTGTATGTATTATACAAACCTTCCTGGTGGTATTGACCTTTAAAAATCTTAATGATAATCAGATTTGCTGCTTTATTTTAATGAAACACCTATGTGAAGGTGGCCCAGACACCTATTATAGTCTTAAAATGGTTCACAGGTGAGCAATCTAAGGCAAACATGACCCTCTTGTTTAATTTTCCTAAAACGATGCCCATATTATAAAGTAAAAATGTTGCTATTTATCACAGATCTGTAATATAAATCTGCATTTATGTGTAATTTGAATTGAAAATAAAGATGTCCATGAACAGTATTTCATGCACTTTGTGGATTTAATGACGCCTGTGTTGTAAGTTCTATGTAGTGTTAAGAAACTAATTGCCCCTTACCTCTGTGGGGTCAAATCTTGCTAGCTTGGAACTTTGGATTATTTTGTGTGTGAGGAAGCTATTCAGCTAGCTTACGGGATGTCGGTGGTTCTGCTTATGTGCCTGTTCTAGCGTCTTCCTCTCCAGTAAAGCTGGAAAATTGTCATATGAATTTAACTGTGTTGATGCGATGTAAATACCGATCAAAAAATAACATAAAAAACAACATCAATAAAATAGTGAATTCTTACAAAATTGGATTTGAATCAATGCGTTAATTTAGACTGGCTGTTTTAACCTCGCCGATTATCAGTCATACAAGTCATTATGTAGTCCTAATTTAGTATTGTGCACGTTTACCAGGTAAAAGTGACCACCGTGTATATCCAGTAACGCAGAAATGTGCAAATAACGCAGAAATGTGCAAAAGTAACGCAGAATTGTGCGATTTAGTGCTGAAATGAGCACCGCGATAAGTAAATGGACCAATGTTGTTTTATTGCACACTAAACTGGAAGAAATCAGTTGGCGAATATGGTTGCTAAGACATTATACTTTAAATCTTATCAAAAATATTTCCATGAAAATGTTTATTTTTTAAGATTATTCGTGAAAATGACGACCTGACTAGCGTTGATATCTTTAAATACAATATTCTTAGAATTTAAGTTTCCACCACATGAAATGTGTTTGTATATTAGCTAGGTTGTCCCTTTGGTCTGGCTCTGTACTGATGGCAAATGCTAATCCTTCAGGTTAGTTTTCAAACAACAAATACTGACAACAAAAAGCCGAATTCATTTTCTTGAGAAGTTTAATTTACATAAAGATCACTGTCACAAAATAGAGTTGGCATGTTCAACTCGATTTGAGTGAGGACAAAGGGGAATTTACAGTCCCTATAATTCTTAAGTGATATGCGACATACGAATTACACATGTATTTTGTAAAAAAATAAGTAGTATGCATTTCAATCTGCATGCCTTTAGATTTGTAGAAAATCAAACTTAATAAAATTTGGAACATAATATTTATAATGTATGTTCCAGATAAAACCTGGGACAAAAAATGTCCTAGGTTAAACTATTTAATGTAGAGATCAAGACTGTTTGGTATAGTGAAAACTTTATACTATTGGATTTTTTTAACTTACAATATTTATGATATATTGTCAAAGTTCCAAAGACACGATGCTTCACTTGTTTTTGGGAGTGCGAAAAAGTAGTAGTTAACAAGTAAGTCAAAACATCCAATGTTCATAAATATCAAAAATCCGAGCTTTAACAGGAACTTTTCTGATGAAATAAATGATAATTGACCGAAATATAGTAGTGAATGTGAAATATGTTTTGAATATGCAAATGAATAATCTAATTATAGTAAAACAAGTGATTGTGTTTGGTGACCTCATCAATCAAAATCATCATTTTTTATTTACTAGTGGAGGTTTATTGTTGCTGTTGTTTATTTTACATTCCTAGAATGTTTATTGGTATGAGTGACGATATTTCTATCCTGGTCATTGCGGATATAGTGAACCCTATATAAAAAAAATTAAATTTTGTCTTCAACAAGTCAGTGTGTAAAGAAAGTGCACAACGATGGAGCATAAGCTCGCAGTTATTTCTTTCTTGTCTATTTTGGCATTTACGAATGGTTTTACGATACTGAGCGTAGATAACGGAGATACTGGGGGAACATGGCATACTTGGCAATCGTGTCCTCTGAGCGTAGATAACGGAGAGACTGGGGGAACATGGCATACTTGGCAATCGTGTCCTCTGGGTTCTTTTGCTGTCGGCTTTGGTTTGAAGGTATACTTAATATCCACGACTATCAAATATTTCTAGTTGAGTGCCAGTTTAAATCACCATAAGATATTTATGTTAAAGACTTAATTTGTAACAGATATCAATTGTTTCAGAAGAGTACTTTATCTTTGTTTTAATACGAAAGAATTTCGGCGTAAAAGGACTAGGTCATAACAAAAGGTTAAAAATGCCTTGACAATAGCTTATGACTTATGGATTGACATATTAAAAGATTACTTTTGAATTTCTATTTGGGTGTATATTGTCCCGCATTTAAAATAATTGCAATGCTCTTATTTTTTTATCAAGTATACATGTATTTCAAGTTGTTGTGCATTACAAAGTCTACCACAAGTTGTCTCTGTCAAATATGGACTTATTAGGTTTTACGTGTTTATAGTTTTGTTCCTCTTCAGATTACTTACGGATTTTTTCTATTTTTCAGAATGTTCATTAATACTTCGTGTAAAAAAATCAAATTTACGCTGTTTTGTCTGCTTTTAAGATTGAAGACTATCAAGAATTTCCACATGACAATACAGCGCTGAACGGCATCAGACTCATATGCAAAAACACGAACGGGACGATTGTTGATCGAAATGTTACTTCGAAAGTTGGACCATTTGGAAAATGGGTAGGTGAAACGGTCTGTGAAAAGATAAACGGAGTGCAATTATATTTAACATCGTTTGCGCTCCAAGTACACAGGATACCGAACCAGACGGAACTCGAGGCATTGTCGCTCTCTGAGGTATTAAACGTAATTAAGTAACTAATTTGTCAGTATTTCACCAGGTTTTATCTTTAAGACATCTCATTTACATATTGAACTGTCCATTCTATGACAAGGGAGTCCAAAGATCAATTTGTTTGGATCACCTTGCAGATCACATATAATATTAACGAAGCATGGCGGCTTTGGCCGATAAGTTGTGACTGGGTAAATTTGCTCAAATTTGGTGTCTCTATTTTTGACTGTCTATTCTTGACTGTCCAGTGACAGTTCAAACACACACGCTGTCCAGAAGTATATCATATTCGTGACTGAAACTGTTTATTTATAATACCTCTTCCATGTAGCATTGAATACACATTCATTTTACAAGCACTGTCGAAAATAGCTGAAATTATTTACATTTAAATATATGAATGATTTCCATTTATCATGAAAGTACCATTCTATTCATTGAAATCGTTCCCTTCCAATAAATGTTATTGAACTGTTCTTGGACGTTTTATGTTAAATATCAATGTGATAATTAATATTTTTACAGGGAAACGATGACTTGTATGACAACACAGCAGTGAATTACGTCAAATTCAAATGCCGGGATCTTGCCGGGAACCAACCGTCTCGTGACTTGATAAAAGTGCCAAGGCGCGGGAAAATGGGACAATACGGTAACTGGAGTCCAGAATGCCCAGCTAGCACAGCTTTTCGTGTACTCAGCACCAGAGTTGACAATTATGAATATAGAAATTTTGTAGATGACACTGCCATCAACGACATTAAGTTTTACTGCGATAATGGAGAATTTTAATTAGTTTTTTTAATTATTCATTCTGACAAACAAAAAACCCTAAGCATGACAAATTTGCGTTCAAACAACTATTTCAATAAAAGATGTCATATTATAACATAATGAAAAATTATGAAGAAATATAAACAGCAAACAATTGACATGCTGATGAAAAATACACAATGAGTGTAATGTGGTATAATTATGTACTATGATTAATTTTCTAAATACAATATAATGCGGACACAAATAAAACTTAATATCTATATAAGTTCTGGCTATTAATTGTTGTTTCTGATAAGCAGATTTCAGAAGTTAGTTTCCTATAGTGTTTCTGAGATGCTAAACGATTTCATTTTCAGTCTATATTTAGTCCCGTGTGGCCTCTGTTTTGCGCACTAAGCTACCTTTCTGCTAGGTCTAGAAGATCAAATAATATTAATAATGTACCCGGGATCCAAATTGGCCTCTCCCAGAGACAGGCTTAAATAAAATGCTTCTCGTGCCATTTCATGACCAAAAGGTTAGATATTTGGATCAGTGGACCTCTTTTTTTTAACTTTGCATAAATTTAAAAGCTTATACAGCTTAGAAAAAGATATTTGGGGTACGTGTTCCTTTTTCTAACAGATCATGACATTTTCTAGCAGTGAGTGGTCCAAGGCCATCATGAGCCATTTGTGTGTTGTTGTTGTTTGTTTTTTTAGACTATGAATAGATTTTTCTTATATAACTGATGCATTTTTTTTGTTTAAAATTCTGTTGAGCAAAAAAAAGACAGTACAGAACACTGGCTATCGTACATGCACCGTGGCACCGGGTTAATATTATGTAGGCGCTAATATTAAAATAGAATCTGGGACATTTCCAGAATACAATGAAATTCCAGATGTATAAAATATGTACATTAACTTATAATTGTCTTGGTTGGCAAGATCAGCCGGCACATGGTTTACAACCGTTCACTATTCGGTCAGTATTTGAAATTGTGAAAGGTTTGTCCTAACTGAACATGGACAAGTCAGAATTGTAACGATTTATTGGCCCCTTGCGTATATGTACTGCCCAATTTAGTATGTGTTCTCACAGGGAGCTACACAATATACATTGTATGTTTTGGTTTTGACCTTACTGTCTGTGCATAATTATAGATGTAGTTGTCTCTAAGGACAAAGATGAAAGTTATCATTAGCCCAGGTTGAACGAACTCATAGTTCTTATAACATAACATCAAATTGATTACGAAGCATTTTTTGGGGTAAAAAACGATTATTTGTACTTTCTACAAATATCTGAATTATTTTAGGATATGCAACTCGTTCTTGTACTTATTTGAAACTTTGATTGAATTGCCTCCCTTGTTAATGCATTATATCTGGTTATTGCAAATAAACCCTCAATTTTCACATTTATTGTATGATAACATATAATAATCATTTAATTTACCGTAATGATTACATATATATTTCTTGATATCTTGTAGAAAATAAAGAAAAACAAAATATTTTATGAAAATTAACTTTAGGTTGAATGCGCATGCGCATACAAGGTAGAAAAAAGAAAACATGGCGACAGAGAGAAGAAAGCCTGGGTCAATAATTAAAGGGATGAAACTGACGGTTGTTGTGGAAGAAAGGGTCAATGATGTATTAGTTGTTGTTCTAGAACATGGTTCTAAAGTGTACAGAGGTGTTCTCTTGGATGCTAATAAAAGGTATAAAATTTAACGAAGTTCTCAAATTTATTCCAGTGTCAATTTTATGAAATTATTCCTTCAATTTAACTTAAAATTTCCATGTTCATATTCTACATTACAGTTTATTTTTGGTTAATTTCATTTCAGAGGACTGCCTTCAGGGATTTGCAGTGCTTTCAGTAATGCTACGAATGACAATATAGAAGAATCAGGTGACAACAGACCAGGTTACCCCTCTGACAATACTGATAAACCAGTTGACATGCCTGCTAGTGTCTTCAGACATACATATTTTCCTAGCATGCCTAATTTAGCTACAGGCATGCACAACGTACCAGATCGTGCATTTCCAAAGCTTGGTAATAATAGAACTACGAGAAACATTCGCTTAAGGCCACGTCAGACACTTTGTAGTAAATGTAAATCAACTTGTTTAGATTCTCAGAATGGTCCTGTTCCAGTCAAGTCAGCTCTAGCAACTTCTGCAGCGAAACAACAGCTAGTGAGTCCATCAAAACAAGGGTCTATTAAAAATGATTCAAAATCCATTAGGAAAAGAGCCAGTGCTATTGACTTGGAACCCAAACCTACAAAACTAATAAAAGTTCATAGTGAATCATGTTTATCATCAAAATTAACTCGCTCTAGTCCCTTTATAAAAATTTCAATCGGAGAAACCAATGTCATGAATATTCCACCTAGGATTCATGAATTAGATAGGCAGATATCATCAGATACAGAAAAGAGTGCTGATGAAGATACAGGGGAGTTTATAGATGCTAATGATATTGATAGTAAAGATAAGGTACAACCTAATTCTTACAAGAGGATGTTAAGAGGGTCTCAAGATGAGCGCACAAGTTCTGATGAAAACAAAAGTACAAGAAGCTCTTCATTACAGAGAAAAAACAAAAAATCTAAACACAAACCAAAAGTTTTTGATGAAAGTGATGGTGATATGCCACCAAACATCATCATAACAGAAAACATTGACACCAGTGAAGATAGTGAAGATTTAAGTGAAAATGAACCAAGAAAATTAGATCGAGTTAGGCCAAGGTTGATATATACCTGGCGGCAGAATAAAGGTCTTTCACCAATGCATGGATCTAATTCAAATGAAAGTTTAGAAAATCTTAGATCTGACTCACCTATTGAACTCATTACTAGTCCACTAGAAAACCTTGACGGTACTGCAGTAATTGAGCCAGAAGCAAAGACTAATAAAAGAAAGAAAGGTGCTCTCAAAGAATACAAACTAAGGAGTAGATCAAGGTCTTTGGACTCTAATCCAGAATATGAGATTACTCAAGACTCAGCATACATATCATACGAAGACCCGAAATCTGTTTCAGACAGAAGTGAAGGGTGTTCTACAGACCCAGACACTACCTCTGATTCTGACAATAGTGATTATGGTGATGGTCCACCTGGAGATGAGCATGTAGATGCCTTTAAACCTTTAATGATGAAAATTCACACAAGTAGTGTTTCAAAATGTAGCATTCCTGATGGACGAAAGTTGCAAACTGGTGATATAGTGTGGGGTAAAGTGAAAGGTTTCCCCTGGTGGCCAGGTAGAATAATGACCATTAATGTTAGCCAAAAAGATAATGCTGTAGTTATAAGGCAGATTGCTCAAGTGGCATGGTTTGGCTCGTCCACCATGTCTCATATATCGTGTTCAGACTTGTACCCATTTCTTGAGGATTTTAAGGTGCGATTTAATAGAAAGAAACGAAGTACTCCATACAGACGTGCAATTAAACAGGCAACACTTGCGGCACAAAGTTGTCAACCTCACAGTGATATTGACTTGGAAGACTTTGATGTATCATGATAGCATGAATATACTTTTAGTGTCAAACAATTAATATGTAAATTTATGACATTTTTTGTGGTGTCATTTGTTTAAAAGATTTTGTTTGTATAAAAATAGATCTATCGAATATATTTTAGTTGCAAAAGACTTTAAATGATTATTCAAGATTGTTATTGTGTTCATCAATCATCTAATGATTTTTCCTGAATAGAAGATAAAATTGTTCTGTTCTATATAGTAATTTTCAGGTCTCTAGTGGAACATTTTATGCCCCTGGGCATATAGTTATTGAACCGTCTGTCCGTACGAGATTAACCTAGAACGGCAAGTTGGATTTTTCTTAAGTTCTACCTGTACCAATGGCTTCATTAATTTACACACTAATCCATACAAAGTATATGATCTGGGCAAGTTACATGACTATGGCTTCAATTTGCACCAAGTTATGGCCCTTTTCAGCACTTACAAAATGTATAATGGTTAACCTAAACCGGCAAGTTGGAAATATTTTATGTTCTATCTGAACTAATGGCTTAATAATTTTCACACTTACTTATCAATACAATGTACATGATATTGCCAAGTTATATAAATGTGACATCCATTTTCCCAGTAATTTCCCTTTTTATCACTTTGAAAATAGGGCCTTGTATGGTTAACCTATTCCAAGTTGGATTTATCAAAAATTTCACCTAATTACTTAATCTATTTAATGATATCTTTCATATTTGGTAGATGGATACCTTTAACCGTCCTCTAATTTTTTGTGGCGTTAGGCCAAAGTCTAGGTCAAGGTCACTTGTGTAAAAAAATAAATCTAAACATTTCTGCTCATACAGCCTTTATTTTTAAGTTAATGTTTTTATGTTTATAGTAGTCATACCAAGGGAGGTCCTCTTCCTTTTCTTTTAGTGGGTCAAGGTCACCAATGTCAAAAATAGATTTTTTACACTTTTACAGGTGTATTAATCTTATTCTATCAACAGATGTCTTGTATATTTTGTAGGAACATAAAATTGAGGTATTCTCATTTGGGTGGAGGTAGGGTTAATAGGGTCAAGGTCACCAGTGCTAAAAATAGATTTTTACACTTTTGCTCATGCAGCCTTTATTTATTGACATATTTGTATTATAATTGGTAGGAAGATAACTTACATGGTATTATTCCTTCGGATGGGGGTAGGGGTCAGTTGGTCAAGGTCAAGGGTGCCAATTACAGATTTCTACACATGATTGGTTTTTTTTCCATACAAATTAGCTACTTCACTCTCAGGGGTCAGTTGGGTCAAGGTCAACAGTGCTAAAAATAGATTTTTACACTTTTGCCCATACAGCCTTTATATATTGACAGATTTATTTCATATTTGGTAGGAAAATAAGTTGCATGATATTCTTCCTTTGGATGGAGATAGGGGTCAGTTGGGTCAAGGTCACCAGTGCTAAAAATAGATGTTTTACACTTTTGCCCATACAGCCTTTATTTATTGACAGATTTATTTCATATTTGGTAGGAAAATAACTTGCATGATATTCTTCCCTTTGATAGAGGTAGGGGTCAGTTGGTCAAGGTCAAGGGTGCCAATTACAGATTTCTACACATGATTGGTTTTCTTCCATACAAAATTAGCTACTTCACTCACTAAAGTTAAATTATTGACAACAGTGAGCGCGGGGGCTTTGGTGTTTATCAAACACAGATTTTTGTTTTCTCTTGTGATCATCATTTTAACAATGCTGCATGTAGCTTTTTTACCTTTTATCTGTTTGTGATTTAAGTTATGTTTCTAAGCTTGGAATCACACATTTTTAGTAAGTTTAAAATGAAATGTAAACTATTAATTCAATTCAAAAACAAAACAAAAAACACTGTATATAATTAAATATCTATTTCACAAAATTGTAAAAAAAAAACAGAAAGAAAAAAAGTTGCCTCGTCTGTGGTTTGAGCCTGCGCCCCTCAGTTTCAATGCAGCTGACTGTACTTCTAGCCTATTTGAATACTTTTCTCAGCATAGGTAATGCATACCTAATGCAAAAATTTGTTTTACTGTAATGCCAGGGGAATATATTTAGTGAGAAACAGTTTAGCATAATACACATTTAAATTTTCACCTGTATTGACAGTTGACTATTGTGGACATCTGTTATACAATTCTTAAACTATAGATACTTTATTGTTTGGTTTGATTTTTTTTATCATGTACATATTTCTCTCATTTAGAGGCATGTCCCTTTAAATAAGATTTATTGTTAGATGATAATTTACTCAAATTCCATTATTAACACAGTGAGGTTATTTTGAACATCTTCTCACAACTAAAATTATTTTGTAATTTATAATAGTGTTTTATTATGTTTTTTTTTTTTTACTGTATTGTTATTAAATTATTGTAGTGATGTAAATGTATAAACAGACCGTGATATCTCAATATACATGTATAACATGAATGGTCTGACTGTATAAGCTGGCTTTATATATTAATAGAGGCTAGGTAGTGTAATCTTCATGATGTAGAAATCTAGACAAGATGACATCACACCAGAATACACTGTTGCTTCTGTTTAATAACTTCTATGGTAAGACAACTTATTTTATGAACTTTTCTTCTTCTAATGTTTAGAGATCTGTAAGATATCTTGTATGCTTTCCATGGATGAGAAAATAGATTATATACATGTGATATTACAAATAATGAGTGACTTGTTGGAAAAATTATTTTAATGCTGAATTTCCAATAAACTCAAATGAAATAGAATTTCTGTTTACCTCCTGTTATGTATCTCATGCAATATTTTTTTTTTGAGTATTTGATGTACATAATGTAAATTTAGTAACTTTAATAACATATTTCTTAATTTTATGAGCATTTTTTTAAGGAAATGAAGATTGTTTAACATTGTTTAATAGGTTAATAAAAGAATCCATGTTAGAGTGTACAATATTACTACAACTCTATCCTTGATCTATATTTTCATGTTTCAAGTTCTAGTGTTTACATCTTACCTAAAATGTATAAATTTTATAGAAATGTTATAAAAATTGTATTAGCATTGGCTAAATAATCCACAAAAATATCTTTAACCATTGTAAACTTTTTTCCTCCTTTAAAGTTTTCATTGACATCAAATTGGATTAATCCAAGGAGTAAGTTACATTATACAAATATGGACTTTTTAGCTGTTGAATATGATGTGATATGTACTGAAATAATTAATATTGACCGAGGCGATAGCCGAGGTCAATATTAATTTTTCAGTACATATCACATCACATTCAACAGCTAAAAAGTACATATCTGTTTTATTATATAATTTATAAATAGCTTTTATATGGCTTATCACATCTGCTATTGCATATGACGGAAGCTTGTCTAGTGTTTCCATAATTTGGCCCTTTCCATTGGTATACTTAACCCTATTGTTCTTAAAAATGAAAAACGGTAACTAAAATAGACTAATTTGACTCTTATGTACACCCAACTCAACGTTTTTTCAGAATAATAACATCAAACTTGGTGTGACATCACGTGAAAGTCACGTATCTTTTAGGGATTTCCAGAAAATCTATTTTTATTTATGCTCCCCGAAAAATTTCGAGGGAGCATATAGTCGGCGCCTTGTCCGTCTGTCCGTCCGTCCGTCTGTCCGTTCGTTTTCTTGTCCGGAGCATAACTTGAAAACCCTTGGAGATAATTTGTTCAAACTTCATACAGTGGTAGAGGGCATTGAGGGGGAGTGCAGTGTCAAAGAACCATAACTCTATTTTGCCCGGTTTTTGAATTATCTCCCCTTATAGAAAAATCTTGTCCGGTGCATAACTCTAAAACTATAAGAGATATCAATATGAAACTTTGTAGGTGAATAGATCTCAATGGGTAGATGTGCAGTGCATAAGAACAATAACTCTTTTTGTCCTAATTTTGGAGTTATTGCCCTTTGTTAATTTCAACACTTTGAACTTTGTCCGGAACATAACTCTAAAACTATAAGAGATATCAAGATGAAACATTGTAGGTAGATAGATCTCATTGAGTAGAAGTGCAGTGCAAAAAAACCATAACTCTGTTAAGCCTCATTTTTAGCTCGACTTTTCTATGAAAAGGGGAGCTATCCTACTCGCCCCGGCGTCGGCGTCGGCGTTAGCGTCGGCGTTGGCGTCACACCTTGGTTAAGTTTTTCGTACCACCCCACTTTATTTCAGAAGTATTACAAGTATGGCTTTGAAACTTACCATACTTGTTCACCATCATAACCTCCATCTACAGACAAGAGTACATAACTCTGTCAAGGTTTTTGACAGAATTATGGCCCTTTTTTGACTTAGAAAGTGTATTTGAGCTTGGTTAAGTTTTTTGTACCACCTCACTTTATTTCAAAAACCATTGGAGGTATTGCTTTGAAACTGACCATACTTGTTTTACCATCACGACCTTCATCAACAGACAAGAGGACATAACTCTGTCAAGGTTTTTGACAGAATTTATGCCCCTTTTTGACTTAGAAAATACATTGAATATGGGTAAAATCCACTTATTGCCTTAACCCTTTGAGATATTGCTTTGAAACTTTTAATGCTATTTCACATCATTACCCCCATCTGTACGCAAGAGAAGGTAACTCTGTCAAGGATTTGTTTTTAAAAATTAAGGCCTTTTATCGACTTACAATCTTGGTTAAGTTTTTAGTACCAGTCCACTTTTTGACTGAACTGTTTGAGATATTAATTTGAAAGTTGGAATACTTGTTTACAATCATGATTCCCAAACATGTCCAGGAGAAGGTAATTCTGTCAAAGATTTTATTTGAATTATGGCCCTTAACTGTCAATGTTTTGTATTATAGGCTCAACTCAGTTTTTTTTTCTTTCTTACCAGCCCTCTTTTGACTTAAACATTTCAAACTTTGCTGCAGTGTTCAAGGGTATCACACAATTCAGTAAAATAATTCTTCACTAAATATCTTAATGCTCATGGCCATTGTTCACTTAAAAAATACAGAGATTCTTGTATTGCCTTTTACTGCAAAAACTTTTTTTATTGGCAAGCAATAAAAAAGTCGAGCGCGCTGTCTTACGGACAGCTCTTGTTAAATTATCTCCCCTTTTAGAAAAATCTTGTACTGGACATAGCTGTAAAACTATAAGAGATATCAACATGAAACTTTGTAGGTAGATGTATCTCAATGGGTAGATGTGCAGTGCACGAGAATCATAACTCTGCCTTGCCTACTTCTGGAGTTATTGCCATTTGTTTATTTTTACTTTTTGAAGTTGTCCAGAACATAACTCGGGAAACCATAAGAGATATCAACAAGAAACTTTGGAAGTTGATAGATAACAGTGATTAGAAGTGCAGTGGAAAGAACAGTAACTCTGTCTTTCCTAATTTTTGAATTATTGCACTTTGAACTTTTTCCAGGGACATAACTCTGAAACTACAAGAGGTGTACTTTCCTGTGTCCAAAACCTATTTGGGGAGCATCACCCGGCTCAAACCGGGCTCTTGTTAGAAGAAAAACCGGTGACTATACTCTGAAAATCTATTTTTAGGAAAAAAAACAGTGAATATACTCTGATATTGACCTGTTTTTTTTTTTACAAAAAGTTGCTTGTTAGCCAATCAGGGAAAGGCATTTCAAAGCTATTTATAGATTATATATAAAAGGAAATATTTACATGGATTAAAATTAAAGATACACTATGCTCATCTTTGGATAAAATACTGTTATTGCTGAAATTTATTGAAATCTAGAAATTCTTCCTGAATATATCTTATTTGAATAAGAGAATGCACAAAATGATGTTTAGGAAGTTGCATTCCACTTTACTGGTCAAGTTAATAAGGTCTTTTCTTTAAAAAAAAACCTGCCAGTTATTCAAACTGTCTTTACCTATAGTGTGTAGATTTTAATATGTTACATATCTTCTCTGTGTGTTCTCAAATTTAAAAAGAGCTTGCTAGGCAGTTTAATGTCAGTATTTTCAAATATCAAATTTCAGCATAGTATATCTTTAAGTTTAAAAGTTTGATTTTGTGTTACAACTCATTTGGAAAGCATTTTTAGCTCGACTATTCGCAGAATAATCGAGCTAATGCAGTCACCCATTTGTCGGCGTCGGCGTCGGCGTCCCTGTGGTTAAGTTTTTGTATGTAAGCTGGTATCTCCATAACTACTGAAGGGAATGGATTGAAACTTCACACACTTGTTCTCTGTGATTATCTAAGATGATTGGCACAAGTCCCATAACTCTGATTTGCTTTTTTTCATAATTATGCCCCTTTTTCGACTTAGAAATTCTTTGGTTAAGTTTTTGTATGTAAGCTGGTATCTCCATAACTACTGAAGGGAATGGATTGAAACTTCACACACTTGTTCTCTGTGATTATCTAAGATGATTGGCACAAGTCCCATAACTCTGATTTGCTTTTTTACATAATTATGCCCCTTTTTCGACTTAGAAATTCTTGGTTAAGTTTTTTGTATGTAAGCTGGTATCTCCATAACTACTGAAGGGAATGGATTGAAACTTCACACACTTGTTCTCTGTGATTATCTAAGATGATTGCCACAAGTCCCATAACTCTGATTTGCTTTTTTCATAATTATGCCCCTTTTTTCGACTTAGAAATTCTTGGTTAAGTTTTTGTATGTAAGCTGTTATCTCCATAACTACTGAAGGGAATTGATTGAAACTTCACACACTTGGTCTCTGTGATTATCTAAGATGATTGGTACAAGTCCCATAACTCTGATTTGCTTTTTTTTTCATAATTATGCCCCTTTTTCGACTTAGAAATTCTTGGTTAAGTTTTTTGTATGTAAGCTGTTATCTCCATAACTACTGAAGGGAATTGATTGAAACTTCACACACTTGTTCTCTGTGATTATCTAAGATGATTGGCACAAGTCCCATAACTCTGATTTGCTTTTTTACATAATTATGCCCCTTTTTCGACTTAGAAATTCTTGGTTAAGTTTTTGCATGTAAGCTGGTATCTCCATAACTACTGAAGGGAATGGATTGAAACTTCACACACTTGTTCTCTGTGATTATCTAAGATAATTGCCACAAGTCCCATAAACTCTGATTTGCTTTTTTACATAATTATGCCCCTTTTTTCGACTTAGAAATTCTTGGTTAAGTTTTTGCATGTAAGCTGGTATCTCCATAACTACTGAAGGGAATGGATTGAAACTTCACACACTTGGTCTCTGTGATTATCTAAGATGATTGGTACAAGTCCCATAACTCTGATTTGCTTTTTTTGCATAATTATGCCCCTTTTTCGACTCATGAATTCTTAGTAAAGTTTTTGCATGTAAGCTTGTCTCTCAATAACTACTGAAGGGAATGTATTGAAACTTGAAGAGTTTGTACCTTTTCGGACAATTTTATGTATTCATATAGGTAAGCATTATTATACTCAATGAAACACCCTTGTGACAAATTTTCGAATAGTCGAGCGTTACTGTCCTCCGACAGTTCTTGTGTATATATACATTATGTCATTAAGTTTTGAACTACTGCATTATGCCGTTGATTTTTCAGCTATTGCTGAATTGTGTTAGAAGAAGTTTGGTCATTTATGTTTAGAAAATTATTGATTACTTGCAGATATTAAAGTAAAGACTGGCATGAAATCCAGGAACATGTTAGTTAAATTCCTCTCCTTATATTATTTATCACATAAACCGCTGTGCAGAAGTGTAATAAAGCCATTTAATAAAAACGATATTACACTATAGCGTGTAATAACACTTTGACGTGACGTCATTTGCGCTATATAGAAACATAGCGTTAAAGCGCGCTAATGTTAGCGTTACACTACGTGCGCGTCATTGAAAAATTACTCATTTTAACAGTTTAAAGTTCTTATTTTATATATGTGATAAATAGAATATTATATTCGTGTAGATTCAATACTAAATTTATTGAACTCGTTGAATAAAACAATATTATGCTCGCCAGAGGCTTGCATAATATGATTTTATTCAACTTGTTCAATAAATTTAGTATTAAACTACACTCATTCAATATCCTCTATATACAGTTAACAAACTTATCTGTAATCTAAACATATGCAGGTAAAGATTATAAATTAAGTTCTACTAAGATAGGTGGATTATCCTGAAACAATGCAGGCATATATAAATTAAGTCACTTCTTGTTTGTAATAATAATGATATTATAGTACATGTATATAATGATACAGTTTAATACAATAAGCAAAAACCCAGAACTGTCTAATTTTCTTGTTAATGTTATTTGGAAGTTAATTGTGCATATTTACTTAAGTTAAATAAGTGGAATTATACCACCAGTTTTAAAATAATTTTAAATTATATTAATATACATACATACATATATATGTTACAGGCATGTGTAAAAACATTTTTTTTACAGGAGAATGCTGTTGTTTAAATTGTATATAAGATAACTGCGTATATTTACATTTTCATATTTTTACATACTTTTGTAGTAATTTCAAGTTTTAAAGAAAGGTTCTGTGACTTTGATATACCTCTGAAATAGGGAACAGACCTAAAAATGTTGTACTGTTGTAGGCATAGTACTTGTTTTTATATAATTATATATCATAAAGATTCTGGCCATCCTAGTCATGAAAATTATTGTTTAAAACCAGATTGTATTCACATTTATAAATTGTATAACTTAAAAAGCAAATTAAAAGTGGAAATATAAATGAGATTTGTTTATTTCTCTGTTGTTATAATATAGTGATAGAGTTATTTTAAGTCAAGCTGTTGGAAGAATAATGAGGCTCTAGAACCTAATGTTCCCTCAGGGCATTTCTGTAACACCTGTACCACAATATACAATGATGCTTTTTTTTTTTTCTGTTTTGGGTTTTACGTCACATCGACACAGTATAGGTCATATCGCGACGCTCCAGCTTTACTGGTGGAGGAAGACCTCAGGTGCCCTTCCGTGCATTATTTCAGGCACGAACGGGCACCTGAGTAGAACCACCGACGTTCCGTAAGCTAGCTGGATAGCTTCCTCACATGAAAGAATCCAAAGTCCCTGTCGGGACTCTAACCCACAGCGGTGAGGGGCAATTGGTTTGAAGTCAACAACCTTAACCACTCGGCCACGGACGCCCCATGATGCTATTTAAATAAATGAGATATAAAAGATTTTAAACATAGATTGTATACATAATGTTAACAATTTTTCGAATGCAGTTTAATAGCCTCACATAGTTATCCCCTACTTTGACCATCAAGGACAAAGTATTGAAATTTGCTTAAATTGTCATAACTTTGTAATTGATTTATGGATTTGATTCATTTTTGACGTAAGAGCACTTATGACAAAGCTGCCGCGATTAATTCAAATGTGACCTTGACCTTTGAATGTCCTTTACCATCAAGGCCAAATATGAAATTTGATTTTTATTTGGTACAAATAGGAGATCTCTGCTATAATGTTCTTCCACTGATGTGTTTTACTTTAGAATTTAGAATAAGTAGAGCATAGCCATCGCTAGGTGCGGTGGCTCTTATATTACTAGTAATTACAGCTCTTTCACCACTGTTACAAAATATAAACATTGTATTAGTGTAAGTTGGTATAGTTAACTTGCAGAAAAACAGTTATGGGTAAAGCATCCAGAGTGCCTGTTAAGCAACTCCAAGAAGATATATGACTAAAGTTATGCAATGTCGACACAAATCTTTGAAAAAAACAATTTACTTTGTCAAAAGTTATCTGAACATTCAATAATTTTCTACCACTGAAAATGACAATTTTTGGGGTGTTTTAGATATTAATGTACATGTATGAAAAAAAACTTTTGGGGTGTTTTAGATATTAATGTACATGTATGAAAAAAACCTACTTCTAAACTTTTAAAGCTTATAGAAGGTTGATGTTCTATTCAGCTGCCACTGGTGCCTGAAATAATCCTCCCTGACCAGTAAAGCTTGAGAGTAGCCATATGACCTTTATGCTGTTGATGTGACTTAGTATATGTAAGACATAACAAAACAGCCTGTTATCAGTGTAAACAGCCTGTTATCAGTGTCTACTTACTAAATGGAAAGCAGACACAGTCCAAGTTTTATTGATAATTTCAAGTTGAATCTAAGAAAAATTTGCAGCCACAGCAGAACTTCACCTATGGGAGACTCATAGTACGTTTCCACAGCTCTACCAATAGCTATCCAGCCAATTGTACATTTTTGCCTGTTACTTGACCGCTATATATCAAGACATTGTTACATAGAGTGAAGGATAAAGATGGAAAATGTTCGATTTTTTCATTTCATATATACTAAATTCTGTTTTGTTTCTCACCTTATTTTAAAGAGGCCTTAGCCTTTTTATGCTCCCCGAAAGGAAAGCTTATATTCACCACCTTGTCTGTCTGTCCGTTTTATGTGGGGCATAACTTGGAAACCCTTGGACATAATTTGTTTAAACTGCAAAGTGGTAGAGGGCTTTTTAAACGGAGTGCAATGCCAAAGAACCATAACTCTATTATGCCCCATTTTTGAATTATCTCACCTTTTAGAAAAATCTTGTCAAGAGAATGACCTGAAAACTCTTGGACATACATATAACTTGTTTAAACTGCACACAGTGGTAAAGGGAACTGAGGAGGAGTGTAGTGCCAAAGAACCATGACTCTGTTTTGCCTCGTTTTTGAATTATCTCCCCTTTTAGAAAAATCTTGTACCGAGCATAACCTGAAAGCCCTTGGAGATTTGTTTAAACTGCCAACAGTGGTAGAGGGCATTGAGGTGGAGTGCAGTGCCAAGAACCATAACTATATTTTGCCCCATTTTTGAATCAACCCTTTTTTTTTTTTAAGAAAAGATCTCATTAAATAGAAGTGCAGTGCAAAAGAAAACTGCAACTATGCCTTGCCTAATTTTGGAGTTTCTGTCCTTTGTTTATTGAACTTTTTCTGGGACATTATTCTAATACTGTAAGAGATATCTCTTATAATTTTAGAGTTATGTTCTGGACAAAGTTCAAAGTAAAAAATAAGAAAAGGGCAAAAACTCCAAAATAAGGCATGGCAGAGTAACGGTTCTTGTGCACTGCACAGCTACCCATTGAGATCTATCTACCTACAAAGTTTCATGTTGATATATCTCTTATAGTTTTAGAGTAAAGATTTTTTTAAAAGGGGAGATAATTAAAAAACAGGACAAAATAGAGTTATGGTTCTTTGACATTGCACTTTGCCTCCATGTCCTCTACCACTGTGTGAGGTTTAAACAAATTAATCTCCAAGGCTTTTCAAGTTATGCCCGGGACAAGACAACAGATGAATGGACGGACAGACGGACAAGGCGGCAACTATATGCACTCCCTTTGGGGAGCATAAAAACTAAATATCAGGCTTGTATAAACTTTTTTTTCTTCTAAACCTTAATTTAAACAAAATTAATACAAGAAGTACTGGTATTTCATTTTATCACTTTTAATCATATCATAGAAACTACATAAATTGCACATTTACAAATTGTTTAAAACAGAATTCAATACATGTAATAACATCAAGACTAAATAGTAAATACATAAATGATGGTCAATGTCATTTTACTGTCTAAATAACAAAAACATGTTTTTGACCACTCTTAAAATTATATTTGATGTTGTGTATAAAGATCTAATTTGCAAATGTTAAGCATTTAATCCTCTTAAATTTATTAACCAACTTTTTGATTGCAAATAATTCATATTCAACTCTAAAACTGGCCCTTCTGTTAGGCTACTATTATGTAAAATGATTTTGTCACAAAGACTAGAGCATGAAGCAATGTTGGTTGGTTGTATAGTAGGGTACAACCAGGCATGTATAAAAACATGATTTAGAACGCCATGACTGGCATGCTTTAAATCTAACAAGTTGTCTACAGTATAAATAATAAATCACCTTCAATAATCATACTGTACTGATATGAAACTGCTTATTTACCCAGGCTAAATAATGACTGAATGTCATTTGATACATAGAATTAAACATTTAAACTAGCCATTAAAGTACATTAGTATCAATGGTTCAAATATATTATACATTAACACCTAATGCTATTACATAATGAAACATCATATATCAGATTAAATATTGGCAAATAGAAAAGAATAAATGTAGCAGAAGAAAATCAGAATAAACCTGCCACAAGTCATTATTTCCTGCAAACTTAGCCCCGCTGAATTAGTTTTATGGATCTGTTCATTTTTTAATTTAGAACAGTTGTCAAAAGGATTTCATAAACAAAATACTAAGCCCATAACTTACTGAATTTCTTAAATGAATTTGTCCACCTTTCATTTTTGAACAGTCCATCTTCAAGTTAGGGGAGATCAGCATGAACATTTAAACAGTATAGAGCCTGGTCAGATGGCAAAGTCTTATCAGTTCCACCAGGTTAAGGATTAATCTAGCAGCAAACATAGAACATAGAAGTATAGAACTTGATCAGACTGCCCAGATTCGCAAGTTTGCCACTGTACTAGGGGCAATAGAAGAGCTGTTTTGGTTGATGCATTTAAAGCAGCACACCTCCAGACTCATGCTAATTTTCATAAAAATTTTGAAATGTACATGTGTATTTAATAGTAACATATTGTGAACTTACCTAGAGAATGCAATATACACATTATAAATGACAAAACCCATGTAAATTACCATAAAGAGGTCAAAATATGCAAAAATAGCCCTTGCTGCGTTAGTAACACAGTAGAAATACAATTACAAATACTGAAAAATCGGTCATAAATCACACATAATATGTAAATAATTACTAGAATTTGGAATCTTTATACTTTTCCTAAAATGTAAGTACATTTTTCTCAGGTTTGATTTTATTGAAATAGTTTTGCTCATCTGGAGGCGTGCAGCTTTAAAGTGTTGAAATAAATTTTCAAATTATAACATAATCATAAAGCTCAGTAAACATTTTATCCTTTCATTTAGAAGGAAAAAAGTTTTTATTTCTTTATTTGTCTTTTTTCAATGTATTATCAATGTCTGAACAGTTTATATATCACAGTGATTTCTCCCATATGATTTTAATAAATAAAAACAATGTGTTTGGTGTGTTATTTCTGGTCTGCATTTTGGACAAAATTCACAGAATAACCACCAGTTGCAGGGTCTTGATTCATTTGAAAGTTATTTGTAGAAAGACCAAAAGGCCGTAAAACCATGTTCCCTAGATCTTTCAGCTTCCCTGAAATACAAAATAGTTGACACATTAGTTTCTTCAGAATTTGATCAATTTTACTTTTATTAAGTATATATACTTTGATTACTTGTTTTCATTTTATAAAAAGAAAAATTAACTAGAGCTATCACTAAATGTGATTAATACCCCCATAAGACTGCTTCGGAAATGAGGAAGTTACTAGTAACAGAACACCTTGTAAAATAATTGAAATAGAGTTATTGTTGTGGGCAATTTAAGATAGTTGTAGTTCTTGTATGTTGCATTTCCTTTCACTGTGGTTGACAATTGATTAAGTTTTGTTGAATTAGTCTGTAATAAGTCCAGAAAGAGTTACTGTTCTTGAGCAATGCACTTCCTCTCATTGCCCTTGACTGTTGTACGAAGTTGCATTGAATGCCAAACATTAGTTTTTAAGTTATGCACAGGACATATTCCATATGACTTCATTTTTACTGCACTTGACCATTGTATGAAGTTGCATTGACTTCCAACCATTAATTTTCAAGTTATGCACTGGACAATAGAAGTAACAAAGGGCAATAACTCTAAAATGAGTCAAGAAAGAATTAATACTCCTGTGCACTGCACTTCCTCTAAATATACATTACCATTGTACGAACTTATATTGAATTCCAACCAGTGGATTTCATATTATGCTCTCCAACATGGAAAAGTAACACAGGGCAATCACTCTTTAATTACCCTGGATAGAGTTATGGTTCTTGTGCACTGCACTTCCTCTTAATGCTCTTGACCATTGTATGAAGTTGCCTTGAATACCAACTATAAGTTGTCAAGTTATGCTCTGGACAAGGAAAAGAATTAAAGGACAATAACTCTGTAATGAGTAAAAATGGAGTTATGGTCCTTGTGCACTGCACCTCCTCTCAATGTGTTTGACCACTGTATGAAGTTGTTTTGAATTCCAACAAGTGGTTTTCAAGTTATGCTCCACACAAGAGAAAAACAATGGAAAATTAACATGGGTAATAACTCTGTAATTACTTTAGATAGAGTTATGGTTCTTGTGCACTGCACTTCTTTTTATTGTGCCTGACCATTGTATGAAGTTCCATTGAATTCCAACCAGTCATTTTCAATTTATGCTCCGGACAAGGAAAAGTAACAAAGGGTAATAACTCTGTAATCAGTCAAGATGGAGTTATGGTTTTTGAGCACTGCACTTCCTCTCAATGTGCTTGACCATTGTATGAAGTTGTATTGAATTTCAACTAGTGGTTTTCAAGTTATGCTCTGGACAAGAAAAAGCAATGGAAAATTAACCTTTTACAGCATGAGCATATTGTGGACAAGAGCTGTCGGTAGGACAGCAACGCTTGACTTTTCTTAGTGCTTGATAGTAAAAGAGCCTTGATAATGTAAAATTTTAACAAAAGGGCAAAATTTTTCTTTAAATCCATATTAAAGTTTTAGGCCTTTGAGAGAGTCCTATTATGCTCTCAAGGAGAGTATAAAATTTCAACTTGTTTCAAATCCAGATGTCAATTATGAATAGAATATGAAAATATCTAAAGTGGTATGCAAACCTAAATGTAAATTCTAAGTTGAAAAAGGGGCATTATTCTGTCAAAATGTTTCATAGAGTTACCTCCTCCTGTCTACAGGTTGAGGTCATGATTGTAAACAACTGTACAAAGTTTCAAAGCCATATGACAATGGACTTTGAAAAATATTTGAGGTATTACAAAAACTTTAATGTAAATTCTATTGAAAAAGGGGCATTATATTGTCAAAATGCCTGATACAGTTACCTCCTCCTGTCTTCAGGATCGGGTCATAGTGGTGAACAAGTGTACAAAGTTTCAAAGCCATATGTCCATGGACTTTGAAAATATTTGAGGTATTACAAAAACATAAGTGGTTACGCCGATGCTCGGGTGACAACAATAGCTCTACTTATTCTTATCGAAAAGTCGAGCTAAAAAATGGCAGTTTTCATTGAAAAGCCTCCTACTGCTATGAAACTATGAAAAATGCTTCAATACTAATGAAACTTGGCACAAATTTTGACTGGACTATAGCCTCTGTAACTGCATGCTCAATCTTAAATTTCCTGTTACCATGGCAACGGGGTGATGTCTCAAAAGAGTTATGGTTCTTGTGCACTGCACTTCCTCTTATTGTGTTTTACCATTGTATGAAGTTGTTTTGAATTCCAACAAGTAGTTTTCAAGTTTTGCTCCGAACATGGAAAAGTTACAAAGGGCAATAACTCTGTAATTAGGCAAGATGGAGTTATGGTTCTTAAACTCTGCACTTCTTCTCAATGTGCTTGACCATTGTATGAAGTTGTATTGAATTCCAAACATTAATCTTTAAGTTATGCTCCGAAAAAGACAAATGCAACGGACTGCTGGACCGACCGACTGACCACAGGGTGACTCCTATATACCCCCTAAAACTTTGTTTTGGGGGTATAAAAATTCTTGATAAAAAATAAGTTCATTAAAAATTATAATATTTTGAACGAATACTTTGTTTCAAGTGTGTCAGAAACCAATATAATGTATTAAATACTACCAGTACTATGTTATAAGCTTATTCAGAATATTGTTTTCCCACAATGAATGAAAGAATGAAAGGAAAGAATGGAAAAAAAATAGTGTCAGTTTGCTAATTTTTTAATCAAATCTGATGCTCAACAAATATGTGAAGTTTAAAATCATTTGGTAAAATTGTATCTAAGAGACCCAATTTTTGTTGTTTATAAATGAAAGTTCATGCATTTTATGTTTCCAGACAACAGTATGTATAAAAGGGCCATTACTCTGGTAGTGACTGTTTAAGAAACTAATAAAAACCTGCTGGGTTACATCTAACATCTCTCTATATTCATTGAAGCTCTACCTGGCAGTGCTCTTGACCCAATTAAATCATTACACTTAGTTTGGTTGGTTGGTTTTTACGCCAATTTTAGCACATTTTTCATCATATCTTGACAGTTGGTCCACCTAGCCAGCAGCTTTCCTGGATAAGGAACCAGTAATTACCAATTTCTCCACGAGTGATTGACTACTAAATTTCATATGATTTATGAGTCAAGGTAAGAGACAACTCAATGTCTGTGATCACTGTCATTGAGAAATATTGCCTAGCTTGAGGACTGAACCAGCAAACCTTGAATATCAATACCTTGATTCTCCCTATTAAGCTGAAGTGGGCAGACTTCAAAATTCTAAATCATTATACTTATAGGACAGACTTATTGTAAGATGAACAAAACTACCAACAATGTCAAAACAATATCCTGCTATCATTTGGCCAAAGATGATACTGTCAAAGGCATTCCAAATGAAATATTTCAAGATTACGTACCCATCATTTCTTCTTTCAACTTTTCATTCCTTTCTTTAATTTGATCAGGAAGTCTCTGGAATTAAAAATATTTTCTCCTTTTTTTTAATGGCCACTTTATAAAATTTATCTTAAAGAAAGATGTGTTATCAACTTAAAATTCTTAAACCCTCATAGTTATACATACATGTCGTCCTTAATCAACATTTCAAAAGAGGACAACTACTGTGATTTGCTACATGTACTTTTGGCAAAGCGCTCACATGCAATGTGAATTAAACACGAAAATTTTTTTCAAATACAATATAAATTCTTAAAGAGACATGCCAAGCCAAGTTTAAATGGTAAGAGAAAAGGTTAAAGTCAAAATAACATTTTACAACATTATCAAAGTTTTGTTTTTTTCGCGACATTGTCAAGACCTACCATACAAGCTGCCCTGGCAGAATGTTGGGAGGGATCCAGTTCAATAATTTTCTGGAAGTCAGCTAGGGCCTCATCTAATTTTTCAGTTTTCTCATACAGTTCTGCTCTCCTCATCAGAGCCTTCAAATAGACTGGATGTAAGTCCAGAGCTTTACTGCAGTCCCGTATAGATTCATCATAGTCCTCCTAAATTAATGTTTAAAAAAATATGTGTATTTTTAAAGTTATACGAGAAGACATTAGGTAAAGTTCTGTGAATTATTCTATTTCAGGCATCAGTGAACAAAAGAACAGAGGAGGGATCAAGCTTCTATAAGCAGGATTGTTTCTTAACAACAACAAAAGAAAGCTTCTTTCTGAACTTGAAACCATAGTGGGGTAGGCTAATTATGTTAAGAGATATAACCTTAAGGTAGAACCATAACCATTGAGTTTTAATATTCCTAATATTTTAATGAAAATAATAAAAAAAGTTCAGAAAGAGGAAGGATTACAATTTTAGTTCTACAACTTAAAATTGTCACCAATTTAATCATTCATTTAAAAGAAACAATTGTGTATCACATTTGCTGCTTCAGTTATTTGGTATTCATTCTGAACTGTTGCAGGTTTTTATTTGTTTGGGTCGTCAGACCAAACAAATAATGGTAGCGAAATTTCAGAGTCTAATGTTGTTAATTGCAAATGCCGAAAGTAGTCCACTTTTTTGAAGCGGTTACTTCCCTTTTGTATGTACACTAAAGCCGAAAAATTCAGGGGAGATCACTGCGTAAAGATAGTCAAAGACAGGCGCATCAATTTTCAAGCAAAGTAATTCCCGAATGGTCGAAGATTTCTAATATTGTTTTATTGTATTTTCTGATCGAAAATAACTAAATAAAAAGCGGACATTCAATCTCTGACACAGATGTTTACGAAAAACCTAACAACAAGTAGTTCTCAAAACAGCTTAAAACTAGCGATTTTAAAGTAAGAAATATTTTATTTTGTTACAAGTATCCAACAAATTACAACGCATTTAAAGTTAAACAATAGCGTTGGCTTATAGAATTGTCAATAAATGCACAATCACAAATTACGCGGATGAATATGATTTTATCAATGAAAATACTATTTATTACCGACTACTACACAAACTGAGTAGTGGAATATATAGATTCTACATGTCGGACTGTTTGGGCGAGAGGATTTTCGCTAAAATATTTACTTCAATTTTAAACAACAGGTTTACCCTGAACAAAATACCTCGAAATTAATAAGGATTACAAACCCGAAATGCAATGAAAGTTCTAAATTTAGAATGACTTGATATTATTCAGACTTACTGTGTATAACCTTTCCGTGGTACAGTGGTAACGCGCTCGCTTAGTGAGTGAGAGGTCTCGAGTTCGAATCCAGTCGAGGAAATTTTTTTTTTTGTTAAATTCTTTTTTAAGTGTTTTTGTTAAGGAAATAGCCATGATATGCAAGGATAAAGTGTGGCTGTCGTAAAAAATGAACATAAATGATTTTTTGATGCAACTCTAGTTATGCAGAATTCCGTATGTATCAAACTCTGGTGCCTTGCAAAATGAATTATAATACATAAAAATAAACCTATACAGGAAAATGCATACAGATTTACAGTTGATTTAGATTGCAAAGATCAGAAAATACCACAGAACTTGCAGCCCTTTGATTCTTTATAAATAAAAATGCTTATAGTAAGCTCCAGGATTATTTACATCTGTGTTAAACGACAGTTAAAGTCGTTACAAGCCCTAATTTAGAATAATATGGTTTTCTTCAGCCCGTTCACATATAAATTCACCGTGACTGAAGGGTTTTCGGGCTCGCTTAGGAAGCGAGAGGTCTGGAGTTCAAATCCCAGTAAAGGTAACTCATTTTTTTCAAATTGTTAAAGTCAAATAAACATTGGATTGAATATCAGCGTTGCAATTAGTCTTATAGCCAATTTACTACAATTAAAACGCTGGAAAGCATTGGTGGCACTATACATATAATCTCACAACCTGCACCTTTCTTACATTCTGAGACCCAAACAAATTCAGCGCCTTCTGTGCTTTGATTTAAAAATAGTCATAAGCCTTCTTTGTTAAGTAAAATGACTATTTACAAAGTGAAAGTACAAAGCCTGTGTGTTCTCTGACCAGTCTATGAAAATCTTACATGTACATGACAAATAATGTCATAAGTATTCAAAATCATTCAGACTTTTACCACAGTCAACACTTAAATTTTAAATATACTGAATGAAAATTACACTGAGGTAAAATTTGTTGGACCTCTTAATTTCTCTAAAAAATAAGAGCATGACTGGTGACAATGACTGTAAATAAAACTGGAGACTCAGATTAGACTATCATACTAAACTTACTGATGAACAATATTCATTTTCTTACCAGTCTCATCTTACAGGCTCCTCTGTTAGAGTACATGATCGATCTATCTCTGGCAAACTTGAGGGGACATGTCCGTAATGCACGAGAATATACACGTATTGCAGATTTATAGCTACCACAACGAAACAACTCATTGCCTTCTTCCTTTAATTTCTGTGCTGTATTTCTACGTTCCTGAAACAAGATTTCTACTTATGTAATATTTTAATTTTATTTTAGCAGCTGTCACATACATAACTATTACAATGAATTTCTCCTAAATTAAATGTTTTCCATCTACATAAAAAGACAAATAAATCCTGCAGAGACACAGACAAGTAACATGTAATGTTAACATCGGCTTTCTATCAAGTAAACAGATCATCATATTTGTTTACAGGATACATGTAGTTCTAACAAAGCATCTATAAGCACAAAAATAACTTTAAATTGAAACATTATCTTATGCTACAGGTATATTAAAACTTAGTAATTGCCTTTAGAATATCAAACCCTTTCTTTGCTAATGACAAAATGAACAGACAAGCCTCATCATTGTACAATCATGCCAGTCATCAGGTCAGACCAGGCTCTGGATTTATAGCTCAACTTTTGTATTGTGATGCTGAAATTTCAGTGGGAAGTAGGGAGTGACCCTCAAACAAATTTAGCACGGTAAAAATGAAAGTGGATGTATTGGTGGAATTTTATGGTGATAGACTGATTAAAGGATGATTTGTGTCATATTAGCTTTCTGAATAAACAAATGATTAAACAACAAACCTCTTTCTCTTCATCAGTCAAAGAGTTTTCTAATTCTTTCAAATTTTCTTTATCCACTTGAATTTCTTCCCCTTCTTCTGCCGACTCATACTCGGCATCTGATCCTGAATCTTCACTTAAATCTACAAACTCTTCCTCATTATCTTCCTTAATATCACCACTACTATCATCACCACTACTATCAGCCTTAATTTTTTCTTCTATAGTACAAGAATCTCCATTATCATTGGAAGCAATGTCATTAGTTGTGTGATCTACTTTTATAGCAGAACTTACTTCATCACAATTGTCACCATTTTCTTGTATTTCACTTTTATTTTCTTCAGTTTCATTGTTAGTTTTAATGTTATTATCTTTACACAAAAGTTCAGCATCAAATTCTAGCTTTTTATCATTCTCATTTTCTTTTGTATCAACATTATTTTGGTTCAATTCATTCTTGGCAGATTTTATGTCACTAGATTTTTCACCTGATGTATCAACTTCTCTGTTCAACCTGTCTGCAAGAGTTTCATTCCCTGTCTCCATTGTCTAAATTTTCTGTGTAACTTGTACAGAACAAGGAGTACTTCTGTGTTGATAAACTGAAAGTAAATATTCAATCCTTTAACATAAAATATACAAATTACACATTTTAAGGGGTACAGCATTTTAAGATATAAAAAGCATATATGCAATACATCACTGGGCAATATTCTTGTTGCTGATATATGTCAAATCTACTAAAGTTTGAGATGTTAAATCTGTTCAAACGTGTTCTATTATTGTTCTTATTCTTTTGCACAATAAAAGATCATTAAAATAGATTAAAATACAATAAAAAGCATAATTATGCTAGTAGAAAATGTCCTTGTTAATTCTTCTGTCTATTTTTCCCTCCAAATGTAGACTCCAAAGATAACAAGCAAATTCGTTGAATTTATATCCCCCGCCGAGTACTCGTTATTATTAACACAACAACTGAAGACATAAGGCTTTATTTATATATTAATCATGGCATAAACAGTAATATTCTTTGAACTTGATAAATATTCAGGGCAATAACAGAGCCATAACTTTGTGTTAAATAGTAAAATCTGGAAATGCCAATGCATACTTCATAACTAATCAAGGGCCATAAATCTGAGTTATAAGTATCTGACTGGAACAAGGCGACTATATGCACATCTCCTCTTAGTATCCCATAAAGTTTCATTAAATTCCAGCCAGTAGTAGCAGAGAAGTAGCGAGGAAACAAATATTTTTCTATATGGATACTGCATAACAAATCAAGGGCCATAACTCTGAGTTAAAGTGTCTGACCGGAACAAGCCGACGATATGCCCATCTCCTCTTGGTATTGAAGGTTCCCATAAAGTTTCGTTGAATTCCAGCCAGTAGTTGCAGAGAAGTAGTGCGGAAAAGATTTTTACTCTATATGCATACTACATAACTAATCAAGGGCCATAACTCTAAGTTAAAGGGTCTGACCGGATCAAGCCGACAATATGCGCATCTCCTCTTGATATTGATGATTCCCATAAAGTTTCGTTGAATTCCAGCCAGTAGTTGCAGAGAACTACTCCGGAAACGATTTTTACTCCATATGCATATTGCATAACTAAATCAAGGGCCATAACTCTGAGTTAAAGTGTCTGACTAATTCAAACCTCTTGCAGATAATGATGACATGTTTCATTGTTTGAGAGTTAAAATTGACAATTTAAAAAAACAGGCTGGTGAAAATGCTGGTGAAAATGCCCAATCGGGCTTATGACATAAAAAATCATATTTCTAGAAAAGTAATGAAGATATTTCTTTAAAACTTTGCTTGTTTATTGAGAATAATATTTGGCATAAACAGAAAGAAACTAGAAATGTGTCCATAGGACACGGGTGCCCCCACCGCGCCACTGTTCTGTCAATCTTTTTACTAAGTCAAGGGAAATAACTCTACAAATACTGGATACATCCACAAGCGAAACCCAAGGTGCAAATCTAAATATGCTGAGCAACCTGCCCATAAGGTTGAATGACTATGTCAAATCCTTTTTGAGTAACTTGCGACACAAGTTGAAAATTGCAAAAAAAATTTAAGTGAAGGGCAATAACTCTAAAAATACTAAATAAATCCAGACAAAAATACCTGGTGCACAACTGCACATGCTGATCAATATTCCTGTAAAGTTACTTGACTCTAGGTCAAATACTTATTGAGTTACAGCGACACGTGTTGAAAATTGCAAAATTTTACTAAGTCAAGGGCAATAACTCTGAAAATACTAAAAATATCCAGAGGAAAATACCCAGGTGCACAACTACACATGCTGATCAACATTCCTGTAAAGTTTCATTACTCTAGGTCAAATACTTTTTGAGTTACATGCGACACAAGTTGAAAATTACAAAATTTTACTAAGTCAAGGGCAATAACTCTGAAAATACTAAAAATATCCAGAGGAAAATACCCAGGTGCACAACTACACATGCTGATCAACATTCCTGTAAAGTTTCATGACTCTAGGTCAAATACTTTTTGAGTTACGTGCGACACAAAAGTGAACGGACGGACGGAAGGACGGACGGACGGACAGACGGACGGACGGACGGACAAGGGTAAATCTAAATGCCCGCCACTAACGTGGGGGCACAAAAAGTTTGGCTACTGTCACTTTTGTAAGAATTATTTCCCCTTTTTCATGTTTTTATAACATATAATTTTTGAAGTCCTTAAAAAAAATATGTTACATTTGCAAAGTGTAAAACGAAATAGGTTAAATAACTTCTTTACGGTACAAGTCAACCCGGCCCCAAGTCAACCCGGCCCTAAGTCAGCCCGGCCCCAAAATTGGTCAACCCGGCCCCAAAATTGGTCAATCCGGCCCCACGGCATTTTTATTTGGTCAACCCGGCCCCAAAAATTGGTCAGTGCGGCCCCAAAATTGGTCATTCCGGCCCCAAAATATATATTTTTCAAAGAAAACTTTTTAAGTCATTTTGTTGTATGATGGAATAAAAATGATTTATTATTAATTGAAGATTATTAACTATAGAACAATAGTAACAAAAAGTGTCGGTAAATTTAATTGCGCCGATTTAAAAGCCTTTTATACGCAATATTGATGAATTATTATATAACATCAACAATTATATGTACATCAACATTAATTCAGATGTGATAATCAAAACAGTTTAAAGCAATCAATTAACAAAAAAGGTATAGCTGTGAAAACAAATTCTTTTAATAAGTTGGTAGTATCTTTCATGTCTTTATTCGATGTAAATTAAAAATGGTTTCGTGAGTGTTAATGCGATAATTAGGAAGAAATGCATAGAATTTCGAGTTAAAAGGTTTGTATAAACATAGTTTCCAACAATATTTTTTCAATGAATTTGAAGGTTTTTATTGAATACGTTCATTATTATAATTAATATTTGTTTCGTTTTTTATTAACTTATTTTCAAAGAATATTTACTGTGGAAAAAAAAGTATTGGAATATTACTAAGTGTTTGGAAAATTGATAGTGTTTTGTGTTTAATCACTTTATGTCATAAATAAAAAAATATGCAATTGAATGTATGAAAATTATTATTTTTTTTATATTATTTTGTGTGATTCTTATAAATGGTTACAAACTTTTTTACAGGCTAAAGAGGTTGCCGCAATCGATGTCATGAAATCTGCTGCTTCTATCGTCTCATTGAACTTTTGTTTTTGTTGTTAATTTTTATCTTATTTCTTGATAAGTGTTTACATTTTAAAGCAAAATAAATAATAAAAAAAATGGGGCCGGGTTGACCAGAAATAAAATTGTTTTGGGGCCGGGTTGACCAATTTGGGGCCGGGCTGACTTGGGGACGGGTTGACTTGGGGCCGGGTTGACTGTAATTCCTTCTTTATAATCCAATTCATTGCGCCAACACCTGTCAGCATACATTTCAGTCAGTTTTCAGAGAAAACTTCAAAGTATAATGTTCAGTGTCAAAGAATTGCCAAACTATAAATGCCAGAAACATAATTTTTAATCAAAATATATAGAACAAATGCATTGGCGCAATAATCTAGAGCAAAATGAAGTTGATTGACACATTTCTAATAAGAATTTAACATAACAACATAATTTTTATGAACTTCAAATATTTAGTTTCCAGAAAATGGGAAAAAGGGAAATAATTCTAAGAAAATAAAAGATAACCAAAATATTTTTAATTTGATTTGTATCATATATAAATGCTAAATAAACAAAACAAGTTGGAAAGAAACATGTTAATTATTTTTTCTTAAAATATAGTAGATTCTATTTTATGTCTTAAGCCTGATCGGGCATTTTCACCAGCCTGACAAAGAGAGAAATGAAATTTTAATAATTAGAGAAGCTTTAAAGTAAGACATATTCAATGCTTGATATGGCTGCAGTTACCAGCTCTGTGGTACGGATAATGTGCAACAGTGGGTAGTAAGTGGTTCCAATGGCTAAAATAGTATAGTAACCAGTTGAGGGGTGTATCATCATTTGTATGTATAATCTGGAACATACGACGATACGATAGTACATCCCAGGTATAATGTCCTCTGCCTAGATCAGTTACTTTTTGGCTCACAATACCAATATTACAGTAACCATATTTCAGATAAGTTTAAACACAAAAAGGGGGAATCACAAACACAGGTATATAAAGATTAATAAAAAACAAGTACATAAATCAATCAGCAAAATCGAAAGTTTGTTATGTGCTAAACCTGACTACAAATGGTGTGAATTGCAATAAGGGGGACAACTATGGTCTTTACTTATAGGTTCATGCAAAAAAAAAGACATTTTGCAAATTGAACTAAGAAAAGAATAAACAAAAAATATGAACAATCGTTGTAGTCTAGAATCAATTATTAAAAGTTTATGTTTAAAAGCCGCGAGATGTTTAAGTCTACAAATTTTGTATTTTTTTCTTCCAATAGATGGTGGCGACTTTTGGTAAATATCTTATACATTGCCCAAATAAGACAAGTGGAGTTACATCCCTTGGAGAAAAAAAAAGAAAAACAACAACAACAAAAATGGATTCTTGTATGACAGTAGAACGAGAAATAGACAAAGTTTTAACTAAGTTTGGGGGCCTCCATGATCACTCCGTTGACACGATAGAAGATTTCATAACTTCTCTTGAAAATATTCGTAAAGAGCTAGCCGAGGGTAAGTAAAACAGTCTAAGAATCCTTACAGATGTTGTTTTGTTTGTAAACAAAGGCCAAATTCAAAGGTGGAAATTTCCCTTTTGTGTTGTTTATCACATTGTCATGCTGAATAATATGAAAAAGGCAAAGCCTCAAAGCGAGCTTTACTTTCTTTTACCGTAAAATAGTTTAAAATAATTGTTCATTTTTCTTTTATATTTTCCGTTTTAAAATTGTCATTCGGTATTTTATACACTGCTTCCGTTTATTCTGGTTCCCCTTTCTATTATGGTTCCTATATAAGTGCGCAGGACACCAGTCTACGCTTCCATTTTCAATCAGAGCACATCGACTTTTATCGTTATCTTGTAATGCGAAAAGTTGCAATGTGTCAATTCGGTACTTCGGACAAAAGTTTTCAAAACCATCACTTAGCAGGTACTCGTGTTGCGGCATCTCGTCAAGCTCGCTATTGATATGAAAGTAGACAAAGGCTGTGAACGGGAAAGTCAGATAAATAATTCTTCATTTCTTATTTTATATGTTTTGTTTTAATGGTGCCATTCGGTATAATTTTCATGCACTCCCTCCATTTCCATTTTAAGCACCAACCAAATATTCTTAAGCGGAAAAGTTGCGTTTTGTATGTAATTGAAAAACCCAGCCGTTTAACATTGAGTTACATTACAAATGTCGGCGCCCTGCCCCAACAAGAAATGAAAGGATGTGTACTCTATCAAGACAGACATTCTGAGGTATCCCACAGTATTTCTGCCAGACTAATTTTTTGGGGGGTCATTCGTGCCACTCTGTATAAAAATATGGGTGTCATTTGAGATTATTAAGGGTCAAATTTTAAAAAAGTAAAAATAACAAAAGTGAATCTGAGAACTGTATGAGTTCACATGTTAACTTCAATTTCTCATTTTTTGCGGAAGAACCCAGGCTTATTTTCATTAAAACATTTAACCTGTCAGACGTCTGCTTTTTGCAGTAACTTTGATATTTTGGCCACTAAAGCAGAGATGTAGATAACATTGTTATCTATGTCTCTAAATAAAGCCCATATCTTTCGTGGCTTGTTTGCCATTGTGAGAAAAGCGTCTGCATGCACTAATGGCTCGTTTACTCACACTGTACATGTCTAAATCCCGGATACCGTGACTGAACGGTTAAATGTTGTGCCGATAACGATTAGGTTAGCAATTTATACATACCCGCAGTTACCGGAAATAAATAAATTTCTGATGGCCATTTCGAATACTCAAACAATAATTGCCAATTTAAATGGGATGGCGCTAATAATAGGAGAAATAACTTACCTCACATACGCACTTGTAAGACCCATCCCTTACTTCAGGCTCATGATTTGGGGATTTTTATGAAGACCCTCATAATTATAAGATGTGGTCATATTTTGGCTGTGCAAAATCCGCCGACAATTCATCAGTTTTTGACAAAGTGCCAACTCAAATTTTACTAAGACAAAAATGAATTTTAGACATGTCTGTATCAGTCTGCTTAAGTAAACATCGTCTAAAAATTTGTCAGTCTAGACAACATCTACGCTACTGTCTATTTATGTAAGAATAGAAATAATTTTATTACGATTTTTGTAACATTTCTAAATTATTTTTTTAGAAATGTTACAAAAATCGTAATAAAATTATTCCTGATAAGCTGTAAATTCAAATGATGATTCAAAAGTTCTATATGTGAGTCACAATCACTTTAACACTTATACACATAGCCTTTAAAGCTTAACCTGAAGTCTAGATGCAGGCAACTTCATAGAAATATTTTTGAAGAAAAAAAATTATCAGCCAAAAATATTTTTTAGCTTAGTTAACTATTGGTAGTCATATTTCATACATACTATGCTTTATTCAGGGATATATCAGGTGCCCACTTCTGCAAGTGTATCTAGCTGGATAGGTGCCATATGACCTTTGCAGTGTTGTTTTCACTAAAGTCCTAAAATTACATTTAAGAAAGTAATTTATGATATAAGAGATAATGCTTTATGTACAGGCCCAGCTGATGGAGAAGTACAGGTGACACAGTCATTGGTGATGAATCAAGCCTTACATAGAGTACAGGAAGCCACAAGTAGGATGGGTCAAGAACACAAAGATCTTCACAGTACTGTTTCTAAAGTTGGCAAAACTATTGACAGGGTATGTGCTTATTGAACTTTTTCCAGTGTCAAATATTTTTTAGGGGAGGGGTCTGGAAAGGAAGGCAGTATCTGTTGAAAATTCAAAGTCTAAATTTCCTGCCATCAAGACTTAGTGGAAAGTAATGAAATTTGTGATGGACAAATGGAGGAAAATGTTGAAATGTGATGAACTTTATAGATATTTTTGTAGATTAAGTCATTGATTGACTGACTGGAACATTTAAGTATGATTTAATTTCATGCTTACATATATTGAATTTTAATTTAAAGACCACTACATTGTTAAAAAGCAGTTCAAATCAAGTACATGTAATCCATAGTACCATAAAACAGTGTTCGAAATTAGCAGTAGTCCTATAGCCCCAGACTACTAAATTTCTCCTCGGGCTACCAACTGTTCACAGTTACAAGCCCGACCAGGCTACTGTATTTTCAGAGGCAATATAAACAACTGTTTTGAACAAATGAATCATGGTAGTAAAATGTCTTTTGGGCTAGTGAAATATTCCATTCTGGTAGTCCGACCAGCCTAGTCGATTTAAATTCTAATTTCTTACACTGATAAAAAGTCTACAATGACTTTTTAAGTTTGAAAATGATTTTCTTTTCACAATATGAAAGTTAGAAGACAAAAATTATTCACAGGAACATGAATATATTGAATGCCAATTTCAGAATTTTGTATCAGAGTTTAGTGCAGTATTTACAGAAGGTTCATTTGAAAATGATGAAACTCAGATGCTTCTCAATGAAATCATTTGTGAGCATTTCCTAAGGCAGGGAAAGCTGGACATAGCAGAAGCTCTAAATGAGGTAATTCATGCATATTTTTAACTTTACTGTTTTTTTACTAGCTAAGGTGTCATGGGCATAAATTAGTTTTGTCTGTATCGAAGAAAATGTCAAGCTTTTATAATCACTGCATTATCATTGATGAATTTCTACAAAACTTTAATGTAGCCCACACTTTAAAAGTTGAAGCATGAACAAGAAACTTAGAATACTTAACATGACAAGGAGTAGTTGTTAGACAAGGGGATTCTGAAAGCATTGTTTTTAGAGTTATGCCCCTTTTCTAACAACTGTACAAGTCATGTACTTAGAATTTTTGTCAAAATGGGTTATTGATATTTGTTGTTTTTTTAATCATCCAACTTTTTCATCAATCCTTAAAGGTATTTATCTATGGTTTAAATACTAGGTGTTTTTGACCATCAAGTTCACTTGTAAGCTAATGTACATATCTCTTATTGTGGAATTGTTATCATTGAACCATAATGTCAAAAAAGTTGTGTATGAAAAACCTTTTTTCCCGAGAACAGTGACATTGTATAAGTGTATATGATGCTTTGATACTTATAATATAAAAATGTAAGTACCGGTATCTTTGGTGAACTTAAAGAATTTCTTCAGAGCACATGATTTACTAGCAAGCTTTAGAAAAGTAGTGCACCCTGTCCATCTGTCAGCTGTTGTTAAGACTTAAATAAAAAATCTTATGATTTTTTGTTCCCTTAATTTCTTTAAAGTTTTGTGTATTTGTTGTTATTTACTTATAATTGCAAAGATGAAATTAGATATTAGATTATATTACTAATCTCTGACTTATTTCTGAATTTTCTTTAAGGAGGCAGATCTCAATCTAGACCCTGTTCAAATGGAGCCATTTCTAGAACTACACAGAATTTTAGGGGCTTTGAAACGCAGAAATCTTCAACCTGCTCTCAGGTTTGTATAACAATTGGATTTAACTCAATACAAGATTGGAGCAGTACCTCTAGAAGCTTGCAGAAATCATGATCACAAAATAGACAAATATTGTTTTTTTCCGCCAATTTTTACATTTTTCATTTAACATCATACATAAAGATGAATTAGACCTTTTGAAGTTCATTCCGTTGTGTAAGAAGGCAAGATTTTAGCATTTAATCATTCAAGCGCCTTGTCCGGTATATACTGGAATACGGTATTTAGTGTGCTGCTCCAATCTTTTTAGCTCACCTGAGCATGCTCAGGGTGAGCTTTTAGGATCGATGATTGTCCGTCGCCCGTTCACATTTAGTTGTTAACACTCTAGCGGTCGCATTTTTGCCTCAATCATCATCAAACATGGTCAGGATGCTTATCTAGTTGATAGCTCGGATGAGTTCGAACATGGGTCATCTCGGATGAAAAAGTAGGTCACTGGAGCTAAAAATAGAAAAACCTTGTTAACACTCTAGCGGTCACATTTTTGCATCAATCATCATCAAACTTGGTCAAGATGCTTGTCTAGGTGATAGCTGGAATGAGTTGGAACATGGGTCATCTCGGATGAAAAAGTAGGTCACCGGAGCTAAAAATAGAAAAACCTTGTTAACACTCTAGCGGTCACATTTTTGCATCAATCATCATCAATCTTGGTCAGGATGCTTATCTAGTTGATAGCTCGGATGAGTTAGAACATGGGTCATCTCGGATGAAAAAGTAGGTCACCAGAGCTAAAAATAGAAAAACCTTGTTAACACTTTAGCGGTCACATTTTTGCATCAATCATCATCAAACTTGGTCAGGATGCTTGTCTAGGTGATAGCTCGGATGAGTACGATTATTGGTCATCTTGGATGAAAAAGAAGGTCACCGGAGCTCAAAAAAGAAAAACCTTGTTAACACTCTAGCGGTCACATTTTTGCATCAATCATCATCAAACTTGATCAAAGTCCTTGTCTAGGTGATAGCTGGGATGAGTTCGAACATGGGTCATCTCGGATGAAAAACTAGGTCACAGGAGCTAAAAATAGAAAAATCTTGTTAACACTCTAGTGGTCACAATTTTGACTCAATTGTCATCAAACTTGGTCAGGAAACTTGTCTAGGTCATTGCTGGGAATAAATCGAACATGGGTCATCTCGGATGAAAAACTAGGTCACAGGAGCTAAAAATAGAAAAATCTTGTTAACACTCTAGTGGCTACTGTTGTGATCCAAATATTCTGTTAATTGGTCTGAAAGTTTGTTTTGATGATTTCTAAGTCAAGTTCGACCATGGGTCATCTTGGATGAAAAACTAGGTCACACCGCCCAAATATGGAAAAACCTTGTTAACATTCTAGTGGTCACATTTTCGACTCAATTATCATCAAACTTGGTCAGGATGCTTGTCTAGGTAATTGCTTGGATGAGTTCGAAATCGCATGTGAAACTAGGTCACCGGAGCTAAAAATAGAAAAATCTTGTTAACACTCTAGTTGCTACTGTTTTGATCCAAGTATCCTGGAAATTGGTCTGAAAGTTTGTTTTGATGATTTCTAGGTCAAGTTTGAATATGTGTCACCTGGGTAAAAAACTAGGTCGCACTGCTCAAATATGGATAATCCTTGTTAACACTGTAGTGGTCACATTTTTGACTCACCTGTCATGAGACTTAGTCAGAATGCTTGTCTAGGTTATTGTTTGGATGAGTTTGATAAGTCAGGTGAGCGATCTAGGGCCATCATGGCCCTCTTGTTTTTAGTACATCATGTCAACTTTTAAATGAAGCTAAAGAATCCAATGCAAATATGAAAAAATAGAATTACAATGTATTTTTAATAGATACAATATACAATGTATGTAATTTTATTGTAAAAAGAATCTCGTAAGACATAAAAAATTGAATTGGTCAGTCATAATGATGTATGGAATATTATGACATTCAATGTAACAAATCATTACTTGTAAAAAAAATTGATTTTGGTTGAAAGATAAGTTGGAAAGCTACAAAAGTCCAATGAAGACTTGAAGTGTTTTTAGTCTTTCACCTTGAGTTTTAGCTTGAAAATGAAATCTTGATTCTACAAGGGGTAGTCCTTATGAAAGTTAATTTAAAGCCCCCTTCTTTATGTTAATCTTATTTGCTTCTCCTAGGCTGTGACAAAACATGATATAACACAGTTGCATACTGGCTCATATTGCTCTTATAATGAAATATGAAACTGTCATGAGCTCTACATGTATCATGTATGTAAATTCAAGTGTTTTTCTTGTGTTTTTCTAGTTGGACAGCTGCTAACAGGGACAGCTTACAGAACCAGGGAAGTAATCTTGAGTTTAAGTTACACAGATTACAGTTTATTGAACTAGTTTCTCAGACAACACAGAATCAAACACAGGTGTTACAGTATGCCAAAAACTTTGCAAAATTTGCTGACAAACATGCAAGAGGTATATACATAGTTCCCTCCTTTTTCATTTAGACATGACCACTTCTGCAGTGTAGTAGATTATGCTCAATTAACATTATGGTGATACTGTACAGAGGTACATTGTTGTATTAAGAGTATCTTAATTTAAGGTACCTGTGAGATGTGTACTGCAAAATTATTATTGTTTCATGTTTTTTGTGGATAGGTCACTCCACAAATTTAAGATTCAATAAAATTTCATTTCATCTTCTGTAAGATTTTTTTACATTATATTATTTGCATATTATGTTTTTCACAAAAATAGACAGTCCACAAACTTTCGAACCCATGAGACAGAGCCACGAAATTACATACACACAAAATTAAGTGAAATCATTGTAAATGTTTGATGGGATCTAGTTTTGGAAATCCATGAGACCCATGTACAACTCTGATACCAAGGTATTTTTATGATGATACATAAATTACAGAACAGTTGTTTTGTGTAAATAAAGTTGTTTTTTTCACAATCTTTGAATTGTTTATTTTTCAGAGGTACAGGTGTTAATGGGAAGTCTTTTATACATGAAGCAGGGAATTCACACATCACCTTACGCATTTTTGTTAGACCCTATATATTGGGAGGAGATATGTGACGTATTTACTCGAGACGCCTGTGCCCTCATGGGAATGTCAGTAGAAAGTCCTCTCAGTGTCAGGTATTTGAACAAAATGTTATGAAATTGTTTCATAAATGGGGAACAGAAATATATCAGAAAATTTAGAATAATGGAAGTACATTGTACAATAAAAGCACTACAGAGCAATCTGCTGTAAAGCAATGACTTGTAGTCAGACTTTATACAATAAATTTAACCCTCTATAGAGCAATCTGCTGTAAAGCAATGACTTGTAGTCAGACTTTACAATAAATTTAACCCTCTACAGAGCAATCTGCTGTAAAGCAATGACTTGTAGTCAGACTTTACAATAAATTTAACCCTCTACAGAGCAATCTGCTGTAAAGCAATGACTTGTAGTCAGACTTTACAATAAATTTAACCCTCTACAGAGCAATCTGCTGTAAAGCAATGACTTGTAGTCAGACTTTACAATAAATTTAACCCTCTACAGAGCAATCTGCTGTAAAGCAATGACTTGTAGTCAGACTTTACAATAAATTTAACCCTCTACAGAGCAATCTGCTGTAAAGCAATGACTTGTAGTCAGACTTTACAATAAATTTAACCCTCTACAGAGCAATCTGCTGTAAAGCAATGACTTGTAGTCAGACTTTACAATAAATTTAACCCTCTACAGAGCAATCTGCTGTCAAGCAATAACTTGTAGTCAGACTTTACAATAAATTTAACCCTCTATAGAGCAATCTGCTGTAAAGCAATGACTTGTAGTCAGACTTTACAATAAATTTAACCCTCTACAGAGCAATCTGCTGTAAAGCAATGACTTGTAGTCAGACTTTACAATAAATGTAACCCTCTATAGAGCAATCTGCTGTAAAGCATTGACTTGTAGTCAGACTTTACAATAAATTTAACCCTCTACAGAGCAATCTGCTGTAAAGCAATGACTTGTAGTCAGACTTTACAATAAATGTAACCCTCTATAGAGCAATCTGCTGTAAAGCAATGACTTGTAGTCAGGCTTTACACAATAAATTTAACCCTCTACAGAGCAATCTGCTGTAAAGCAATAACTTGTAGTCAGACTTTACAATAAATGTAACCCTCTATAGAGCAATCTGCTGTAAAGCAATGACTTGTAGTCAGACTTTATACAATAAATTTAACCCTCTACAGAGCAATCTGCTGTAAAGCAATGACTTGTAGTCAGACTTTACAATAAATTTAACCCTCTATAGAGCAATCTGTTGTAAAGCAATGACTTGTAGTCAGACTTTATACAATAAATTTAACCCTCTATAGAGCAATCTGCTGTAAAGCAATGACTTGTAGTCAGACTTTATACAATAAATTTAACCCTCTAGTCTATAGAGCAATCTGCTGTAAAGCAATGACTTGTAGTCAGACTTTATACAATAAATTTAACCCTCTACAGAGCAATCTGCTGTAAAGCAATGACTTGTAGTCAGACTTTACAATAAATTTAACCCTCTACAGAGCAATCTGCTGTAAAGCAATGACTTGTAGTCAGACTTTATACAATAAATTTAACCCTCTACAGAGCAATCTGCTGTAAAGCAATGACTTGTAGTCAGACTTTATACAATAAATTTAACCCTCTATAGAGCAATCTGCTGTAAAGCAATGACTTGTAGTCAGACTTTACAATAAATTTAACCCTCTACAGAGCAATCTGCTGTAAAGCAATGACTTGTAGTCAGACTTTATACAATAAATTTAACCCTCTATAGAGCAATCTGCTGTAAAGCAATGACTTGTAGTCAGACTTTACAATAAATTTAACCCTCTACAGAGCAATCTGCTGTAAAGCAATGACTTGTAGTCAGACTTTACAATAAATTTAACCCTCTATAGAGCAATTCTTTTAAGAAACTTTGTTTCCCAAAGGGTGTTTCTATGTGGGGATTGTACTGATATGTTGTAAAATGTTTCAATTAGTAAATTGAGAATAATGGTAGTTATATTTAAAACCAAAATAGATCTGCATATAATATGTACTTATATACTACATGTGTATTTGCACATTTGTGCAGTCTGACCAGTTTGTACTAATTCTAATTATTAGCTTGACTATTCAAGGAATAAGGAGAGCTATTGTACTTACCCAGGCATTGCTGTCACACTTTAGATAAGATTTTGTGTGCAAGTTGTTATCTCCAAAACATTTGAAGGGAATAGGTTGAAACTTCCCTCTCTCTTATTTGAGAGCATAATAGGTCATTCTTTAATGCCCATATTTCTAACATGGATTTTAAGAAAATTATGACCTTGTTTGTAATTAGAAAATTCTTGTTTTACTATCAAGCACTGAGAATAGTCGAACACACTGATCTACAGACAGCTCTTGTTTAATTTCTATAATCCAAAAAATGATAAAACTGATAAAATTGACAAGGCTACATAATGTTCATATAAGATATTCAGCATGTTAAGGGTGAACGCGTGTATATTTCAGTATCCGTGCAGGATGTAGAGCTTTACCACCATTATTGAATATACGTCAGGTAATGCAGCAACGGCAGGTGTCAGGAGTATGGACCAGTAAAGATGAATTACCGGTATTTTGTCATTTATTTTATCATTTATCATCATACCTAGAACCTAAAAGACCCAAGCAATTTGGATACTGTGCATTAGTGAAATTCTGTTTTATTGGGTTTTTAAAAAATCATGACAACAGACACATTGTGGACTTGGAATGATCATTGATCCAATTTTTGTGAAAATAGGAGTTAATAACATATAGAAAACAGGTGTGGTAACTGAATTAGTCTAATGAAGGTGTAAAAACACTAGCTACCAACTATGCTTACTTGTCTATGCCACATTCATTGTGCCAGGCAAGTCTGCAAATATCTGTATAGTCTAACTATTCTTTATAATGCAATTTTTTGCTTTCTTTGTTTTAAAGAGGACTAGAGCTTTGATTAACCATTATAACTTGGAAGAATTTCAATTTTTAAATGGTAATATTGAGACGCTAGCAGCACAGAGTTTGAAAGACTACATAAACCTGCCACTTTGTTTTATATGAATAGATGATATAAAATTTTTAATGTAATTTGCTCAATATTTGTTTGATAAGACAAAGAAATTTCAGAAACACAAAGTAGAATTTCGCTGGGTTAAGTCTTCTTATTCAGACATTCTGAGAGCCCTCTGATTTATTTATTTTCAATGATAAAGTAGCTTGATTCATATTTCTGATCAGGTTTTTGTTTTATTTGTTTCTAGGTTGAGATAGATCTTGGCAACGAGCATCGTTATCACTCTATATTTGCGTGCCCAATTCTCCGCCAACAAAGTACCGAACATAACCCACCTGTACGACTGATCTGTGGTCATGTGATCTCACGGGATGCGTTACACAAACTTGCCTCAGGAAACAAGTACGTGTCACAGTTTGGAGTTAAAACACTGTAGGTTATTTTTATAAGAACTGTGTCAAGGTGGAAAGCGTGGTAATACACTTTATTTTTGACAGAAAATCGGTATCACTCGGTATTATAATATTGTTTTGTATAACTTTTGAAATTTTGAAAAATGGCCTCAATCAGATATTAAAATAAAGATTCATGAAAACAGGATATGATCTAAACAGATCTGTTTAGTTAGAAATGAAAATAAAATAAAAGAGATTATAGGTAGAAAAAAGATATAATTTCTTCCATGACACAGTTCTATGTTTTATGTAGACATATGTAGACAGATATATACTGCTTGCTAAATCAAAGTAAAACTTAATAAGCTTCAACATGTATTTAATGACATGACATTGCTTGTTTTCAAATTTATATATCCATTATATTATATTCTGGACATATATATATAGATATTATGTGTAAGATGGTGACTTTAATGTTTCTAGATTTTCTGGTTTGAAAATGCAATACATGTGATAAAAAGAATCTAACATTCTTTGTCATTTCAAATTAACTTATATATAACTTGACCCAAATAATTTTTAGAGCTTGCATGAAGATCATTATGTCATTGGTTTAATGTAAGTCTATATTGTTATGACGAAGAATTAAACATTGTACATGTAATAGCTTATTGTTTAGTTTTCCCCTATTAAACAGGAACTTAGATAGTCTAACTGCTTTATACATAGAATATATGGTTTACAGATGATTTTGAAACTTGCAATGTAATTTACTAGAGTTTAATTTTACGTTTATGACAGTAATAACAAGTAATTTATGATAAGTTGACTGTGACTTGCAGTCCTGATTGTACTGGTTTATAACTTCATAGCATTGATGGAAAAGTTTATTAATTCAAGACAGATTTTTTTTATTTATTTGTGTGTGTGTGTGTGTTTGTGTTAATCATTAACTTTTTGGAATAGGAAATGACTTTCCTTAGTCACCAGTATAGAACCAAGCCAGCCAGCACATATTTATTGTCTGACCAAACTCTATACTGTTGATGGCTCATTTGATATCAAAAATCCTTAAAACTTGGAATAAACTTTTCCAAATTAAAATGAGCCGCGTCATGACAAAACCAACATAGTGCATTTGCGACCAGCATGGATCCAGACCAGCCTGCACATCCGCGCAGTCTGATCAGGATCCATGCTGTTCGCTTACAAACCCTATTACAAGTACAAGAACTGATAGCGAACAGCATGGATCCTGATCAGACTGCGCGGGTGCGCAGGCTGGTCTGGATCCATGCTGGTCGCAGACGCACTATGTTGGTTTTGTCATGACGCGGTTCAAATGTTCTTTTTTTAACCTCACAAACATGAGTAACAAATTCCTACTGCTTCTACTTTGCTTATGTGAAATGTTTACAATAAGATTTTACTGTTAAATAAGATAGTACCTGGTTTTGGAATTGTTTATTCACATAAATTAAGTATTAACTTGATAAAATTTGACTTGAAATAGTATAAAAAGAAATTTGAGAGCATTTTTATTGTTGATTTACAAGATATTGGCATTTTACAGTTGATCATTTGATCCTGATATTTTCGTAGTGAATTTCAAGTTGGAAATAAATTGGATCTGCACATATAATAACATTTTTGTCAACTTAGTCATCAATTTTAAAGCTGCTTATCTTCAGATGAGCTGGATTTTTTTCAAAATGATGTTTGTATGTCCCTCTGTATGAAATATTTTATAAATATGTACAGTATTCACAGTCCGTTGACAGCCTTGAATTATTATGCAAAATAAAATTTATCCTGTAATTAAAAAAAGTAAAACATGTTTTGGATAGTTTATGTGTAAGGATATGCATGTTGACCTGGCACTGACTATACAAGTGACTTATTATTATTGTAGCCTTCAACTGCTGTAGGTTTGAATAATTTATGTAGGTAATGAGTGTGATAAGCTAGCTTTAGTTACTTTAATTGTACAGTAGACAATATATTTACTGTTATAAAAGCAGCATGCCTCCAGATTCATGTTAATTTTCATAAACATTTTGAAAATGTATTTAAAAGTAAAATAATGTGAGGTGAACAAATAAAGTAATTTACATATTGCAATCAGCACTTACAATCCACGAAAATTATCAAAAAGTGGTTAACAGATGCAAAAACTGCACTTCCTGCGTTAGAAACGCAGTAGAAATATGGTTATAAAACACTGTAAAATCACTCTTAAACTGCACATAGCATGTAAAATATAACTTGGATTTTGAATGTTTTTTCCTTTCTTAAAAGTTTAGTGCAATTTTCTCAATATTGATTTTCTTGAAATATTTTGGCTTATCTAGAGGCGTGCAGCTTTAACACTTTCTATATAGTCAAACCTGTGGTAAAGACACCTTCAAATAAAGATCTCCGTGTAAGTAAAGGCCATTCTTTGTCACGTTTATTGGTGAAATAGAATAATTACCTTTGTTCACAGGTTTGTTTGTATATATCCATAGATATAAGCATGAATATGAAGGTAACCTGTTCTAAACTGTTCCTCATTATTTAAGAAATAGTACACAGCATTGAGAGTCTCGTCCAATTATAGTGACCTATCTGTCAGCCCGCAAACATTTAACATACTGACACCAAAGGCTGAGTTCTGTTTTGGGCTGACTGGGAGGTCACTATATTGCAATGAGGTCCAAAGTAATTTCTTATATTGTACTGCACTTTACTTGAACAAAATGGGAAAAGGTACAAGAAAAGAAATCATATTGTTTAACAAAAATCAATATTCCAAGTAAATTGTTTTGAAATTTTGGGCAGTCAGTTTGTTTTCCTCGCAGTAATACACCACTAAATTTTAGTGTTTTGATAAAAACATTATACAGCCTGCTCAGGCTGTCACTATACATTTTTGTCGGACCATTGAAATCATTGTAAATAATAAACTTTTTAAAGGCCTGCTGACATAGATAAGGAAGGAGCATAGTTATTTATGTAAGGTATAATATGAAATATTACTAACCCATACTGATTTGACAACATCTACATGTATAAAATTATACATTTATGACTATTCATATATCTTAGAATTATTGTATCAACAAAACAAAGTTTTTTTTATATTTTCAGGGTGAAATGTCCTTACTGCCCCGTTGAACAGAATCCAGATGATGCCAAAGTTGTTATGTTCTGAGTCAACAATCATCCAGAATCACTTTGATGTTGTTTGTACAGGCCCTTATATTGTGATATAGGCAATCTTTTTGCATGTTTTCTCTTAACTTAAACTTTGTTTATTTGCATTGAATGCATATAATTCATATAGTTTTTTTGTCTGCTTTTATTTGAAAAATGGCATCAAAGTTTAAAGAGAAATAATGGATAGTGGAAAGAGACAGCTGATAGTCTTTATGTACATCAGAGTACATTATTAATAATAAGTGAAAAATCATGTATCATATCAAAACTTCACTGTTAGAAATGGAAAATTGATGTTAGAGATATAATAAAAATGATTACAAAATGAGGAGAAATGGATATATCATAGAAAAAAAAGAGCACAACAGAAGAATAAAGAGTACATAATAAGAAAATATAGTACATGATAAGAAAAAAAAGCATACATTTTTTTACAATAAAAGAAAATAGAGCACATCAAAAAAAGAAAGAGTACATTTTTAGTTTTTTACAATATGTATATGATAGTGTTCATCCGTGCTGTTCTATGGAAAAATACTAACATACTTAGTGTCAAGCTTTATTTGGCTTCATTAATATTCACTTTATTACGGCAGGACTATTTAAATGAACACGGTTCTATGAAGCACTAGAAATATAGAAGGCAACTTTGAACGAAATTTGATATAGTATCGACTTTTGTTCTTCTACGAAAATTAACATAGCAACACATAATTTTTAAGAAATACAGCATTTTCATTTGATGACAAATAAAGCTGGACAATTTAAATTTCTAAGATAAACTAATTATAATTAGCAACATACTTCTTGTTTGTGTACTTCTCTATGTAAGCAAACAAAACTTGTTTTAGGAATAAATATCAGTGATGTAATAAAGAATGAATGCAAATGTGTAGTAAAATGACAAAGTTTTTTATGTGAGAGAAAATATTGTTTTTATCTTGGTCTATGTTATGTAATTTGCTGGTCAAATTGTGCTTTTTCTCTCTCTAATAAGTTTTTTTTATTGTTGCATTGCGAGAAATCGTCATTTGAATGACGTTCAAAGAGCATCATGGGATATCCATATAGAAATGTCATTGAATGTGCATTGTGTTTATGAGTATGAGAATGGTATTCAAAAACATTTAATGTTCACAATAGAATGTCATTACATGAATAACATTTATAAATCAGGATACAATAATTAAAGTTCTGAATTTTTAATAAGTAATGCAATTGGTTTTGTTCTCATGCTATCCCTTTCAGACAATATTTGTATATAATGTACCACATTTTCCTTGATTATCTATAAAACATTTAATGTGATGACTTTTTACTTTCACACTGCTGGAAATTTTGAACTTTATTAATAATAAATGTCAAGAATTTCAAATATTCTAAAAATATTGTAAGAAGCAATCAACAGATGATTATTATTCAGACTGCACGGATGTGCATGCTTGCCAGGAATTGTAGCTTTTAGCAAAGTAACATCTTACATTTGTAGTGTGGGGCAAGTAAGTGGTCTGAGTAACAGTTCAGTGATGGTGGGTCAGTTGTCCACATTTCATTAAGTACTGGTTTGACCAGAAAAAGAACATCATGTTAACATGGTATTGTCATATGACCATACAAATATTATCCAGTCTTTTATGTGTTCTATCATTTATAAAGTCAGTCTTTTTCATGTATTTCCAATTCAAACATTACAAAAAAATGCACTGAAATGATTGATAAAACATTTGCTAGTACTTTTAAATTAATCATGATGATACATTCAAGATAAAAGTAAAACTACATACTTTAATTTGAAGAATAAAATATCTACTAAATGAAATAGAGTTATGAAATGATAATAAAGGTTTATAATAAAAAGATTATTTAACAGTGATTTCATAAAACGCAATATAATTAGGCTTGATTCTAGTTAATGTTACCTATCAAACTTGCAAAGTGGCTTGTCCAATATGGTTTTAAATAGCTGGATTCTTATCCAAATATACACACATATTTTACAGAACACTGTTTAATAACCTAATACATAGATATCAAAGTTATCTATGTCCAGGTTAGTTATTTTTTCTCTGTCTTTATTCTCCATTTGTTAAATATTTTCCTTTTTATTTTGTAAAAATGCTGTATATATGATTGTATATAATTTATTGTTTTGGAGATGTTGTGATCATGAAATAATAAACATAACGTGAAAAGAAATTGTTTCTTAGTCTTGCTATGTGTCACTGATTGTTATGTAGTACAGACATTGATTTGTGATCATTTTAAAACAGTTAAAGTATTTATAGTTTTAACAGTTTACAGATTTCACTATCTGTCTCAATAAAATGGTATATAGTAGTTTGAACTGTATTAATGTCAGAAATCTTTTAGGTAAAAATTGGAGGTTTGAAGAAGAATAAACTGTTTACAAACTTGATGAATTTGAGAACTATGGAACTATTAACTTTACAAGTAAGGGGCAATAGTCAATAATCAACAAACAAAATAATCATGTTTCTATGTTATAGTTTATTATTAATCTATGTCATCTAATTCAGGTGTAGTTTTACTAGGTGTGTATCTCTTCTGCTCTGCGTATGCAACAAGCTCGTAAAGTCGCCACAAACCCTTACGTTTACCAGCATCTGGTAACTGAGTCCCGACTGTATACACTTTATGTTTTTTTTGTATATTCTCTACGTTCATGGCCAGTAACAAGTCGGTTGCTGATACACTGCCCTCTATATCCTGAAATATATGTTAGGCATATGTGTATACATATCCTGAAATATATTCAGAAATATGTTTTCTTCCCATCACATTAAATATTATAACATACTTTTATATTGTATTTGTAGGTTAAGATTCATATTGTTAGTTCTTACAAAATTACTAAAATAGACCATGATCATAAAGTATGTAAGCAATGATTAGAATATCCACAATAAAAACCACTCCCTAATTAAGACAGACCACTGGTCTAGTCCTGATGGTGGTCTTTATTGAGGGTTTTTACTGTATATACTTAGTAAATGTATATCTGCTGGTATTTTATTCTTCAATTAGCATCAAATAGTTCAAACGACTTTAGAGCTTTGGTGAGCTTCAAATGAGAGAGTTTAAGGATAGAGCAATGATGATTGTGATAATTCATTTACTTTAATTGCTATTTACCTTATTAAAGTTTTGGAGAAGTTGGCAGTTTACTATTTATTGAGAAAAAGGATAATTATATGTTCAAATTAAGGAAAAATTGGTAACTAGTACTGAAATGATTTTGCGGTAAAATCTAAACAAAAATTAGAATAGAACAGCTTTAAAATGTGTTTATTCACAGCTTAATTTTTTTTAAAAGCAAGGGAGCCTAATCAAGATATCTTATTTCTTTCGTCAGAAATTGAATTTATTCCTCTTAGAATTTTAGGCTATTGGTAATATTGTAGTTCCTATGAATGCTGGGGAAAATGTTGTCTGTTAAAATGATATCTGTTGTTTTGTTTTTTTATCTTATCTAATTTTCTGAGAGAGAGAAAAAGATGACTGTAAATCATCATGATACCTCACAAATTACCTTACTGAGCTACATGGTGTTAGTTGAAGGCTGTTGTACAAATTACCTTACTGAGCTACATGGTGTTAGTTCAAGACTGTTGTACAAATTACCTTACTGAGCTACATGGTGTTAGTTCAAGACTGTTGTACAAATTACCTTACTGAGCTACATGGTGTTAGTTCAAGACTGTTGTACAAAATACCTTACTGAGCTACATGGTGTTAGTTCAAGACTGTTGTACAAAATACCTTACTGAGCTACATGGTGTTAGTTCAAGACTGTTGTACAAATTACCTTACTGAGCTACATGGTGTTAGTTCAAGACTGTTGTACAAATTACCTTACTGAGCTACATGGTGTTAGTTCAAGACTGTTGTACAAAATACCTTACTGAGCTACATGGTGTTAGTTCAAGACTGTTGTACAAAATACCTTACTGAGCTACATGGTGTTAGTTCAAGACTGTTGTACAAAATACCTTACTGAGCTACATGGTGTTAGTTGAAGACTGTTGTACAAATTACCTTACTGAGCTACATGGTGTTAGTTGAAGGCTGTTGTGATCTCTCTTGTTAAACAATGGGTTAACAGAAGGTTAACAAACTGGTATAAGATAAGTAACATAAAAATCACCTGTTTGGATGCTACGATTACCAGAGGTGATCCAACTTGACTCATGCAATCTTTCGATTCTAATGACTGTATTGTATCACACTCGTTTAGGAACTCGTGCATCGCTGCACGTGATTCAGCAAATAATGAGGGTTTAGAGCTATCCACCACCCATACGAACATGTCCACGCTGCCAGTTATACCCAGGTGATGTGCACATTGTCCTGATGTCTCGTTACCTTTGAAAAAAATAATTAAAAAAAAAATAGCTAGGATAGTTTATGTTGCTGCGATGATTTTTTTTGTGTCCCTCATTTATTTTCTGATAATTTTTCTCATCAGGAGAAAATCCTACAATGCTTATCCTTACAAATATTGGGTAGTAACATTTATTGGTTGAGCTGGTTTCTCGTAATTAAACAGTCTATAATTGATTTCAGTATGGTGTGTTATAATTTCTATAACAACTTGTTTGTTAGACTGAATAAATATTGTAACTTTTTGGCTGAATAGATATTTCCCTCAAAGGCTGAATAGTTATGTAACTTGCTTTGCTTAATTAATATGTAACTTTTGGGCAAACCAGCTGTCATACTATTTCTTTTAATATTTGTCAATTTATGACATTCAAAATTTCAAGTATTTATGATAAATTTTCAAATTTGTAAAGTAAACTATTATTTGTATATAAAATTGATTAAGTATAGGTTAGTGTTTAAAAAAAGCATTAACAAAAATAATTGGTCAAGCCTGCCTGTATGCATCAATAATAAACATGCTTTTGCGTATTGGTTTCCCTGAAGGCCAAACATTAACAACAAAATCATAAGAATGCTTGTTGTTTTGCATAAACTTAGTGACTGGGAATACAAAGGTTGCTGTAGTAAAACTTTCAACACCTGGCAAAAATGAAGCATTTTGTAAAATTTTACTCATAGAAAAGGTATTATGTTTCTGCTTTACAAAAGTGATTTATCATTGATTAATGCTATTTATGAAAGATGTTAGGGTATAAATTTTCACACTGGTTAACATTTTGCCATTTTTTCACCACCAATACCTTTAATCTCATCCGATAGTTCACTGTCCTCGATTATGGATAAAGTTAACAAAAACACAGTTCAAGGTTAATGCAATATATATAATGCTTTGATGTATTCCACATATATAATCTCTCCAGTTTTCAGGCCATTGAGGTTAGAAAATAGACTGCATACATTTTCAACAAATAAAATAAAATTTCAAATTTAGATTTAAGATTCATGTTTCAGGTAGTGAGGTAATAACCCAGGAGGCATACAATTATGTAAAATATGTAGCTCAGAGGGTCAATGACCGTTCAAACTGGAATTATCCCAGGCAATGACCTAAAGGATTTTTATGAATATACATTTATTTATACATACATGTATGAAGATTCAGATTAAGTGCTTTACAGTTTCACATAAATGAAAATTAAAAAAAATGAAATACATGTAATAAGAAAAGAAGCTTAGTTGATTAAAAAAATATTGTTTGTTTATAATATTGAATGTCTTTAAACTGTGCCAAAGCGGAATTTTATCTGAATCTCAAGGTTGTAGTTATGTTGTGTTGCACATTTTGAAAATATTTACTTATCAGACTTGTTTATCATAAAAATCTATTTATAGTGTTGACATTTATTTATGTCAAAATTTACATAAAAACTAGGGCAGACAAGTCTATTTCAGCTATATTTAGAAATAAACGGAATTATGAATAAACAACAAGTTGTTCATGATTATCCAATGAAAATCAATTGATAATAAATTGTTAAATTTCCTTAAGAAATGTGAATGCACTTGCTCAGCTTACATTATCAAAGTGTAGACCTATACTGGTGGCAAATGCTGTAAATGTTAGGTTCCCTTATTGTTCAACATATTATATATTGCATAAAAATATTTAGTTCCTATGAAATTTAGAAAGCCTTTTATAAGAAATCATATTTATTTGCTATATTTTTCCATTATAAGTCTTGCACTAAAATTGTATGTGGTTTTACTTTTGTCCATCTGTTTAGGGAAAGCATCAAATTTTTGCTGGTTCCTGCAAAATTTCTCCATAATTGATTTAAGACTTTCAGTCTAATGATCATTTGTGTCTCATGTGGGATAAGAAGGTTACTTGCAAAGAAATTGGTAATTACTGGTAAGTAATCCAGGATAGTTGGTAAGGTGGACGTAGATTCAGATATGATCAAAACAGTGTTAAATTGGGAGAAAAATGCTTAAAAGGTGTTTGTAGCTGACATGAGTTGACATCGCCACATGTTAAAGTTGTTAAAGTAATTATAAAGCCATTATATTTCATATTAAGCTAACTATTGGTCATATAATTATATAATAATAATTATACCCCCATTCAATTGTACCCCCCCCCCCACATTCAATAGCAGGAAAAATGAATCAACACATGATTCTTCTTTTTGCATACATTGATTTTGCACTTCAATAGCCAGGGATATGGCCAACTTGCAGTGCTGCAGCATTTACAGGGATTTAACCTCTTATAGTCCCATTTATTAAAGGTTTGAAAATTTAAATGCCCAGAGGTGGCAGGAGTTTTCAGACTTGTGGATATAATTAAATGTTCCTGAAAGGATTTAAATCCATAGATGAAGCTGATGGGCTAGCGATTCAAGGCCAGTGACTTTGGTCTTGAAAGCCCCATTCTGAGACAGCTACCTGACTTCTGTTTATTTCTATGAGTGAAGGTAGGTATACTAAACAGTGCCACTGTGGGTAATAAAGGAAATCATGACAATGAAATAAGTGTAAATAAGCAATCATGTTAATTATTTGTTTACAATAAAATTCAATGTAAACATAAACATATAAATAAAATTTCTGCTGGTACAGGAACATGTACAGGTAATGTATTTTAGCAGCACTATAATAATATAAGAAATTAGTTGAATTAAGATCAATTTTATTTGAACTGTATTTAAACAGATTTCTCTAAATACGCTTTAATTTTCAGATTTTTGTTTAATCATCTAGAACTACAAAATAATATTAAATGCATTTTTTAAACACTTGCCAGTACAAGAAATGTGTATACAAACCTTCCCAGAAGTGATAATCAACACCACATATTCCTACAGAATGGATGTTAAAACCAATTGATGGATCTGGAACAGGTAGAATATTGCCAGGGTATGAGCTCTTCTGAAAACATTGCAAGAGTCTAGTCTTCCCTGCACCTTTGAGACCTAATATCAATATACGTCTTTGGGAACTACCACCCTGCAACATAATTTTCTACCAATCAAATGTTGTCAACAATTTTCCTAGTAAAATTGAAAGAATGGGTTTTAGTCACATAGTGTAAAATACTGTGACAATTTTTACAACAAATTACAATTGAACCTCATAATTATAAAAAGATCTTCAAGAGTTTGATCTTCCACTACAGCAAATGAAAATCACTTTCATTCTGTCTATCCATGTACTGTATCATGGAATGATCTTAAAAACCACAGATAGACCACAGCTACTAATATAAAACAAAGATTATACTATTTTAATACTATAATCTGAAAAGGTAACAGTAGAGATTATTTAATTTTTATTTTTGTAATTTGCATCTTGTATAATAATATTATACAAATGAGAATGATAATCATTAGTCTACACACTAGATATGAGGTATCCACAGATAATTACATGTAATCACGGATTTATATTACAATATGTGATATCAATCCGTGATGTAATATAAATATGTGGACTATAAAAAGCCAAGCATTTGTATGTCTGATATAATTTATTTCATAATATTCAAACATTTTACATTTTTTTTTAAATTTTAGATCTAAACAACTGAAAAAAATGTTTTTGTTAGTTTAAAAAAAGAACATGACAAGGCACCTGTATTTAAGTCTACACCAATTAAAGATTTCAACATAGTTTAAAGGGACTGCAGTTGTATAGTATCAAAGTTTAAAATAATCTTAGGAAAAAATCATCAAAGAAATAATTACTTTGACTTGACTTAAAATTTTCAAACTTCCTAAAGTTGCAGATATTAATTAACCACAACACCACTTTAAATATTAATATTTACAAGTTTACCTTCCAATTCAAAGTTACAAAATATTCATCAGGCTTGTTCCGCTCACGTGTCAACAAATAGATGCTATAAGCTGCAGCCAATGTCCCAAGACTGCCAATAATAAAAGCAATCTTTTTGTTTACACAAAACTGTTGTAAACTTAATTTTGACATTTCAAAAGCACATGGTTTCTGTTGCTATTGTTTGTGTTTTGATTCTAAATTTAGAACAAGTAAATCTATTACAGGTCACCTATTTATAGATCAGTCAATCGGATTGTTCCGTAACCTACCGTACTCTTCCGGTTTACAAAACGGAGACTGACGTTTTTCCCCATTCGGAACAATACGGTATTTTACGGAAAGATACCATCTCCATTTTGACGACCTGATCAAACAAGGACACGAAGATACAACAGAAAAATGGCTTTAAAAATCTGTGATGAACACAACGTACCGATTTCTTACCACATGGTTGTTGAGACTAAACATTCCCCAGCTTTATTGTGCTAAATTTATTTATCAGGTAGGTTTTAAGTCGTGATTTTTTTTCGAAATTCGTTGATTGATGGTGAAAATTTTGGCCGTGTCCAAAATCTGGTTCATGGTGAAAAACAACGCGAAACAAACATGTTTGTGTAGTGCGACTCACCGAATTTCTATAACAGTTGTTATTTGCATTTTTTTCAAGCGATCATGTTTTTGACCCAGTATTTATTCGTATTTATTCAGAAATTATGCACAATTTAGCCATACGCATATTAGACTTTGTTTCGATTACAGTACAGTAGAGTAACTTCTATATAGATATTGCCAAAATGCGGCTCAATGTGCCGGAATTATTTTGGGATATAATTGATGGAGGTAAATTCTATTTATTCTTTTTCAGACTAGTATGCAGTACATCTAATTAGTCTCTAGAATCTTATAATAGGGGAGATAACATGTCGGAATTGAAATGGATTTAACTGAAGCAGTGTCTTTAGCCACTCACAAAATAGACAAATGTTGTTTTTTTCCCCCGCTGATTATTATATTTTTCATTTATTATCATACATAAATCAGTGTGAAAACCTACATCTAAAACTTTAGTCAAAGTTGATGAATAAGACCTTTTAAAGTTCATTCCGATTTCCGTTTGGTAAAAAGGCAAGATTTGAGCATTTTATCATTCAAGCGCCTTGTACGTATATAGATCTACCGGAATATTTTTAATCTCAGTCAATTGAAATTGACAAACTGCTTCTTGATTAATCAGTATTTTTGAACAGTGTTTTTTCCCCTGCTTTGGGAATTGTGCTTGTACCGGACAGATTGGGAAAAAATCCATCAGTTTGACTAAAATTGGGAATGTTACGTAAGAATCATTAGATGCAAAATATTCATTGGGAATTTCTTTCATCCATGGGGGAGACATGAAAATATGCATAATATACACTTTAAAACCATGTATTATTAACTTGAATGATTATTTTTGCGACTTGAGGTTGAAAAAAAATGATAATGATTACAATTGTGCATAAATAATGTTTAGGTGTGAAACATTAAAAGTACAAAATGAACTGGGTACGAAAATCACTTGTGTGGTAAGTTTTGGTTTTTATTGTATATCACTTATCCATTGATTTTTTTCCAATTTTCAAAACAACCTGTGGCCTCTGAAGGGGAAAATATAGCGTATGAAATCAGAAAAGGGAAAAATTAAATTCCAACAACTGAAAATGAAATTAACCAAATTTTCATTTTAAATTTAATTTAACATGCCTGGAACATAGCAGAGGCTATCTATAGGGACAGCTTTCTGTCTTCTAGCTGATTATGTCAGCTGCTCTCAGTCTCATGAAGAATGTGCACAGAGCATTTAAGGGGAATATTATTAGCATTTTTAGGGGAAAATATACCTATTTTGGGCTAGGGTAAACAGCCTTTATTTGGCTGTAAAATACAGGGAAAAAATCACTGCAACGGCATTTCTGTTTTTGTTTACCTTTAAAGTTGCTGTTTTTTGAGGAAATTTTCAGTGTTATTTTGGGAATTTATCAGTCATGAATTGGGAAATTTGCTGTCAATTTCCTATTGGGAATGGTGCCATTTCCCGGTATTAGATATATAAGGCCACAGAAAATTAATTTTTAGACTCTCATCCTCGCCCGCCCGTATCAAAATCTTTCCGCTCCAAAATAATTTATTTTCATAAAAAAAATTGTTCATTTCGCAGACGTCTGTGGACGAAAATTCGTCTGAAAATCGTGGTCGAATATTCGCGGGACGAACGCATAAAAATCAGACTGAGGTTTACAGCATCTAGTGATCAAGATTTTAAATACGTTCGTTTTCGATCAGTAAAATTGTCAAAATGTTCGTCATATGTGAAATATATGATGCAGTAAACAAGAAAACTGTTTGTGATTGTGAATGTGTTAGACAGATTTGCACCCTCCAGTTTATCACAATGGGGATATAACCTTTATCTTGTATTCCTCCTGACATCTTATATACATGTATATTTATTTTGCTTGCCACATTTTGCACATTCATCACACATTTTGCTTCTTGTTGCAACTTTGCCTTGTATTGTTCTTTTTGCTTCTTTCAGCTTTACAATATTGTGTTTCAATTTTATTTGCTTTATATGCATGTTTGTTTGTCTGCTTTCACATGTCTTATGTTTGCATATTTGTCTCTGCTTTATTAACAGACCCAGGACCAGTCTCGATGTGTAGATAGTTGCAGCCGTAGTTTTAATCATTCAGTTTATCATCCACCATGTACATTCATTTGTTTGGTTTGAGGAAGAGAGTAAACGCAGGTAAAAGTCTCCTCACCCCCGTCATTGTAGTGTTATAACATCACATCATGTCTTTATATCATGATTTCTTCGTCACCTCTAGTGCTTAGTTCAAGGCTGGTTAAACTCAATGCTCCTAGATATATTGGCATGTGACAATGTTATTGAACAGACTGCAGTATATCTGGCAATTTTAGTATGTTTTCATCTTAAATTTTAGAAATACCAAATACTTTACTTAGTTACTTTATGTGCCTTTAGGCATTTATTTGTGGAGAGAAACAAACAATGTTTGGTTGTATGACAGCTTTGTGTGAAAGGGTCATAACTACTTCTTTATTTAATAAGTTACAACCTTTTTGCACCAAAGATGGCCGTCTGTTCAGAATCGTATTGAGAGAATGGTGTTAAACAGTTGAACAAATTTTAAATAAGACACAGATTAAAGGTTTTTGAATTAAATATTATTCAATGATTTTATGCAAGTAAGCTGATGATTGTGATGTAATTTAATCAAATATTCAAGTTAAGTACCTTTCTACCAGGTGTTCTTATATAATAATAATTATAGCTTATTTTATATATTTAATCTTACTGGTCATTTCCTTAAGTATTAACTGCACTGGTCACAAACCTTTAATCTAGATTATTTAACCTTAGTTCAATACTTTAATCTCATTGGATCAGATTAAAAGTCTTATGTTGTTGTTCACAATTTCTTATATTCTGTTATTGTAGACATTAGATATTAACAGAGTTAGACATATAATTAATAGCATTTTTATCTCTTTAACTCTTTATATTGCATTCTATATACTAACATTTTGTTTGGCATATTTGCATGTTCTTTGACTGACATATAAATTTTATTAATATTAAAATATAATTTTATATAATCATGTAGATTGATGTATTTGTAGAGCAAGGAAGATTCTCGAATCTGTTATTTGTTTGGACTTAAGGTTACTTTTTTTTTTTAAATATTAGCCTTTTGTATAAAGTCTTAGACAAGAGTTGATAGTTATTGCTTTAAAAATTTTAAGAGTTTTGAACGTGTGAAAATGTCACTTAAAATACAGAGAGAAGTTTTATATGTGTAAATTTCCTTAATTTAAAGTGTATCTTTTGTTCCATATCATAGTCATAATACTACTCTAGTGGTTATATTTTAATTAATTTCTAGGTGACTCTTTTTAATGACTCTGTTTCAGCAGGAATCAAAAGTGATAACTAACCTTCTACCACGAGATTATATAGCCAGGCCAGTCTGTACATTCATGTACAGTCTGACCAGTATTTCAAACACACTGCCAAAATATTTAACTTATATTTTAAAAGTACTATGATAAATAAATGCACTTAGTCTTTCAACAGTTTTAAATATTAAAATTGATCAGATTTTACAAAATGATGCATGATTGGAACCTTTCTCCAAAACATCTATGAAAGACCTTGAATTTATGATACATGTAGTAATTATTGATTACATTGTACTGAGTTGGAGTAAACATTTCTTTTACTTATAAGATAAACTTATTATTATACCCACAATATAAAAAGATACATTTCATTTGTATCATTCATAAATGACAGGTTAAATGCAAGTCATGTAATAATTTTAACCTGTACCTGTATTAAACAGTTGAAACCAGAAATAAGCAAAACCCCAGTTTTGACTGAACGTAGGTCAGGAAGTATTGGCCATTTTTTGCTAATCTTGGCATATTATAAAGAATCATATATCACATGCATTATCACTAGTAAGATATTTCACTTCGAAGTTCTGATGCATTTTTTTTATTGATTAGAAATATATATTTACAGCCTTTTTACAGCAGTATATAATATATAACTCTTATAAATGTGGCAAGTTTTCTTCACAAAGTGTGCTGTCAAGGGCATTCACCCTTTGTTAGAGAGTTTATATTGTAATCAATGGTGTGGTCATTGGATAGGTTCAAGAACAGTTCAATCTGCCTATACTGACATAGTAACAATATAAATGTGAAAGTAGATCCTATATCCACCCAGTGTATGTGAAATCCTGTAGCTTAAATATTGTAGAATTGAGGTATTGAAGTGAGTTTTAATGCAGTGGGTGAAAATGGGAAAATGCATTGAGGATGTAATTGATGAAGATGGTAATTTATTTCATAATTTGTTTCTCTTATAGGATTTATCAAACCACATTTTATATTGTTAATTTTGTAAGTCTGGTCTTTACCGTGAATTTAGAATTCAGTATCAAAAATAAATGTTATCTCATTTCCAAAAGTATATTGACAGTCAAAGTTTACTGTTCAAAAATCTTGAATTTACCTGACATTCAATGTATAGGATTGATTTAACATGTCCGTTATCTTGCCAAATGTGTCCTTAAGTTGCCAAATGTGTCTGTTCCATTTGCCAAATTTTGTCAAAATACCAAGGGTTATAAAAATGATCAATTATCTTTGACATTATTATTGTTTCGTTTTTTTGACGCTTTTTTGGGGGGTATTTTATTTAATTTTTTGGTCAATAGTACATATGTATACTGTAATTCGCAGCAGTGTATATATTTTAATTTACAGAATCATACTTATTCATTTAATTTTAATGGGACAAGGAAACTTAGTACTTTATGTATTTATGTCAGTATTGTTTAGAAGAAAGTCCGTTTCTTGAAAAAGTCCAAAATTTTAAAAGCCGGCCCACAGGTTACTACAATAATTTGGTGTTGTTTTTTTTTTTTGGGGGGGGGGGGGGGGGGGGGGGGTTCATGTAGTACACACAAAGCTTAACAATATGACAATATGATATTGGTGGTGGGAGAAAGGTCAAGGAGTGCACTGAGAATTATGTCATATTTATTTGGTCAGCTTTACTAGATCTATATTTAACACTGACCTACTTTAATGTGTATTGTTTACATTGACTACATCAGGTTATTTCAAGCTGGTATTTCATCATCATTGTAAAAACAGGAGCACAAAAATAACCAAAACTAACATGATCTACCTATTTTTTATTGCATCATCATTTAGTTAGTGTCTATTGTGTGTTTTAAGTGTTGGTTTTTTTCCAATAAAATCATTAAAATTTCTGTGATTACACAGGGTTAGATAATTCTATATCAAAAGTGATTTACATAAAGTTTAGTGAATAACTGTAATAAATATTAAGGATATATACAGGTAAAGCATTGTTGCAGTTTTGCAGCGTATTTGGTGTTGTTTTTTGTTCAAAATATAAACTATTTGTGAATGAAAAGCTACCACAAAATTTTGCAAACCGGTAGTGCTAATTGGAAAGCTATATTAAATTGACAATTAGATACGGTTTTATTATTTGCATGAATTGATGACTGGTATAGAACTGAGACAGTTGTTTATTACAATATTCCAATAAACTGCATGATGTTGTTAACACCATTGCACTATTTTTGAAAAACTGATTGCCTTATTTTCACATTGTCAGCTTTATTTCAGAATGATTTTTAGCCACTGTGACTGTTGAATTTTGTCAGATTTATATTAATTAATTAAATCGTAATATAATGAGACAAGGGTAACAATATTATTGCTTTTTATATTTTCAGAGTTTGTGTGTTGGTTTTCTCCTGGGAAGTTATCAAAGGATCCATCAGTCAAGATGCCTTTGGAACTGCCCACTTCGGAAAGTCTTCCGGTGACTTCTTCAGCACAGATGGTCTCTGCTCAGCCGAATACCAGTACTGGCAGTACAAGTGGCAGTATAGTTATCAGTAAAGAAAGCGTGTTAACTTCCATGTGTGATACTCTCCTGAATCATCCATCATCAACTCACACTGATATCTCAAAGACAATAGATTTGGTTGTTGTATCTACTGGTGCTTGTACGCAAGCCGGACAATTTTCAACAACAACAACCTCATCACCAACAACATATAAACTGTGCGAGATAGTGTCTCGTGAAAAAGATGTGTTGTTTCAAAACAGTAACAGTTCAGAAGTGGAGCTTGAACCAGCTCGTGAAAATGTTTACTCTGTGCGCCGTCGTAGTCGCCAATTCTTCACAGTTACAGAAGAAGAAGAAAATGAATCAGACTCTGACAACCATGCTTTATCAGGTAAACAATGATTTATCAGTTTACAAAGGAGGCATAAAGATAATCATAAAAAGTGTTAAACTTTTAATGTATAACTTGAAAGTTATTTACAGATTATAAGAAAGCTGTTTTTTTGGACTAATTAGTTTGATATCAACTATACTGATTTATTAAAGCTCTTAAATACTGTTACATGAATTATTATGTATTGTATTACTACTATGTTCATGTGTTAGCTTGTAAAAGTGATATTTCAATTAAGAGTGATTGTATAAAATTTATAAATTTTCTATTTTCAGTTGACCAAGAAAAGACAGTTAAAATTGACCCTATATTTAACCTAGGAGACAGTCTGAAGAGACTGTACTTTCCACATCATCATCATCATCATCATCATAAGGAACATCCAAAGAGAGAAAGAAAGGTTAGGACTTTCAGCAAGAAGCGTCCTGGTAGTGCAGAATCCCATGGCTACGAGAGTGATCCTGAGGGAAAGGTTGGACTTTTAGATATTGTGAAAAATGATCCCGGCATGAAGGCGTATAATAGTCATCCTGAACTGAACATGACAGAAACGGTTGCTTTAGATGAATCTGTACATGAATTTAAGAGTAAATCATTACCTACAACACCTAGAGTATCTCCAAAGTTACTGAGGAGAAACTCTTTAAAGAATTCAGAAAAAAAAGAGGTACAGAAAACTGGACCTGGTTTCTCATTCTTGGCTAGTGTTGCTGGAGAATTGCATAAAAGGAAAAATCCTGAAAAACAGCTTGAGAAAGGTATTAAGAAAGTGTCTCCAGGCTCGAGTTTAGGTCCAAGTTCAGGTACTGTTGCCGTTACAGAGACTTCTGAATCAAAGCAGGTGGCCAAGTCACAAACAGGAACAATTATGGACAGTAAAGAACCAAGCAGAAGCATGCATACACACCATGTGCATGATTTCTCGGAATCAACAGGGATTGATTTAGAATCTCATGACCCAATTTCACTTTCCTCTTTTGTGAAATGGGGCACTACCAAGAAAATTAAGATCACTAATAAAGAAAGTAATATGTTTTCACCAACTTCTTTTTGATTACCGGTATTAAAACTATTGTCTTTTTACAAGAGCATACCATTGTGATAAACAGTTTAAAATATTTTTTGTGAGAAAGTTAAGTTAAATGATTGGTAGTATATATGTAATAACAAATCTCTAACATGGTCTAGACATTTTAGAAAATTGTTTACAAATGAATCTTTATACTTTACAATTATTTTAGTTACAAAGAAAATAATCATTTGCTTTTTAATGATTATGAATCAAATTTCTGATCTCTGTAATTTAGAATTTCTCATCAGAACTTGTGGAATTTTTAAATATTGCCTTCAGATTAACATATATTTAATATTCATAAGTGATATACAGAAAGTTTTATAGACAATGTCTCCACTCTATACAATATCCAGTATTTAAATGATAAGCTTTAAATATGTATTCTCACAAAGCATATGTTGAAACTCAAAGTATTAATATAATAAATAGATTTACATATTGGTAGTGTTTCTAGTCGCATCAGAAATAGAGGGCAAAAAATAGTTAAAGTATTTTACTTTAAAACTTGACTGTTCAAAAAATAGTAGGGCTTTCCTTCACACTGTAAAATTTTGATGCTGTACTATTTGGTAAAGGATTTGCATGCATCTTCATTCACATATCATTAACTGCTGATTGACTTCATATGGAACTTGAAATTACAAATGTTAAGGATCATTACTTAAGTTAATTCAGGGCTTTTTTTTTTCCTTCTATAGCAGGGGCCGTTATAGGGCTGCTTCCCCAAAGAAAAATTCTTTGATATCATGCAGTTTTCCCCCAAAATTGAATTAACATAAAGTTTTTCTTCCCCTTTTCAAATACATGTATACTGTGTTATTTTCCCCAAAGTTAAGGGCAAGGCTGCTTCCTCGACTTGTGAAAAAAACATTTAGTAGACTTTTTTGAAAGTTCTATTTTGTTTGGTTCTATCTGAACAATCACTGAATGTATTCACTAGAAACATCTCACAAGTTGTTATGGTTATATCTTTGGATGTTAAAACCAACACCCATAACTCTAGGTTTTCTCTGAATTTTTCTGTATTGTGAAGGGAATGATTTAAAGGGCTGAGAATAGTCAAGTGTGAAGCTTTTGCTTACATTACAGTACATTTTTTTGGTCAGAAATGTTAAAGGTCCTGGGTTTGATATTATGTTTTTGTTTAGCATACACTAAAGTTTTAGGTATGTTGTTATTTGTAAATATATTCATGTAACTGATATTTCACATTGATGGACATGCATTCATCAATTACATAAACTATAAACTTTAACACATTGTGTTTTAACATTCCAAAAAATGTTTCCAGCTCATCATTATTTTCGATGAATTTCTAAAAAGAAAGAATAGATGCAAATTATAGGCATGAATGATAAAAGTTTGTTAAGAGAGAGATAGTATAGCAATTTCTAATCTTGAAATTAATTCTTAAAGATATAATTTATAAAAAGTTTTTTTCAGTAACATCATTATCATCTTTATGACGCAAGTTTTATTATAAAAAAGTAGATACAAATCACAGTGTGAATATTATACATGTAACTATGTTGTGTGTTGTTTTTCTTCTTCTTTTTTTTTAAATATAGAAATGATGCGTATTTGACAAGGTCACTTGTATATCAATTATTATATGCATATTATTCACATTTTATTATCATCAGATTTATTGTCAACAAGTTTCAATGACTTATTTCACTTTCTTTGTAAAGTAATAGGATTTCTACATGAATATTTCTTTTTCGTCATATTTTTTAGGATAAGATGATTTTAAGTTTTCATGTACATATTACATATTTTATAGGAGCTTGAAAGCTTTGATATTTAAGACACATTACGTGGTGGTAACAAGTTCTGTCTTTAACTATTTTGCTAGAAGAATTTTACAGGAAAGGAAATAAGATGTAAATGAAATGTAAGGTTCTGATGTCATATAATGATTTTATAGTCAAATTTTGACTTCATCGGAAATTGTTTACTTGTACGCAAATTATTGATATGGAAGGTATTTTACATGTTTACTGTATTTGTATTAAATTGATGAATATTGTATTTCTCTGTAATGAAAATAAATGTGTACTTTTTTCTTGAAAATTAATGAAGTTGTTTGTTGTAAGTATTCCAAATTAGTATGGTTCTGTATTATAATTATCCCTCTATATTGAAGACATTCTCTGCCTTAAATGTTGAATGGTTCACTTGTAGATAAATTGAGTCTATTGTCAAAATAATAAAACTGAGGAGCCAACTGTATAGATTCTGATCAGGTTGTATAGATATGCTAGCCTGGTCTGGCAGTAAGACTTCACAGTTCCATCTTTATGGTTAAAATTATTGACTGCCCATACAGAAATTGATATACATGTATATATATACGGTATACATAGAACAAGAGTAATTTGATGACCTATCTGTCTGCACTCTATGCTATTTTATGATGGATGATACAGCAATGAATGACATAGGTGTCAGAGGAAAGCATAAATCTTGGTCAGCAGCATGTACCAGGGGAATTTATTATTTTATCTGAGCTCTGCAAACACCAGCAAAATTTGTGAATGAACCCTCTCACAGAAATGCATTTTGTTGTCCCGTGGTACAAAGTAGTTATCACTTCTTCATTGCTTGTCTTTCCAGACTGTCTGTCCGTCACAAAGTTGTCTGAACTTCTGCTCAAAAAGTACTGGTGAAATTTCATCGAAACTACAGGAATGATCAGTACCAGTTGAGTTACGCAAATAGAGTATCCCTTAAATAATTTTTAAAAAAAAAGGCGTTTTTGTTTGTCGACGATTTTTGTGTCTCCTGCTACACTGTAGCTACTACATATTATAAAGTAGCTGCAACATATACTATAGAAAACAAACTGGTCAATCACCACTCAATACAATTGTTTAATTGGTTATCATCAGGCAACACAGGTGTTACTTTTGTTCTCATCTTGAAAATTAATTTTGTAGCAGCAGAAAATTTTGCCTGTTCAGACATTGGAAAATGACACAAATTTGCTAAAGTCCAGTTAATTTACTTTCTCACGCCGATTTTAATATAATTGATCATATCTCTGTGGTCAATCCATTTGTGTTTTTCCTGGTTAACTTAACAGTAATATACAATTTCGCCACAAGTGACACTGAGTCATGATTTCTGAATCAGCGGTGAGAGACAAATGAACATTAGACTCCATGTCGGAGACATATTGTCATAAAAATTGAGCTGCATTAAATATATTTTAAAATATGTGCTGTTATAATGGTGATTGACCAACAGTTGATATTGAAAAAATGTTTAGGTTGAAATATAAATCTGCCTAAAATATATAAAAAAGACTGCCCCACTGTTTTTATAAATTGAAAGTTACAGTTAAAATCGGATGGATATTTATAAAAAATTTTCTTGGGTCATGCGAGTTATTTATCGTTCATGTGAAGGAAATTATAAAATTGAATGGCAAAATGTAAACTTATTTTGACTTTCACCTGGTCACTCACTATATATCCTTGGATGGGTATAATGTCTTTTTTTTAGGAATCCTGAACCAGAAATTGTATTTTGTTGAATATGGCACATCCTTCAAATCTGTGACGGGTCTGTGTTTTTTATAAGGATTTGACAAAACCCTGTTCTTTTTAAACTAACAAGTAACTGTTTTTCAATTTAGAACAAGGTTTTGAACAACATGCCCATCAGCATTTATGATACACAAAATGTTAGCCACTGCAACAACAATCATCTTGGTTGAGGCACAAAACTGCCTGTAACTGATTGGTTCTAGGGCTCATATCACCTGTAGGCAAAAAAATTTCTCCAGAATTATAAATATTCTGGGTTTACCCAGCTAATCCCAGGGTTCAAACAGACTTACAGTTAAACTTTGACAATAAGCCTATGGATAATTGGTAGTGCACTTTGATAGTCTATACTTGGGGCATAGCTTTGAAAAACCCTCATTTTGACGTGTTCCAGATAATATCTATTCATCATCAACCATAGATTTTAATGAACATTCAATTCCTTTGCCTTTGGCTATTAAACATTAAACAAGACATAACAATTATAAATGTACACTTTATCTTAAAACAACCACAATTTACACATGATTCCTATACAGCCACATGATATTGAAGTGTTTTGCTGACACAATTAAATGAATATCCTTTGAATTTCAGTTAACCAAGATAACTGTTTTTCTAAGAAAAAAAGAGTGAACAAATAATCTTTAATTTAATATCCCCTTACCATGTTATGTTTTTTTTAAATAACTTGATTTGTATAATAGACTTCTAAGTTGGTAGGGCTGTTTGTTTGGTATTTTTCAGTATTGATTCTATGGATTTTACTATCAAAAAAGTAAAATTAAACATATAGAAGTGAACCATCTGATCACTGTATGTACATATACGATATAGGCAGCTAGCGCTCTCTGTCTGTTTTGGTGGTAAAGACATATTTATTACAGCTGTAAGCATATTGTGTTATAAAGTGGTCACTGTAGTGTTTCTCTACCATTATAGCTCAATACGGCATCATATTACAATTCATACACATTGATGGACCGTTAAAGTATCAAACAATACCTTTACACAACAGACTTCATTTATCAAACATGCATTATATATTAGATGCATAATTAATAGGTCTCAATTATCTAATATTTGATTATTTAAAGGTAACAAGCCTAATTCATCAACATATCAATATCTAATTCATACACAAACAAATGTTTTTACGATCAATTTTATTTTAACCTTCTCTCTTTCAATACAGTACAATATAATAAATAATTATAAAATAAACATTATGAGAAATTTAATATCACAGTTGCTCTCTGAATAATTCTGGACGGAGAATGACTTACCAGATGTTAAATCAAAGTTCATATACTCTAAAGTAAATTTACTATATACTGAATGAAACTGTATAATGCCTGGTTTTTAGGGCGACGGCCAATTATTCTTACATATTTATTTAATGTAGCTTTAAATAACTTGATTTGTGTAATTGAGTTCCAAGTTGGTAGGGCTGTTAGTTTGGTATTTTTCAGTATTAATTCTATGGATTTTACTATCAAAAAAGTAAAATTAAGCATATAAAAGTATCACTGTATGTACATATACGATATAGGCAGCTAGCCCTCTCTGTCTGTTTTGGTGGTAAAGACATATTTATTACAGCTGTAAGCATATTGTGTTATAAAGTGGTCACTGTAGTGTTTCTCTACCATTATAGCTACGGCCATCATATTACAATTCATACACAATGATGGACCGTTAAAGTATCAAACAATACCTTTAAGCAACAGACTTCATTTATCAAACATGCATTATATATTAGATGCATAATCAATAGGTCTCAATTATCTAATATTTGATTATTTATAGGTAACAAGCCTAATTCATCAACATATCAATATCTAATTCATACACAAACAAATGTTTTTACGATCAATTTTATTTTAACCTTCTCTCTTTCAATACAGTACAATATAATAAATAATTATAAAATAAACATTATGAGAAATTAATATCACAGTTGCTCTCTGAATAATTCTGGACGGAGAATGACTTACCAGATGTTAAATCAAAGTTCATATACTCTAAAGTAAATTTACTATATACTTAGATTTATAGACATGAAATGAAATTATCTGCTTAGCACTTGGTAATACATCATTCCTTAACAAATTTAAAATGAAAAAGTTATTTATACACAAGAAGTTACATTTCTTTTAAATATTTCATAGTTCAGTATGTTTTAACACAACATATGGAAAATAAACAAAAAACAAATGAAAATTTTCAAACAGTTTTATAGTTGAAAATGAAAAAAATGCAGTTTTTTTAATGCAAAATATGACATTTTATTTTAAAATTTTCAAAATAGTTAAACAAGAATGTTGCAGGTAATAAATAAAAATTTCAAGGTAACTGTTTTTCTTTTCCTTTTTTCTATCTTAAAAAAATGGCATGTTAGTCACATTTTATTCAATATGAAAAAAAGAAGCTGCTAAATATAATTCTTAAAAATATTCTCCATAGGTTAAATATATTGAAATGCAAACAACATTTTTAGAATATGTTTTTCATCTTTCTAAAAAAGTCAAGGTCAATTAAAGTGTTTTCAACAAAAGTGAAAACTTAAAAGTTTATAAGTTCTGTAAATCCTGGCAGTCAATATATGAACAAAACCGTTTCAAACTTGTCTTGTTACATCTGAGTGACGACTATGTTAGGTAGACCATAACAAATAAAGTTAAACCAAGATCTTTGTATGTCTATATTCTCCTTGTACTCTTGTACAGTTGTTGAAGTTTTATCACTTGTCTGTGATCTGTCTGTCACTGAACCATCACCCTTGCTCTCATCTTCCTTCTTGTCCGCTTCCTCACCCTCGGCCTCTCCAGACTCAGTCAATGGGATCTTTCTGCGGTAAGGGGTGAATAACATGCGCACGGCTTCACCAGTAGATAATCCACTCTCTAACAAATCTGTGAATAAATAACATGACTTTGTAACTAATATAAACCTCATAGAATATAATAATTCTCAAATATATTGCTCCCTGTAAACCAGAGAGACATAATGAGAGATGGCCTAGTGGTTACGGTGTCTGCCGCCTAGTGGTTAAGGTGTCTGCCTCTCAACGGAAAAATTGTTGGTTAATATGACACCAGGACTGGTTGGTCCGAAAAGCATAATCAATAGCGGTTCATAATTTAAGCACCAAGCTTTCATCTGATCAAGCTAAAAAAATGTGATATACATTTTAAATAGACTAACCTACAAATAAGCTTTAAAAAACATTTACATATGACTCATAGCTCATATAGCTGGTTCCTTTTATATACATGTATCATAGCTGTGAAGACATCTACAAACTGTCTACATCCTCACGAGTGGTTTGACAGTAAAGGAAGATAGATAGAAAACAATGACATGCTTAGTAATACTTTTGTATAACCACATGTTGTCATATTTATTACTGCACTTCTCAGAAGAATCATATTACAATAAATTTCTATGTACCTGTCAGACTAGAAACAGATTGTTGAGCACATCCTAGTTCAGATGTTTTGTATATTATAACGCTCGCTTCACATTTGTCATTATAATTAAGTACCATTATTGTTTATCTGGACAGCAAACCAAATGACTTAATGAACAAGCAATTATCATAGTATTGCAAGCAATCCATAAGTCCCCTACCGGTTAGAACCCCAGTAACATTCTGATGGGCCATTGGCCATTCAATTTTAGCAATGAATGAATGACATGAATGAACTTAAATCTCTTGAGTTCTAAGTTTGTCTATATCACAGTAATGTGTTAAGTTTCCCTGCCTAGTAAGGAAATTATGTTTATACAACCTTGTCATATTATTACGATGTGGGATTTTAAAGTAAATCCTATAAGGAATGAAGAAGTTGGAGTAAAAAATACCAATTTCTCGAAAAAAATCTAAGTTCAAGGGGGACATAATTCTTGAAATAGTCTTGCTAGAGTATTTAACCTTCTCAAAAATGTTGAGTGATAATAAGAAACATATATATGAAGTTTGAAGTAGATACATTAGGAAATAAAGAAGTTATTTAAAAAAGACAACTTTTTTTTAAATAAAAATTCTAAGTTCAAGGGAGATAATACTGATAATTTTTGTGCTAGAGTTGTAAACCTTGTCACATATGATGTGGTTGATGACCAGAAACTTGTATTTAAAGTTTGAAGTAAACACCTTAAGAAATAAAGAACTTATAGTGAAAAAGCTGAAAAATTTAAATCAGAAATCTTCAAATTCAGTCTATTTGTTGCCATAGCAACCAGAATTTTCAACATAAGAAGAAAAGAAAAAGATGTGCATAATCTCCAGACTGCCATCTACCCATATTTCAAGTTTCATAAAAATATTTTCAGTACTTTTTGAGTTATCACTGGATCCAGTTTATGTGTTAAATTTGCCATATTTTCAGACTATTTGTTGCCATAGCAACCAGAATTTTCAATATAGGAAGAAAAGAAAAAAACGTGCATAATCTCCATACTGCCATCTATCCATATATCAAGTTTCATACAAATATTTTCAGTACTTTTTGCGTTATTGCGGGACCCAGTTTTGTGGACGGACTGACAGACAGACCGACGGACGGAGGGTAAACCTAAAGTCCCCTCCGGTTAAACCGGTAGGGGACTAATTAAGATTTACTATATCTGCTCATATTTAAAATTGTTTTTTTTATATCAAATATATTGAAATTATCATATCCTTACATTTCATATAACAATTTGACATACCTTTCATGGTTATATTAAGTTTGGCAGCATTTTCAGCAAGTGTACAATGCCATTGGTTACCAAGGATACACTTGATGCCTGTCAGACTTGTCAACATGGCTGTCTCAACAGGTTTCTCTAGAGGAAGAACCTTTGAACTGCAATAAAACATTGTGTTTGAAATTTGGTAACCAACATCTCACTTTAATCCTATTATTGTTCTATTTTGTTGTATCACATTTTGAGAGAAAAATTGAATGTAATATTTATCATATTTATGCCTAAACATATTTTGAATAATATAGCAGTTAATGTTGATTTAACCTTGAACATAATATATTGCAAATTGGGATTTTTTTTAAAATGCCAAAAAAATATATGAATAATGATGACATAGTCAGCTGTATGACAATTTGCTCAACTTTGAGGAATGGTTTATGTTAAAGATATATGACCATTTTTTTTACTTGAATCATTATTTCTCAGTTTGCGAAAAGGACAAATTGTTACATTTAACATTGACTCTCTGTATCAATGTGTTTATAAAAACATAAGATATATCTCAGCTGTTTAAATAACCACAACCTCACCTTTTAAGGACATCGACTTTTGACTGCCTTGTAAAACTTTTAGTGGTCTGTGCCATATCCAAAGAATACATAATCATACATTCTGCAATCATAAAATTACACTTTAACTATATAATATATTGACAACTCTGAGATGAACTTGAGATTCATATGAAATATTATTATCATTATTATCATTTTAACATTAAAATTTTTCTTTTTTGGGTACATTTTTTTATTTATTCTGAAACTGTCAAGATGAAAGATTAACTGGTGGCGGAAGACCCCATACTGGGCGCATAAAACAGCACCTGAGAAGAACCACTCATTTAACATGAAAAAAAAAAAACAATAACAAAAACATCCAAGACTATGGTGTGATTTAAAATATCAGAAATGACAGGTAAGTGGTATATAAGGAGCAACCTTCACCACTGTGCTACAGAGGTCCCCTGAAATATCATTTTGCACTGACACAGTGCCTGCATAATTCTAAGATAAGGTAGGAAATATTTCTATCAAAAATTTGATGGCAATCAATGTAGTATAAATGAAAGCTTCCACTTGTATCCCTTATCAATACTGAATGATTGTATGAAACTAATACATCTGTTCTCCTTGTCTTTCCAAGCTTGTATTTAATCTAAGAATAATTTAAAAGGACCTCTGTGGCAAAATGATCGCAGACTTTGTACTACTTGCCTCTTGAATTACCTCTATGGATTCAAATCCATCCAGGGATTGTTTCATACAAGGAAGCTCTTCAGCAAGCTTCTGGTTTAATGGTTGTATTCAGGTGCTCAAGAGGCACCTAAAGTCCTCATGCAACAGTTAAGCTTGACAATGGCCAATGACACATGTATAAATAAGGAAATATTACCTGGTATATTTAGTGCCGAGAGTTTTGCAGGTGGAATGTAGGACAACAGTCTTTCCATACCATAGAAGATAAATGAACTGTTCTCTAACAAATATACCTCCCATTCACCAACACTGAAATCATGTCTTACACATGTATATTTTATACTTGAAAATTTGACTAACGCTGACTTAGTAATGTTTCTATAAATTTGATCAGCACTGAAGTGATGTTTCTCTAAATTTGATCAACACTTAATTAAGTGATTTAAATTGCACCTATATGCTCATATACTGAAGATTTAACAACACTGAGTTACTATTTGTATTTATATACTTTGAAACATGACAAACACTAAGATAACTGAAAACATATATACAATGTATATTCATACAATTAAGATAAACTAACATTGAAATAAATTTTTGCAGATATAATAATTGGGCACATAAATACATAACTTATTTGCTATGGCCAAATATGAGTGACGTACCTGGGTGTATGTTCGTTACCCATCACTCCAAGCCAGCGTGGTGTAAACTGTTGTTCATATTCTTCTAATATCTTGTTAAACACATCTATTGGCTTGTTCTCCTCTGAAACACAAATCAAATATATAATGAACAATCAAAAAAATGAAAATGTTAGCCTTAAAAAATAATGTCATCTTTACATCTATAACAAATAGTTTTAACAGTGAACATAATATTTAGCACCATACTTATACTTTACTGTGACTTTTCTCTGTACTTAACATTTTACATCTTTTATTTTTACTTTATATTTCCCATCACTAATAAAAAGTCATCATTTTTAACTGTAGTTATCTACTGACATATGCATGTAAACCATAAAATGTCTGCCATTTCCAAAAGTTGACTTTGGATATACATGTGTAATGTAATTCATGTAACTATAGAATAAGACAAAATTAAACATACCAGTTTCAGCACAGTCTAGATGAGGGTCAACAATAACTAATATAAAGTGAAGGAAAAATATTGTAACACAGTATAAAATCTTTCTAAAATTTTCAGTCCCTGAAGCTCTCAATGAAGGTGATTGCTGTTAAATTGACAGAGAACCAATTAATCAATTTAACCATGAAAACGTTAGTGGGCTTAAATGATAACTGTCCATCTGTAGAGCTGGAAAGTTGACATATGACTAACACAGCTAGCTTTTAAACACTGATATCATATACAAACAATATCATATTCAAAGTGGGCAGTCTATAACAAAACAAATGCTTAGCTGGCCACTTAGAAATAAAGTAAAGGCTCTGCAAAAGCCAACATAGGTTACATGGTGTTACTGATCTACAACATTATAAAAGCATAGCAAAGGTTCAACACCTTCATACAGTTATGCAAGCAAAAAGGATACATCTAAAGTTCATTGTATCAACAGGAATGTTCCATTGGTTAAGCTGTCGGCTCAGTGGTATCTGAAAATGGAAAAAATCATAATGCTATAAATAGAATCACAGAAGATAATAAGACATGTCATTAGACAGTTAGGCACTTACCTTTTGTTAGGCTAAATGCCAATAGACCAAAAAGTCATTAACCTCTTTCCTTATGCCACTGACCTTTATATAATATGTTAATGATTGACATACTGACTGGCTACCAAAGTCTTTCACATTTAACCTTTAACCTGCTGAATGTGTGTAATTGACAATTTTGAAACAGTCCAATTAAAGTTGATATTTCAATATCTAAATACAATGTACAAAATTATACCAACAGTCTAGAGCTTTGTCTAAAGGCTAATCACTACCTGGTGTAGCAATTTGAGGGTGATATATCTACATCACTGCCTGGTGTAGCAATTTGAGGGTGATATATCTACATCACTGCATGGTGTAGCAATTTGAGGGTGATATATCTACATCACTGCCTGGTGTAGCAATTTGAGGGTGATATATCTACATCACTGCCTGGTGTAGCAATTTGAGGGTGATATATCTATATCACTGCCTGGTGTAGCAATTTGAGGGTGATATATCTACATCACTGCCTGGTGTAGCAATTTGAGGGTGATATATCTACATCACTGCCTGGTGTAGCAATTTGAGGGTGATATATCTACATCACTGCCTGGTGTAGCAATTTGAGGGTGAAATATCTACATCACTGCCTGGTGTAGCAATTTGAGAGTGATATATCTACATCACTGCCTGGTGTAGCAATTTGAGGGTGATATATCTACATCACTGCCTGGTGTAGCAATTTGAGGGTGATATATCTATATCACTGCCTGATGTAGCAATTTGAGGGTGATATATCTACATCACTGCCTGGTGTAGCAATTTGAGGGTGATATATCTATATCACTGCCTGGTGTAGCAATTTGAGGGTGATATATCTACATCACTGCCTGGTGTAGCAATTTGAGGGTGATATATCTATATCACAGCCTGGTGTAGCAATTTGAGGGTGATATATCTACATCACTGCCTGGTGTAGCAATTTGAGGGTGATATATCTTCATCACTGCCTGGTGTAGCAATTTGAGGGTGATATATCTACATCACTGCCTGGTGTAGCAATTTGAGGGTGATATATCTACATCACTGCCTGGTGTAGCAATTTGAGGGTGATATATCTATATCACTGCCTGGTGTAGCAATTTGAGAGTGATATATCTACATCACTGCCTGGTGTAGCAATTTGAGGGTGATATATCTATATCACTGCCTGGTGTAGCAATTTGAGGGTGATATATCTACATCACTGCCTGGTGTAGCAATTTGAGGGTGATATATCTATATCACTGCCTGGTGTAGCAATTTGAGGGTGAAATATCTACATCACTGCCTGGTGTAGCAATTTGAGGGTGATATATCTACATCACTGACTGGTGTAGCAATTTGAGGGTGATATATCTACAAGATGAAGAGACAGAAGAGTAAAGACTTACAATTTTTGCCATTTTCTTGCTGGCATCTCTCATACCAGGTATTCTAGAGAAAGGTTGGTCAGCACCTTTAGCCTTGGCCTTCTTGGCTGCTGCAGCAGCATCATCACCTATAACAGGTAAATACATGCATTGTCAAAACAGGTCATCATTAAACAGGTGTGAAATTATAACTATAATACTGTCACATCTCCATATAAATGCCAAGTCTGGGTAATCTGGTACATGTTTCTTAAAACATGCAATTTTGACAGTGTTATTTTTTTTTTTCAACAAAAAAGTTAGCCCCTAAAGTTTAAGTTTGTCTGTTTGATTTCTGGTTTTTTAATCCTGATTTTAGCACAAAACAAGTTTGAGAACAGTTCTGTATGTAGCTGCTTCTATTAAAATGTGGTCTTTAACACACATCTGACTGTATAGACACCCTGTGGCACAGTAAATAGTAATTATAAAGAAACGATAATAAGAAAAACATACAAAAATTACACACAAATCTGAATTTTACCTACATGATAATTATAAAACATGCTAGTAAGTCATTGGCCAACAATGAATATAAAACTTGTTGAATCATGTTCAATCTGACTTCCAAAGAAGAAATTCATGTATAGTATCAAAAATTACTTTGCTATTTTCCATATGTACTATTTGATTTATAATGTGATTTTAAGCTACCATATGCATTTTGTTTTACGAATTATAAAAATAATTGTATATGTAATTTTATATAAGGAACAGTCAATTATTCAATGGCCTGATTTAAACCCGAAAGTTGTTAAGTATCATTAATTCAAATATAAACACTGGATGTTTTATTGCAATATTTCCTTCTTTTATATACTAAATGCTAGAAGACAACATGTCAAGCTTGTCAAAATACCAGTCAACTAGGACCAATTTTGTCATCTCACGTGCTAAAAATATCCTGAATTATGACATGCATAATACTTTAGCTACTCCTGATAAAGATTAATTTATAGGATGCTATTTCTTAATCCCCTCTCCCCCATGTTGTGACAGATGTATGGTCTTAAATATCTATAATCTTTTAATTCCTTAGTATGACTGACCTTTGTGATAATTAAACTTTTGGTTCTTATAGATAAACACTTGGATCTGGTGAACATTTGATAAACACTTGGTTCTTATGAGATAGACAATACATAAATAATGGAACAAATGGGTACAATTTTGATGCACTAACTAATTTGGTGACCTAAATCAAGCAGGTTGGGTAGAGAAATGTCTAAAGAAATTACAAACATTGAGTTGTTACTTCATAACTAAAAAAAAAACAAACAAATTTATCAAATTAAAAGAAAATGGCATGTTTCACTTAAATTTATCACATAGTATTATGATTTTTAAAGCAAAAGACAAGAAAAGGCCTACACTATAATTCAAATATCTGACTATATTCTACAGAAAGAGTGGCACACAATACTTCAAATAGCTACTTTTTCTATATTACAATCTATTCTTAATGTAGAAAGTTCGAGTATATTAAATGTTAAAATTCTTAAAAATAAGAAACATACAGAAAAATCAAATGTAAAAGTAAATTAGAAGAGCTACAATGGTTCTATATACATGTATCAAGAAAATAATGATATAATTCAACACTTTTTACAATAATTTCAAAATTTCTTAGAATGCCAGTATCAATAATAAAATGCCTATACCATCACTGTAAAGTGACGTCACACTATATATCTGTGCAGACTGCAAAACACACTATACTCATGGCTGCTTAAAAAACGAATCCCGGACAATCCCCCTCCCGGGCGATTCCCCTTCCATATTATTTTCACAACCCGGACATTTCCCCTCTCGTTATTTTAATAGGGTGGACTTTTCCCCTCCCGTTAATTTTATAGGACGGACAATTCCCCTCCCGTTATTTTAGCAGAGCGGACAATTCCCCTCCCGTTTTTTCACAGAGCGGAACGTGACATTATACGGCCCTTAATCATAGCCGCCACTGCGTATCAAAAAATCTATAACCATTCTTATTAAAGATGACAGTTTTTACTCTTAACAACACACTGTTAAAGATCGGAACTTTTAAGAATCATTATTTCAAAAAAGTGACATTATACCGCCTTTAATCAATGCCGCCGCTGCTTAAGATAAACAAACTGTCAATAAAAAATCTTTAATCAATGCTGCCCTTAATTAAATGTATCCTTGATTGCAAAACCAATTAATTACAGTTATTTTACAGCAGCAGAAATGTATTGACGAAGTAAAGATTATTTTAACAAAAAAATGCGTTTTGTTTTGTTTATATTCATGTCAATATAGACAAGCAAAATGTATTTAAAGTCGATTAAAAATACCTTTCAAATAAACAATATTATAACATATATATGTTCAACAGCTCTAATAAACAATATTATAACATCACGGGAGGGAAATTGTCCGCTCTGACAACAGCGGGAGGGGAATTGTCTGCTCTGCTAAAATAACGGGAGGGGAATTGTCCGCCCTGTAAAATTAACGGGAGGGGAATTGTCCGCCGTAAAAAAATAACGGGAGGGGAAATGTCCGGGTTGTGAAAAAACATTCAAATTTACTGGGAGGGGAATCGTCCGGGAGGGGAATTGTCCGGATATCTTAAAAAACCTTTATATTCAAACCCCTTCAATTGAAACACAGTAAAAACATTCAAACATGCCTCATAGTATTCCCCTATTAAACAAATTGGGTAGTAGCAAAAAGTTTCATAATCTATTTTAAACTTGGCAAACTACACATGAGCTGTCCTTAGCAGAGCATATCGTTAGGGTCCAGGCAGTCTGATTAAGCTGACTTGCGTCTGTTACTATAATTTGTTCTATAAATTCAAAGCAAGTCAAGTCTATTATAGTAAAACAGCTATATAAGGATTGACAAAAATACCATGTTTTAAAGGAGTCTATTATGATTACAGATAATTTCAAATGTAACAGGCCCAATAAAATGTTTAAAGCAGATAAATCTACAAAATGATTTTCAAATTTCAGTGTCCTACCAATAAACAATCAATATAAGATCTTTGATTTTGTATACCAGGTTATTTCTTATGTTCTTTACAATGAATGATGAAAATATGAACATACATATTATATAAACATGTACACAACAAACCTTTTACACACAAGTCAAACGAAAATCTACTATAAAGCAATCACCAGAATTTTAAATCTATACACAATAAAAAATCTAGTTTCTATTTTTAATAATTCAAAAAACCCTTTTCCCCCTTTTTTTATATTGAATACACACATGTATATTCAATTCATCACAGAAACTGAAAACTGTCCACACATTGTAAATAAATGAAGCAAATTCTAAATCTGAAAAATGTTCAACAATTCATCAAACAAACAGCTATATTTTTGTTTCTACAACATGTGACATTGTCATATACCCGATGTTTGATCCTGGTTAAGTATTTCTGAAAGAATACACAATATATACCTGTACATCTATGATTATATGAATTAGCTAACTAGTGATGTCATAATCACAAAAATGTGACATCACAGTGCACACACTTGATTGGCTTCTTTTACATTATTGCAACTCTTGAAATTTTATTCTATGTTAGGTAAATGCTTGCAAATCATTTTATTCTTAAGATCTGATTTTAGTGAAAGCTTAACAGATAGGATTTTAAAATGATAAATGACTGCTGGAGAAAATCACTTCTGCTCATGTCACATGCATTAACAAACACAGGTGATAACTTCTATGACTCCTAACATGAAATAATTTCAGGACATTGGTATTGGAATAAACTTCAATAAGGGATGAGGGACTCCAAATTTAGAGATGTTAAAAAGTTTGAATGCTAGTTTTAACATTGCATTGCCCAAGTCACCAGTATAGTGCCAGGCCAGTCTCTGTCTGTTGACTACACTCTTCAGTAGTTTGACATTGTAATGTCTCACGCTCACAATTAACAGTTCAGAATTCAAAGTAAGAAATCTTAGTCTGATATATTATCTGAGCACTGTGAAAATAATAAATGATTGTGAGGCCGAGTGATTAACACATCAGACTAGGATAGCTGGCTGCACAGGTTCAAACCCCTTTAACTTCAAACCATCGTGGAACAAGAAACTATACGCTCCTTGCTTAGTACTGGCTGGTTCCTGGGTATTACTTGTTGGTTCCTGGGAATGTATACGAGAGTGTACCTATATGCTATTAGCTTTCTACAATTATTATGTAAAAACTAAAATGATACAGTCAAGCAGGATCTTTTATGATTTGGTAAGAAGAAAATGTTATTTCACCACATTGAAAGAAGTGGCTTGTTTTAGTTAAAAGTAAAAATTGTTAAGTCTGTAAGTTGGTGCACATATTTATGTTGACAGCATGCAAGTATAGCTCTAATTTTCATGCAACAATATCATACACTTGTCTATCTATACACAAGCAAATATCATCAGAATCATACTAACTGCCCTGACCATGTGCCGACTTCCCAGATTTGGGTGCAGCACTTTTAGGAGCTTCGCCTTTTTTACTTGGTACAGCTGAAAAATGTCAACATACTGTATACAACCTAACTTCTTGTGTATTATACATTATCTAAAAAATTATTCTTTTCAGAATATCAATTAACACCATTGATATTGCCAGCTTGTTTTGTGCAAAAGGTTTAAATACTAGAAATTCTAGATGTTGACATTTGAACTGGATATCAAAGTTTGAAAATGGTAAGACTTAAGAAAGGCAACAATTACTCTCAAAGTGAAAAAAACCCGTATAACTTTCGTTTTCTGGTCTGAAAGTTATAACAGAAGTCTGCAGATTTACTGGAGTGTATCATAGATTTTTTATTTGCAGTTCAGGTTTGAAGTCTAACTGGAAAAGTTTTGGGTGACATTTTGACAATTTCTTGCAATAAGTAAAGAAAAGTCATAGTACATGTTTCTCTCAAATGTTTCAGACACAAGCAGGCACATTATAACTTTCCTTTAAGTATTTTGTTTAACTTTCCTTTAAGTATTTTGTTTAACGTTCCTTTAAGAATTTTGTTTCACTTTCCTTTAAGTATTTTATTTAACTTTCCTGAGCTTTCCTTTAAGTATTTTGTTGAGCTTTCCTTTAAGTAATTTGTTTATACTTTGTTTCCATAGTAACAGTCATTGTGAACTTACTCATTTATCTTACTTTACAGGTATTGTGAGATCTAAAAATTTGTTTGGGATAAAAAAAATGGGAGGAATGTAAATTTCTTATATATTAATTATCAATATTGTCAACAAACAAGTGCAACCAAGCACTGTCATGCATGTGTTACTAATTTAAAATTACATAAGTATAATGATAATGTTAAAGCTGCATGACTCCAGATAAGTAAAATATAATATAATAATTTTAAAAAAATCAAAATTCAGAAATATATATCTGCAGACTAGGAAATACATAAATAGTGGCAACCAATGTGAAGATGCATGTTTTATTCAAAATATGGCTTAATATCCTAAATTTTCTTTTAACTTTTTTATACTTCATTACTAATTTTTTTTCCATTGTAAAGTGATTAAGTTTCTTTCCTCTTTTTTTCTTGGAACATTTAATGTTATTTTTACAATTTAAAACATTTTCAAAAATTTGTTTTAAAGAATAATTAAAAATCTGGAGACATGCTGCATTCATGAGGTAACACAGACCAGTTAAAGATTGTCAGAAAGTATTAGAAAGTTTGCAATAAATCCTTAACCAACAAGAGAATCCTGTTAAATATAAAACACCTGTTATCTACAATATCTCCTGGTACATGTGATTACTACAGTTAGAAATCTACATGTATATACTAACCTTGTCCTTCACCTAAAAACATAACCAATCAAATATATAATATAATTACTTAATTAATATACTATAATTATGTACTTTACCACGCTAAATTATAAAATATCAAAATACAATTGTCCATCTTTTTACCTGGACAAAACCATATGAGCCACGTCATGACAAAACCAATATAGTGTGCTTACGACCAGCATGGATCCAGATTAGCCTGCGCATCCGCAGTCTGATCAGGATCCATGCTGTTCGCTATCAGTTTCTCTACTTGCTATAGGGTTTGTAAGGGAACAGCATGGATCCTGATCAGACTGTGCGGAAGCGCAGGCTGGTCTGGCTCCATGCTGGTCACAAACCAATTATGTTGGTTTTGTCATGACGCGGCTCATTTATCTTTTAATCTTATTCATATGTCATATATGTTATGTGATAATAAAATGAGGTTGTGTCATATACCTACTTCAAATATTACATTTAAAATAGAATTAGTAACATATTTACTTTTATAATTACATACACATGGATAAACATACAAAACAATGATGATAAAGATGATAGTGAAGATGATAAAGATGAGTGTATACTGAGATTAAATAAACAGGAATAAAAGCCCAAAAGGTACAAGGACATTCCAAGACTACAAAACTCAAACTGTAAACCTCACCTTCAGGGTTGTCTTGGTGATATCTGTGATAGAAGAGTTGTAGAGAGAAGTCACGTGTCAGTGAGACAATGCTCTCTGCCTGGAACACCTTCAATGCCTCCAGGGGGAGCTCCATCAGTTCAGGGTCTGCAAGCAGGATAGCATACTCCTGGGGTGGTGCTGGTGGCTCCTTGGGTTCACGTCCTGGCTTCTCTGTTATACTGGTAGATGGGCTAGAAACTGCTGGTCTGTAATTCAGAATTTTGTTCCTGTTTGTATTTTCCTTAAAAACTTACAGTCTGTTTATTAGCCTAGCATGGATTTTCAATGGGTATTATATGATTGAAACTAAATGATTTTCACCTGAATAATGGATATAATCAAAATTTCTTATATTTTCATCTGAATTGTGGATTTAATAAAAATTTCTTGTACTATTATAATTTTTTTATTTTTGTATAGAGAACAATGTCCATTTTTTTGGGAAAAACAAATTTACCACGACTCTTGGCAACAAAAGTATATATTGGATAATTATGCTGAAATGAATAACGTTAAAACAAGTTAACAGCTTTCATTTGTGAAACTTGACAATGTGATATAGATATAGAAGAACAAAATTTAAAATACTGAAGGACCACCATTACTTTTTCAAATGACAGAAATGAATGAAAGACAAATTATATGGTGATTTCTCAGCTGCAATGAATGAGAAAAACATCTTGATCATCTTTGTGCATTATTTTGGCACAAGTGAGCACCCAAGTAGAATTACCAACCTTCCACAAGCTAGCTGGATACCTTCCTCACATCAAAAAGACCAAAGTCCCTAACAGGACTTGAACCTACAGCCCTTAAAAGACAAGTGATAAAATTCTGAACAGATTCTCTTAGTTCATATCATACTTACACAAGTAGACCTTCAAACTGGGCTGTTATAGGTTTCAGATACATTTCTATTGCCATGACAAGATCCCGGAACTCGTCCTGTAGGTGGCGCTCTTCCTTCTCACTCTCATCAACCAATGTCTATAAATAAACACACGTGTTTAAAACAATTTAGAATTGTGTACATGTATATAAATTTTATACTTTGTGCTCTAAGAAACATGATTGTTTCTTTTTCTTTCTAAATAAATTTTATACATTTTATTTCTTGTTTCCAAATGAACAATTTTAGTAGAAATTTCAATAACATTCTAAAAAGCATAAAAAAATGAAGTTTCTGAAAATTTTAAACCTTCAAACATTATGGAAACTTTAAGATAAATTTTAAGGGCACATACAGCTGTTACTTAATTGGTAGAATTTGGTTGTTAGGAATATTATATAATTCTAATTAAATGCTAGCATATTAAACAATCACTTGCATAATATAGAAATGTACACTAAAATCTAGACCCTTACTCAGTAATTTATATCTCAATTACTAGTATAATTAACAGAATACAAATCTGATGTAAAACTCAATTTAATTTCAACTGTAAACACTAAATAAACTTGCCTAAAACAAACAAACAAAACTAAACAGGAAACTAAAAATTCTCCACAATGACTCAGGAGACGCAAATAAGACTTGTCTATTTTTTACCACTGGTACAGAGCTGGGCAATCCTTGGTGCAATAAGACTTAAGGCTCTTTATATTGTTGGCTGTTTAATTTAACTGTTTTGATGTTTGGATTAAAATATTTATTTATGCTTGATTGCGAAACAAGTTCTTGCAACTTATATTAATCACTTTGCAGTCCGCTTCCTGGAACCAACCAGTATACTGGTGTCAATTATGAAGAAACATGGTTAAGACTCCATTAGAGGTTGAACCCATGATCCCTGGGTTGAGAGGCAAACACCTTAACTACTAGGCAACCACTCCCCTTATTTGATATTTCAAATTTAAACCAGGACAAAATATCACAAATTCAGGAGTATTTCATAAAAAATGCGGTAATTCATAAATTTGGCAGTATTTCACATACCATACACATGTACCTTAACAAGTCATGACCATCATGTAATGAACATTTGTAACATAACAAACTGGCATAATATACTAATATACATGTATATCACATGTTGTCACTTGTATGTAATGTGATATAAGTTACAATCATTATGAATTTCTTTTTATGACACATGTTTAATAACAAACATTATTACATGTATTTATAATATCCTCAGCCTGATGTATAGCTGGCAACAACAATTATGCTGGTGCTTTTTTTCTCTATTTTATATCTTGCTTTTACTATTTCCTAAAGTATTTTTTCTTAATTAATAACACCATGTGATAAAAACAATCTTACATTTGTTGTCATATCATATAAACATATGTTAATCTTTTCCAGGATTTGTTAAAAACTTGACCATAGGTTCACTTTATAACACTACCCTGGGATCATTTAACTCTTAGCATGCTTACAAGTAGCCTGTGAAATTGGTCTACACTGTTCACTATTCAGTTAGTGCATTTATTGAAGAAAAAAATCCTATAAAATATTTAATGATCAATTGTTTTGTCTAGATTAAAAGATGAACAAGTTCATTTAAGATATTTAGTGGTATTAGGGTTAATTAATGTTAAATGAAATGACAACTTATATAAGACACAATACATGTATATACATGTATAATTATATAATACATATAAATGAGAACTTTCACTCACAGAAACATCATTCATATTTTCCCAATATTCCTATATACAAATATAAATATCCAAACATTTAAACAGTCACCCTTCATTAACCTATAATTTCTGTTATAAAACAACATTAAAAAGTTAAACAATATGTGAAGACAGAGTTGTTCACAAGATGACACATGTTATTATTCTAAGTGTTTGATAGAGAAATAAACAAAGTTCCTTGAAAAAATTTCAGTAGAAGAAATATATTTTCTTCCCTAGTATATAATGATCATATTGTATGTAAGCAATAAGTCATACAATTCAGGGAATATGGTTTAATACATAAACTAAAATTTTGTTGACAAAAGGGGGCAATTTTTTTTTTTCAAATTGCTGGAAAGATTTATGTTCTCTTACCTAAGTGGGGAAGGGGGAGGGGGTAAACAATAAACAAGTATTCCTGTTCCGAAGCAATAGCAAACTGGGTTAATTAAAAAAGAAAAGTGGTTATATAAACTTTACCAAGGTGTGACATTTAACGTGGATGCAAACACTTAACGTGGATGCAAACACTTAGGACAGCTCTCCATATTCTTTTGCAAAACTGAGCTTGGATTTATAGCATTCCTTAGATTGTCAAAGAAACATTTATTTGTTTGTAAAATGGTTCATAAATTTACAATCATTTTGTGAAAACAAAGATTATTTGACCATCTAACATTTTTTTCTGTGAAAAAGAGATAAGAGATAAAATAAAGTCAGCAATTTTGCAAAAAAATAATGCTATGGCGACATAAGGGTACAAAGGAAGAATTTATGCATAACCAAGAAACAATACCATCAAATATTTTAATATCATACAATAAAATATTATGTTGCTCTTTCCATACCAAATAATTAATTATTAATTTCATTTGACAAGGAGAATGTATATTAGAGTACAACATACTTTTGGTTTCTGGCTTTTCATGCTGTCATCAAGGTTTTCTAACATTTTACGTCTCATGGCTGCCTGGGAACGCTGATACTCTTGTTTCACCAATAACTGTTGAACATTTTGTCTGTGTTCACGGCATTTATTCAACAGTCCTTCCAACTCTGCTCGACTAGTTTCCATGCCAAATATCTTAGCTCGATTTGGTGCTAAATAGAGTAAATATATATCGTTATTTTTGGTTTTTTTTACAAACTCAAATAATAACATTATCAAACTAGGGGATATTTGCAGATTTTCAAAATTGAAATATAATACACAAATTCATAAAACATTTATAAGCAGAGATTTTTCTATCAAAATAAACAGACATAGTACAGAAATGAAATATTTTTTAATTTTCCATATCACTTATCTGGATTTTTTAATTTTTTATTGTGTTTAAAAATGAATGTTAACATGCAGTTTAATGTCAGATATGACAACAATGAACCAATACATGTCTAGTATACCACTAAATGTTACTATTGTTAGACTGGAAATAGATACCAATTCTTCTTGATTTATATAATATACATGTAATATTGAATGGTTTATCATTCTGATGTAATCAATCACTCACAACAGGCCTCTATATGATTGAGCCGCCGCAGTCTGATCAGGATCCATGCTGTTCGCTATCAGTTTCTCTATTTGTTATAAGGTTTGTAAGCAAACAGCATGGATCCTGATCAGACTGCGTGGATGCGCAGGCTGGTCTGGATCCATGCTGGTCGCAAACCCATAATGTTTGTTTTGTCATGGCGTAGCTCATATGATTATATTAACTTGGCAACTTGAATCATTCAATATCATGAATGATACAGCAATACTCTCAAATCAGATTCTATTTCCTACTGTTACAAGTCAGTGGGTTTTAATAAGGATAGGAATTAACAGTGAATTGATCTGGTAATTTCATATATATATATAGCTATTAATGAAGATATATGGGAAACAAATTTAAGTTAAATGTCCCCTAAAAGACAATAAAGGATATAATGGTATAGATTATATATGAAGTTAAATATTAAAACCCTGAACCATGATGCTGAGAACTAGAGGGATCTTCAAATTAGAAAATAAGTAACTAAGGTAACAAGTTAATTAGTAAAGAAGGCAACAAAATAAAACTTTTACCATCTGTGATGTCATAATAAATAAAAACAATATCTCTTTTATCAAAATTTTTTAACATTGTCTTTGAATGAGTCAGATCTTTTGAGGTACATGTACTGTTATAAAACTCTTTATTTTCCCAACAAATCTTATACAATGTATATTGTGAAAAACTGATGCTATACAATAGGGAGAGATGGCCTAGTGGTTAAGGTGTCTGCCTCTCAACTCAGAGATCATGGGTTCAATCTTTACTGGGGTCACAAACATGTTTTCTCATATGATATCAATACTGATTAGTCCCTGGATGTTGATTCTAGAGAGCATTAAATAAGTTACAATCTTTCTTGACACTATTAATCTTAAATTAATGTTTAAATGTATAAACTACCTGTTGTAGTTAGTAGCTGTAATCTTATTTATAAAGTTACATTCTAATCAAAAGAAATATATAACATCACAATGTACATGTACAATATTTGTTCTTATTAATTTTGAAAGACATGTCCTGACAGGAAGATATATTAATAAAACTTATATTTGGACATATGGTCTGAAGTAGTTAATTTATTACAAAACCACACACAAATTTCATTCAGATAAACATATAAATTCTAAATTGATTATGACACTATAAAGCACACACAATGATGCTTAAATACATCCTACAATGTTTAGGTTGTAAACAACTTACAGGCAAATATCTTATAAACTTAAACATAATCATTTTTAGTTATAACGATCTTCTACAGATCATATGATCCTGTATAAAAGGCTGTGAGCTTATATTTAAATCATGTTGACATAACCAACAACTATTTACATGTAGCCATATAATCTGTTATCACAACTGAAAATTAATGTTCCAGATGTGCAGTGTAATAAAAGTATTATCATTTCACACCTTATAAAATATAACTAATGAACCTTCAGTGTTTGAACCACATGATGTTTCAATAGAATTATTTTTCGATCCAATCTTATCAATGTAGCCTCATGTCCATTTCCAGAGTCAAAAAACCAATATCAAATGCATATTGTACCCTATATAGCCTTGTTTTTATTTATGAGAGTCCAAAATATCTATATCAGATGCATATCAAACCCCTTATAGCCTTGTTTTCATTTTCAGGGAATTTAAATTGTACTTTAAATTCTTACCAAGTTCTGTCAAAATGTGAAACAAAAGTGGTGTAAAATAAAGAGGTCATTATACACTGTTGATAATAAAACTGATTCTATTGTACACAGCTGCAAAACATATACAGACTCAGCTGGCACCTCATCCAATACAGGTTTGACAGTTGTGTACTTGTCCAATGTCAGTGTTTCACTTGCAGCAAATTACCTTCAATATACTGTTGGTATTCATAGCTGTTAGATGTGTATAGACATGAAGAATCATAGAAAGGGAGACAACCCTTTCATATTGTAACATATTAAGATTGTATAAGTTATTGACACTTATGCAACTTTTCATCAAATTGTGGGTTCATTTTACATATACATATTGTACCATATTCAAAAATAATTTCATGTTGTAAATCAAGCCCTCTTGAACTTTTATCTATTTTATAGATGGAAGGGCACTAAAGAAATATGGTATACAGTACTGAATTATCATCATAGTAATAATAATAATGACATATAGATATTGACTGTATAATGATATTTATCCATCACCTATGAAATATTAGTCTAACACGTTTGCTATATGGGTAAACTAACACATAATTTCATTGTGTGAGAGGTGAATAAACACAATGCTTTACAAGCTAACATGTTTTAAAACTTGTCAAGCTAAAAGTGAAACACAATAACTATAACTAATTACTTGTAACAGCTGTGGGAAAAAAAATAATAACATTTACAATACATATTTTCTGAATACTAAAATGTGAGAATGTTTGATGCACAAACATTTGAGCCGCGTCACCACAAAACCAACATAATGGGTTTGCGACCAGCATGGATCCAGACCAGCCTGCGCATCCGCGCAGTCTGATCAGGACCCATGCTGTTCCCTATCGGTTTCTCTACTTGTTATAGGGTTTGTAAGCGAACAGCATGGATCCTGATCTGACTGCGCGGATGCGCAGGCTGGTCTGGATCCATGCTGGTCGCAAACCCATTATGTTGGTTTTGTCGTGACGCTGCTCATTTACTTTTAAGTGAAACTTTTATTTTCGGACAACTTTGAATAACATGAGTTTAAGGACAACACATAAATTACCCTGTAAGTCATTATTGGCCAATATTTCATCAATTTCAGCATTTTCAACTTATAATGGAAGAATATAACATAATTCAATATTGTTAAAAAAAATTGTCTCAAAATTATTTTGTAAAGGTAAAACCAAGAACAAAAGCTGGCATGCTATGTATTTCACAACCCATCCCTCAGAACTAATTTTGTAACACAGCAACAGTCATTAAATGGCTTATGTTGCATTTTTATGACGCTGTTGAAATAACAAAAGGTCATGTTTATACTATAAATGCAGTGTTTAATGACATTTTTTTAACACTAAAGAAGATGGAATAACTGCTGCAAACCCCCCCCCCCCATATGTGTGAAAAAAAGTTTAGAAAATCAAACTTTGAAGAAAAAAAAAGAAACAGGAGTTCAAGAAATGTATAAATTTTCACAATCTGTATCCCCCAAAATGTTATATACCATTAAAGAAAAAATTCTTATCTTTATCATTACTGACAAAAGAAGCTTAACTTAGATTACTTTATTTGTTATGTGTTCACTCTACAATTTATTTACTATATAAAACAATTTCTAAACTTTACTGAAAATAAGCATCCTTTGGTGACCTGTTGCTTTAAAATCAAGAGATAACACAGTTCTTCTAAGATATACAGAAGTTAAGTGTCCCTTTGTAGATCTAACCTAAAAACCTTGCACCTTCATCCTTGAACAAAGTTGAATTTTTTATTACCCATCCGAAATAATTTTACAAAAATCTTAACATAGATTACTATTATTGTACAAGAAAACTCATCAAACAGATTTATACCTGGAGCTCCCTGTTTAGGATTGCCTTTTTTGTCAGCACCACCAGCACCAGGCACACCCTTTGGCTTCTCAAGCACAGCACCATATAAAAATTTCCTATAGATAATAAAATAACAAGAGTTACAACTTGACAAATATTTTCAATTGATTCCTTTAAAGTACAGTAGGTAAGTGCCAGTTCTGTATATAAATATAGAAATGAAAAAAAAAAGCTGAAAAAATTTACTGGAACAATCTTATTCAAACAAGAGGGCCCTAGATTTTGAACCCAGGTGAGCCATATTCGAACTTGACCTAGAAATCATCAAAACAAACTTTCAGACCAATTTCCAGGATATCTGGATCATAACAGTAGCCACTAGAGCATTAACAAGGTTTTTCTATTTTTAGCTCCTGTGACCTAGTTTTTCATCCGAGATGAGCCATGTTCGAACTCATCCGAGCAATTACCTAGACAAGCATCCTGACAAAGTTTGATGATAATTAGACTGATTGACCACTAGAGTGTTAACGAACAAGTGTTGACGGACGACGGACATTCAACAATCCGAAAAGCTCACCCTTGGCTAGCTCAGGTGAGCTAATAATTTACCTATAAATATTTTTAAAAATCTTTCTGTAATCCCTAGGAATCAGTAATCTTTATCTTCCAACATCTATGAACGGGTGTAATGGAAATGCCCTACTGCCAATTTGAAATTTAAGACCCAAAGTCCGTCATTCTACATAGACTAGTGGCAAAGTCAAATCTATATTACATTTAGCTCAAGCAGAGATAAGAAAGGACTCAAAGTGAATTGATGTTGAAATTTGTTAAAAAAAGAAACAAACATACTTGTCAGGAGAATGTTGTAGGATGATAAAATTAAAGTTGGCAGGAAATTCTTTCAGTATATCCATATGATTTGTTAGAATGTCCATCTTCTTCCAAGCCTAGAAATATTAAAACAAAAATTAGTTGAGGCAAGTTCATTAAATTCTTAAAATGTGAATAAAATTTTGATATTATTAAGTTCTGATAATATTAGCTACTCTTGAACAAAGTTTCTATACTAAACAATTACAGTGCCATATCTGCAAAAAAAATGGATGTGACACAAATATGAATTGAGTCTATGATCCTTCAGATATCTTAGTCATTATGATATTGCTCTCATACCAACTTTAATCATGAACAGATTCAATCATACAGAATCTGCAATTTTTATATAATAGTGTTTATTGCTTCCCAGGGATCACCCCTATTGACGATTTTTTTGCACAATGGCATAGTATGATACCAACTTCATTAAAATATCTGATCAAATTCTTATTTCTTTCATCTAGATAAGGTGTTCTCTATAATATATATCACAACATTAGAAACATACTGGAAACAATTTCTAAAACAGTTTTCAATACTTGGCAAAATTTGTGACTGAAATACACCAAAACATTACAAACTTAGATTGTGATCAAATGATGTCTGTCATTCACTGTCCATCTTTTATCCACTATTTCTTTAAAATAAAACTACCCTTTTTAATCTTACGTATACTGGAATGGGCTTAATAAAGTCTGCCTTTATCCAGATTTTTAATAATATTCCTGTTGATTAAAGCAACTCCTTGTTTTCTTCACAAATATTCTTGTAATCTTGCAAGAAAATGAGACCATGGAATTTTACATCAAGAAACTCAAACACTTCAATGCTAGAATTGATTTGCTATAAATATAACATATAACATACCTGCCAGTCATTTTCTAGAGCATTACATACTGTAGACATAACTGAACTGGCACCAGTGTTATAAGATACATCCTTTGTTAACAGATTCTCTCTCTGTCTCAGAAGTGCCGCTAGTTTAGACTGTATCGGATCTAACTGCGCACGGTGAAGCAGGTCGTTGAGACGTACAGATACGTTACAGCTCTGATAGAGGGCGAGAAACTGAGTACTGATAATGGGGTCGTACTGTCCGAAACATTCCACTAATTCTAATGCTGCTACAGCCGCTATATCCTGTATAATACATTAAAACACTCGTCAAACAACATCTTTATAATCATCCAGTATCAAATGAGCCGTGTCACGACAAAACCAACATAATGGGTTTGCGACCAGCATGGATCCAGACCAGCCTGCGCATCCGCGCAGTCTGATCAGGATCCATGCTGTTCGCTATCAGTTTCTCTACTTGTTATAGAGTTGGTAAGCGAACAGCATGGATCCTGATCAGACTGCGTGGATGCGCAGGCTGGTCTGGATCCATGCTGGTCGCAAATCCATTATGTTGGTTTTGCCGTGACACGGCTCAAATTATTCTAATAAATCTATCAAGTTAGCTCAAATTATTCTAATAAATCTATCAAGTTAATGGATACTATACATACTTAAAGTTTTGAGTGTAAAATTGAATCAGAAGAAAAAAATTTGAACAAATATTTTCGAAGAAAATAAATGACCAAGCCCATACTATAAATATTTCCTTAATCAAACATAACTATTAAGAAAATATTTAGTTACTAAAACATTTCCTGCATTCACCTTGTTTGAAAATGAATTTTTATGCTTTTGTATGAATGTTTTACTATTAAATATGACATGATTCTAAAGTAGATTAATCTAATGATTAGCATAACCAACATGCTTTACAGCTTTTTTTTTAACCAAGTAAACACATTACAAAGTATCCAATCAATTTTACAAAATTCTGAAGAACGTGACCATTTTTTTTATAAAATCAAATAAACAAAAATATAAGTTACAAATGTGTTATACTTAATCATTGAGGTAAACTTACAGTGTATTTTTTATTGAGTGCCAGTAGTAACGTTTGTACCAAACATTCAGTTGCTTGTATCAAGTACTGGCGAGATACACTGTCACAGCCCTGAAATAACAAGATAACATTCTACATTTTCTGGTTTTACTTCATTTGAATATTTTTTAGAATCTGTATATTATTAAAATATAAGATGGTACAAATGACATTGTGGCCTTGTGGTTAATATTTCCACCTCTGAACCACAGATTTTGTGTTTCAGTCTTATAGTGATCATTGCCACATTTCTTTATATGACAACATTACTAGTTATCCAAGGATGTGGACTGGAACTTTAAGCCCAAGTTGTGGGTGTCATTGCATTTTGTCATACAACATAACCACTGGGAAGTTGGAGTTTAGAGAGAGGTTAGGTCAGTTTTAAGCTCTGTTGTTACTATTGTCATAAAACTTGGCATCATTCACACCATTATTTTTGTAATGTCTTACTGGTTTTTAATGCAAAACCTATAGAAGAGAATACATGTGTAAGATAAAAAAATATGTTTAGAAAATATCTTGTGCTCACAATTTTTTTTTAATTCCCTATAGAAAATATTCACTCAAAACATAAACATCTTTATATATTACAGGTAAAAACAAAGTTCAGAAACTAAGTTATATCTCTATAAATTATCAGAACCTATCTACCTACCTTCATCTGTCTGATCTGTTTAGCATATTTAAGGAACTGTCTGGAATGTTTGTCTAATTCTTCAGTGCCACCACTTTCATTTTCCTCTGGTATATCTGATAACTTGGCTAACTCCTGAAGTTAATCATTTATTTTTTAATTTATTATACTGGCTACATATTTTATGTATCATATACATGAAATAAAAGATATAACCAATGAAAACTGATTTTGTGATAATTTGTCAAGCAGATTTTTTTTTTTAAATAATTTAAGTAGTGAGATTGTTTAGTGATGATTTTATGCATTCCTCACATGCCCTACAAGAAATTATTTTTCTTTCAATTTAGGTACTCTGGTGTTATAAAGATACTAAAACCTATCACTGAGATATCTGCCATACCACACAGTTTAAAACTGAATGAAATGTATAATATTGGTTCCTATTCTTAACTCTGAAAGGAACAGCAATGTAGAAGCATAATGTATGAAATAAAATATAAGACATTGCCCTTTTGAAAATACTTGTAAATTCTCAACATCAGTGAAATATATTCCCTACTCTCCTAAACAGCTAACATATATCTTGAATATAACTTTTATATCACGTAAGGAGGAAGATAAACTTACCATTTCTGTGACAACCCAGTGTGTGGGAGCATCAGAACTTTGATACAGGGACAGAGCTCTCAAACATTGACCTACACCACACAGTGACTTGGCCTTTAACCTTGGTATAGACATGGCCTGATTGTGAGCATCCAAGAACTTGCTTACTGCCTCCTCTATTACTACTCTGTAAACATACAAGACAATTATTGGCTATTATGGTGTATTTCTGTAAAAGAAATTGCTTAAAGACTGTTCTCATTTTGAAATATAAGTATAAAAGTTAAGCCTAAAATTTTCCATAAAACACAATTTCATGAACCATTTGTGTCAATTCTATGAATATATCCATCAATTAACTTCACAGCAGCTTTTTGTGTATAAGTACTTTTTAAACTGTTTTCACACTCCCGTGTATTTAAGGTTCAGAAAAAAATTGACACAAATTTTTCAAAAATGCTTTGAAGCTTTTGAACTGACAGTATTTTATTTGAATAATCAATAACCATTACATGCAGATCAAATTTTGTGCATTTTCAATGTCTGTCTATAAATGGTGATGTTTGAAATAAACATTTTTTTGGTCACCATATGATAAATTTAGTTTACCTAGTAGTTTCTACCCAGTCTTTTTCCATGTGTGTGTACACAGGTGTGGCTCGAATAAAATCTTCAACCATCTGAAATATATAGTACATTGTAAATTAAATCATTTATCCTGAACAATGCTTACCTTATTGGTACTTTAACCTTCAATGAATTACTATAAATATTTTCTAAAATCACAGATCAAGATAAAGATAAATACGTCTTTCATAAAGATCATTACATCTCTCATAAAGATCATTACATCTCTCATAAAAATCATTACATATTTCATAAAGATCATTACATCTCTCAGAAAGATCATTACATCTCTTTAATCTAGATCTGAAGTTATTTTTTGTATCATATGAGTATTTCATCAGCCTTTACCATAATGACTTGTACTTCATTTAATTTGGGACTATCCATTATAGATTTTAGGAATGTAAATATCAAAGACAAAAATTGAGCAGAGTATAGAGCCTATTAATATTGTATATATGCATTCAAGATGGCTTGGCTATGTACCAAATGCTAGCACATTACATATTAGGCCATCTGTTCTATACCTTCAGGACAGAACCCTTTCTCTGGTCTTCTAGTTGTTGGTTCCTTGTTTCTGCTGCATGTACCCTGAATATCTCTAACAACAGCTCTCCACAAGCTATCTTAATGTCAGCCGCTTCTCTCTGTACTGGTAATGACATTCCCCGGATCTAAATATACATAAAATACATGGTTTATACAATATTTCTAATGAAAGACTAATGACATTCGACAAGTACAATGTAATGATATTCTCTTCACCTCTCACACACAAACAAGAAGAAATATCGTTAAGTAATGACATTCTTCTATTATGAATTTCAAAACACACATAATCAGTTATGAAATGTGACATTGAATTTTAAAAATGTAGAATCATAATAAAGTGACATTCAATTTGCAAAATGTAATACTTCATTCAAGTTGCAAAATGAAGTGGCAATCAATTTGCAAATTTCATAAAATCTTATCTAATCTCATTTACCTTCTATGAATTTTATCAAGTGACCTTGAGGCAATACTAAAATCGAGATTTAAGATTTTGTCTCATATTCAAATTATACTTGAATATTTGTTCTACCTTTCAGGAATATTTCAAAATTTTGTACAAATACTTCTCTATACAGACAGGTTTTAATTGTTTATCACGTCAATTGTGGTTGTGTAACAAAAAAAATCCTAAAGATGAAGATTGACACTTTACAACATGTTTGGGTATAATCTATAAAATATAAAAGTGAAAATATCTGACAATAGGGAAGATTTTAAACAATTCAAAGTGTTGCATTCTGACATGTCACATGCTTATATTAATAAGGATAATACCTCTTGAAGACTATACAATGATTGTATATTAGTAAGAATTTCCTCTGATGTTGATACAGCGTCTTTCAAAACAATCATACCCTGTAATTATAGAACAATATAAAACCTTAACTATAACTTGTCTTAAAACATGTTTACAATGAATTTTTTATACAGAAGATGTTCTGCTGAAATTACACATGAGATTTTTTTTGATAATTCAAAACTGAGAAAAATGATTTTATTGGATTTGATCCCAAAATAAGTGCCTGTGTTGGATTTTAAAAATTCATAATAATGCTGACTTATTAAAAATACCGTCAACAAATTCAGCAGTGATAGACACTTTCTCATTTTTGCTAAGCTGTAACAGAGACATAGATAACAGAGATAAGCAGCTCCTATATACTCCATTGAAATATCACTCATGCCTATCAAAAAGTGAAAAATTAGGCATTTTGTAACAAATAAAACTTAATGTTGGTACATTTGATCCTTTAATACTATATACCATTTGAAAGGTAAATCTTTTATCTATTGCTGCATGTTAAAATATTGGTAACTTTCCATGCCTTTCACCTAGAAAAACATAGCAGAACATACCCACTGAGCCAGTTTTTTCGTCAAATGAATAGTTTTGTAACAAAAATTAATAGGTAGTTCTCTTTAAAAACTGATGTATCATTTATTTAAATGGGAACTGTAAATATTTTTACCTGCAGCCATAGACAAATGCATAAGCTTTCAGAAAATGTATTATTTTCCTGATTTTGATATCTGGTTAATAAGTTTTACTTGCTACAAGTTTTAAGTTTATCAGGAAAGTGTGATATTTTAACTGGTTAGGAAGTTGCCTATCTCTGTTATCTATGTCTCTGGCAGTAAGTAACGAATCCTGAACACTTTAAATGAGATCATACACATTATCTCCCCTGTATGATACAGATGTCCCCATAGCATTTAACCTTTTAACCTTCTGGCAGTAACTGAATATCCCAATCAGAACGCAACCAGTGCAGACCAAGATAAGTCGGCACATCATGGAGTGCACTGTTTGCTTTTCATTTAGCACTTAAAATGATAAATGGTTTTGTCCAGATTAAAAGATGGACAAGTTCATTTAAGATATGTAGCATGGGTTAAATAAGAGCAAGCTCATACCTGTAGATAGTAAGTATGTCTGATCTCAGCCTCGAGGGAATCCTGTGCCATTTTCCTCAGTATATCTGCATGTTCTTTCATCAGTGGTAGAGCCTCTCTCTTATATCCCATCCTAACCAAACATGATATGGCCTCATCAAATTTCTGTCAAAATAAACATCTTGTTGATAAAACAACCAGCAAAATACTAGTAATAGAAAGAGCATCGAAACACGAGACTATCTGATTTGTACGAGGGGACGTAGCCACTGAATATAAATCAGATTGCCGAGTGTTTTGAAGTTCTTTCTCTTTTGTATCATAGTCAAACATAAAAACATGTTCCCTGACACCACAATATGAAACCCCACAAAAAAGTAACTGATGAACGAGCATCTGAATATGATATTTCCATCGCTATCCCTTTCTCTGTCATCACAATATGTAAACCCCGAACAAAATGAACCAATCAATGGGCATGCTCTGGAGTGCGGGTAACTAATACCTGCATTCCAGTTAACGCATTGTGCATGTATATGTATATGTATATGTATATGATTAAACTCTGTCACATTTTCAACAGAAAGGTCCCTAAACTATGATACAAGTATATAGACAACAAAATCTAACAATGTCTACGAAAAAGATATTCAATGTATATCAAATAATAATTACAGGCAAATATAAGTTGTTTTTTTTTGTTTTTTTTTTTTAATTCTTATTCATACATAAGAAAATTGCAACAGATGATATGTTATGAGTGATTTACCTCACATATTTCATGCACTCTTTTCATCACTAGAGGATCATTGATATCTGGGTACTCCTCCTGGATAATAGACCACTGTGTTCCTGCCAATCTGTAACAACAAAATATACATTGTTTTGTTTGTTACTTTTTTGAATTTCACAATATATACACAAAAGCTTAAACTAAAGAAAATGAAGTACATACATCATGTAATATTGGTGTCAATCTTATTTATTTTGTTGTGTTTTAAATCACACCAACGCTTTAAAGGTTATATGGTGACTTTCCAACTTTACTGGAGAAGGAAGACCTCAGGCATCCAAGTAGGAAAACTGATGTTCTAAAAGCTAGCTAGATCCAAAGACCTTAGTAATGGGCAAGTGATTCAAATTCAACTTAACAAATAGGCCACAGATGCCAACTTTTTACTCTTATTACTTTCGATATCATCAGTTTGAATCTTCTTCCTTGTCAAGTGATATAGTACAGTCAACTATCGTTATCTCGACATCGCTTTTCTCGATATTTTGTTATCTCGATGAAATTTTGAAAGTCCCGTTTTTCTTCCTTCTTTATCTATATTGGAAATATTTGCTTATCTCGATATTTTTATTTCGATATTTTCAGTATCTCGATGTAAAATTTCAGCCCAACCAGTTATTTTCACACTATTATCCTTTGTTCATCTCGACTAATAGTTTTCTTTCATCTGTTCCCTTCACACATGTGATAAACACAATCTAAACGATAATTGCTAAATAGCGCGTGTCATAAAGATGATTATGTTTGTAACAAGTTAAGCTATTTTTATCATCTATTTAGTGTGTTGATTGGCTTATTTCCAAAATGAGTGAATTTTACGTTCTTTATAAATATTCGAACACTGTATCAATTCATTATGACTTTTAATGTTAATGAAATAGTGAAGTATAGAAACGCTATCGTTGCAATATTGTTTCAAAACATCACCACCAAATCAATCAGCGGTCGAATAATCTTGAGAAAGACCCGATAAATAACCCGGGAGGATATTCGGATCAACCACCCTGAAAACAATGTTTTCACTATAATGGTGTATTACTGAGTAAACCTCCTTATGTGTTTTTATCACAGACACACGTATTTCCGCTGGTAAACATCCGCTTATGTTACTTTGTTAAATATTGATTAGGCCTATGAAAACAAGACATGGGGATATCATAGTTTATCTGACATTAGGTATGCACATGTCTTCTTTTGTAAAACTAAGTTTCTGCCTTATTCAAACCTTAATATGTTTATCTAGACATTTCGTTATCTCGATATTTTCCCGATGACTTCGAGATAACGAGAGTCGACTGTATTTAATGTAAGCAATTTCAAAAACAAGTAGTTGTCACAACGGATACAATATCAGTTGCCATACAAAACCTCACAACACTTCACTTGCACACCCTAGGATCTAAAGGGACAAACTACTTTTTGACTCTTTGTTATATAATATAATGAATAATATACACTGCCCTCCAAAAATTCCTTCACACACCCTTTTTTCACTGTTTTTCCTAAGTATTTTTATTTGGAAATCAGTACAGATGCTTCAGTGGTTAAAATTATAATAATTTACATATTATCTCCCTTTTTAAGAATAATTTAACTTCTATAGTTAGTAAAACAGTAAAATGGGTCAGAATATTGAGTATTTTCTTAGGGTGGTCAAAATCATTGCAAAGAGTATCTCTCCCATAAAACATTCATCCAGTTTGACACATTTTCATAACCTTAATGAAATATCATTTTATTATTTGGATATAAGAGAACGTTAATTCAAGTTTTCAACATTGTCATCATGGTAGCTTTAACTCAAGAACAGAGGGTCACCATCAAGGTTTTACGTGATCAAGGCGTCAATATCAAAGACATTGCAGACCAAATTGGGTGCTCAAGGTAAGTTTTTTTTTCTCTCACTTCATTTTATTGTCTCTCTTCAAAGTAATTTTTTTTGCTGTGAAATGTTAGAAATGAGATTTGTTTGAATGTTTGTCTTGGTCTTACTTAGATTTCTTTTATTTTCTTGCAGGCATTCTGTGTATGCTGCTCTGACAAGGTACAACAACCAAGGTAGCCATGCTGATCTGCCCAGATCTGGTAGACCCAGATTGTCCAACGCTCGTGATGACCGCCGTCTTATTCGAGAGTCACTGCAGAACAGGAGGCTGACGGTTCCGGATCTTACAGCATCATGGAACCATGCTGGTGTAGCTTCCTCTACTTCAACTGTCCGTAGGCGACTGAAGGATGTTGGTTTGACTGGACATGTTGCCCAGAAAAAGCCTATGCTGACCCAGAGGCACAGAAATCTGAGATTAACATTCGCCAGAGAGCATTCGACGTGGACACGGGTTGATTGGTCGGCAGTTTTGTGGACTGATGAGTCAAGGTTCACAATGTTTCAGAGTGATGGACCAACCTTCGTCAGGAGGCGGCATGGTGAGCAGCTTCGAGATGATTGTGTGGTGCCAACTTTCAAATTTGGTGGAGGGGGGATCATGATGTGGGGCGCCATGTCGTATCGCGGGACTGCATTCCTCACGAGAGTTACTGGTAACTTAAATGCCGTTGGATACATTGATATTCTTGGCAATAGTGCTGTGCCATCGGCCCACTACTTGGGCTATGGAGGTAATTTCTGGCTCCAGGACGATGGCGCACCTTGTCATAGGGCAAGGATTGTCACAGAATGGAAGAATACCAATGGAATTCGAAGTTTAGTGTGGCCTCCTCAGTCTCCAGACTTGAACCCGATTGAAAATCTGTGGTGGGACATCAAGAAAGCTCTTAAAACAAGACGAAGTGCAAATCTTAATGAACTCGATATGAATGTAAGACAGTGTTGGGAAGAAATTGCAGTGGAACGTTGTGAAAGACTAGTGAATAGCATGCCTAGGCGTGTTCAGGCTGTCTTACCTGCTAATGGTGGCTACACGAAATATTGACAGAAGTTGATTTCCGTGATATGAAATCTAGCAAAGTGGTGTTATTTTCTGTTTTTGTTGAGTTGTGTATTTTTGCTGTTTCAGGAATTCATATCTTAAAATATGGGTATAATGTATAAATAAATGTTATAAAAAATAATGTAAAACTTAAATTTGTTTTAAATAAGTAAAGCCAAAAATCTTAAAAAATGTTGTCTGTGAAGGGACTTTTGGAGGGCAGTGTATATCATATATTTATGTATTGTATACCTTGCTTCAATCATAGAGATTATAAAGGACAGACTACTGGCCCTGTTTGGTCTCTCATCCTGAATTCTCATAAACTCATTGAGTGAATGCACCAAAATACCTCGAGCCTGAAACAAAATAGTAATACAGTAATCTAATTTTGGACATTACATTCTTTGATATTGGTACAGAGATACCTTCTTCTATGATAAACATGTAACTTTCATATAGCTAACAAAAATGTCAGAATATCAAGTGCACAAGAAATTTTAACAAACATATACGGCACTAAAAAGCCACATAAATTATCTTTGATTACCAGGTATGTCAAAATACCCACAATACAATTGCTTATAAATAATGGGGAAACTATTTTGCATACAAGTATTATTTCTAAAAACTGATTCTTCTACACCTTGTTTGCTCAACTAAAGGGGCACATTTTTAAACACAACCAAATTTTATCATTTAATGAGAAAAAACTTACAATTCTTTTAGCATTTCTGTTCTCATAGTCTTGTATGGTAGAGTTTGCCATCAACATTGTTGTCTCGTACCAGAACATCTCATCCCCATAGTACAAAGCCTGTAAACATACAGAAACATTTGCTAACTTTAATTTGTCATTATAATCAAACAAAATCTAGTTATCCATTTGGTCAAATGGCGTTGAAATCCAAACTTAATTTGAATATTTCAGAGCGATAGTTAAATTTAGGCATTCCTTTAATCTTGGTCAGCTTTAAAAACACACACTCCTCTGGGAAAAGTAGCTCATAAATTGCTGCAATATTTGATTTATGTCCAGTTTTAATATTTATCAAAGAATCTAAATATCAATGACAAAAAAAAGACTAACAAAGCTTCAGATAAAAAATTATAACAAAATATAAGTAGAACAACTTTTCTTTTACTGCCAAAAGAAGTAAAAAGGTAGATATATACCTGAGCTTTCTGGCAGTAGTTGATTGCCTGACCAAACTGAGCTTCTTCGTATGCCAGTGTGCCCAGCAGGTAGAGGGCTCGAGCCTGAAGAGGAATGTCACTGAACGATACACCAGCAGAATGGGCTTCCATCAGGAATTCTCTAGCACTTTGGTAGTGTCCCTGCAACAATTTATTTCATTTATATAATTTTATTACTTTCCATTTCTATATTTATTTGTACATTACAGTCAAATTATTTGATTCAAATTTCTAAATCAAACTTCCTATAACAATGACACTTGCTGGTGTCTTTGTCAATAAGTTCAAATATTGAACCACATTTTCTAAATCTTTGACTCTTAAAGGTTTAATAGCTTTCATATGAAAATAGCATAGGCATGCTATTCAGATGACTGTATCAGTCTTGCTGATTAAGTTTAGTTGTATTAACACCAAACTTTTACCAACTACCAGTAAAACAGTCAAAGCTGTGACGAAGGAAGAGACAGATAATGGTCTTTATAGACAAGTGGACATAAATTCGAGATTACTTTCATTTTATCCATGAAATGTTATCAATAAGTGGCCATTATTTGCAGAGTTATCTTTATTCAGAGGTGATCTTAACACAGATTTGACTGTACAACTTAACAGAATGAATTCAAGCACTACAATATATCAGAATACAAGAGGGCCATGATGGCCCTGAGTTCGCTCACCTGTATAAAGGCACCTGGAGCTCGGCCAGTTTAAACCCCAGGGCTTTTATTTGCACAACCTTGGAAGACACCCATTAGAAGATGTTTCATGCTTAATATCTAAACACCAGCTATTTGGGTTTTTTCAAAGAAGATTTTCTAAGTTTTTGCTATACACATATAACGAAAATCAATGACCCCCGGGGTGGGGACAATTTTGACCCCAGGGCTTTTATTTGAACAAACTTGGTAGACACCCATTAGAACATGTTTCATGCTAAAGATCTTAGCTCAAGCTCTTTGAGTTCTTTATAAGAAGATTTTTAAAGTTTTCACTATATGCATATAGGGAAAATCAATGACCCCCCTGGGGCGGGGCCAATTTTGAACAAACTTGGTAGACATTAATTAGAAGATGTTTCATGCTAAATATCTTAGCTCTAGCTCTTTGGGTTCTTTAAAAGAAGATATTTTAAGTTTTTACTATATGCATAAAGGGAAAATCAAAGACCCCCTGGGGCGGGGCCAATTTTGACCCCAGGGCGTTTATTTGAACAAACTTGGTAGACACTCATTAGAATATGTTTCATGCCCAATATCTAAGCTCTAGCTCTTAGGTTTTTTTAAAAGAAGATATTTAAAGTTTTTTCTTTCGGTTGCCATGGCAACCAGAGTTCTACATGGAATGGAATTCTTTGATCAATTTTGTTAAGGCTTCACACAAGGAACATCCCTGTAAAGTTTCATTATGATCTGCCTTATGGTTTCAGAGGAGATGTCGTTTGTGAACGGACAACGGACGACGTACGAAGGACGACAGACGACGGACGAAGAGTGATCCTAATAGCTCACCCTGAGCATATGCTCAGGTGAGCTAAAAACGCTATATTACCTAATAATTGTTGTAATTACTTACCTGTCTTATAAGCACTTCTGCTGTGTCAGTCCAGACATCTCTAAACTGTACAGCACCCAGAACTTTACCTAAATGTGATACAACTTTATCTGTTGACTGAAATAAAAACAACAAAGTTAAAATAAATTTATCCATCAAGTTTGCTCTAAATTCTGAACTACAATCCTATAGACAGTTATGTAGCATCAAGACACTGCTACTATTTGATTATGTAAAAGGTCAAATGCTGGACATGAAATTTTGTGGTTTTGCAAAATATAACATATTTGTTGGTTCATAAATTGGATTGTTTGTTTTTGTCAAAAAGTAAAATGCAAATAATGTAATTCAAAATACATGTTCACTCACAGATCATGAAATAAAATTTTGTTGAATTTCAAATTTGTTAATTAACTTGTCCACAAAACCGTGAAAACTTCTGTCTCACGAATGATAATGATTTTGCAATAAATATAGCACACAACGTAATCAATTTGTATAATAGGCTGTCCTGTGCTTTTGATTTATGTATGAAAATGCTAAAATTTATCAACAGGTAGAATAAAGTCTAGTCAAAGGTTATGCAGATTGATTTCAAAGCTATGTTAATATATTTGTTACCATTAATTTCAAAACGTTTTGCATCATTCATACATTAATAAATAAATACCCTCAAATAATTTTTGTTTTGTTTTTATTGTTGATTGTTTAAAGTCACAACAACACTGTAGAACTTATATGGGAACTTTAAAGCTATACCGGCAGAAATTGATATCAGGTTTGCAATCTTGTATTACAGTATGTCATACATATAATCAGGTGCCATAGCATAGCACACAATCTTCTGTAACCTAGCTAGTGTAAGATTTCTCATAGGTAAGGATCGAAAGTCTGTGTCAGAATTGCAACCAACATATATGAGGAAATGGTAACTTTAATATGAGGGAATTGTAACTTTAATATAACTATAACCCTATGGATGTCCTTGACTTCACAACTATAAAAGTATAAATAATTGTATTTTACCTGTTCAGTGGTTGCTGTTTCCTGCCGTTTAGTAAGGAGACTTCTGGTTGATTGTTTGGTCTCTTCAGCAAGTTTAGCAATGGTTTCTCTCACTCTCATTTCTTCTTTGATAACCTGAGCTTGTTTCTCCTTCCAGAAGGCTATATCATCACGAGACCTATATAAAAACATCAATATATAAATGAGTAAACAGTTACTGTGTAAACTGATACCAGAATAAGAATACTACAAATCAGTGTCGGTTTTTCAAGGCAAATGCAACATTCTTCAATTCAGATGACAAAACAGTACACAAGTGAATTTATTTAAATGCACATTGACCCACAGATATGAGTTCAATTTTTCTTCATTAGAAAATTATCATGTGTTTTATTTTTCTCTTTATAAAGCATTTACAGCATATCTTATGATTATCAATTTATCACCTGAAGGAAGTAGTGCTAAATGTGAAATTATTTGTCTTAAAAGAAGCAAAATGTAAACAAAGTGGTATTTTGACTGCCATACAAATACTTAATCACATATCAGTGTATGATAAAAGTGGCTCAGCCATAAGGTCAGTGATTACATTTTTGAAAACTGAAACAGGACACTGTGGGTTTTTTTTAACTTTCAAAACACACCATAAAGCTAAATAAAAATAAAACTTAATAAAACATCAAAAATAGTCATATCAATGATTAGGAAATGTTTTGTTTAATTTTAGTTCAAACCTCGGATTTCTCTTATTACATTACAATGTTTTTGTGTCATTCATATCTTACATGTATTATATAGCTGCAATAAATATTATCAAACTAATATTACAATCTTACTTAGCCTGATCTGCTTCATTCATATTAACTGGTCCACATATTTTCTCATGGAATGTGTATCCATTGGTGAGGTTCAGCTCTAGACACACCTCCACCGCACGACTATGCACGAGAAACTTGAGCGAGTCATTGTGTAGTAGGTCTCGAGATAGAAGATCCTCGAAGGCGAGGACAGGAAGAGTAAGATGGTTGTATCCTATATCCCTCAGCTGTGTCACCATTGACTCCAGGTAATGTAATGTCAACATCTGTACAATTTATAAAAGTATTCTTTCAAAATAATAGCGATGGAGCATGATATATTGAAATTAACAAATGGGATCAAGTCAACAAAACTGTATCAAAGGAGACAGTTTGGAACAATGATTATTTTAAGATTAAAATTGTTTCTTTATGATACAATTAAATTCAAAAAGTAAAATGAAACCTTTAATGTTTGAGTTAGTTAGAAAAGTAACATGTTTTATGAAGGGAAGTCAACTGCAAGGTTTGTCTCAGGCATGTTTTTTTTAAACAACGGAGGCTACTTACAGGTTTTACAATGGTGTGTTTATTGATGCCTGTTTCTTCCATGAGCTCATGTTTGAATGCTTCTATTACCTGGAAAAATAAACACAAGAGGCCCATGAGTTTTTTTTATCAATCACCAGAAAAATAAGTAAAAAATTACTGTATTGTAAATAATGTTCAAAGTCGAATTCAACTTGTTTACAGTCTATTTTAGTTTCTTGTTACATCTGTCATCTGTGTTAGTAATCAAATTTGACAGTAGTCTTTTATTATACAATACAACCATAGGATTAATCTTATTAGTAAAGTTCATTAAAATTTTGAAGAAAAAAAATCTGTCTTGAAATAATTTAAGTGTTGGTACAGTGTTATAAAAATACATGAATTTAGAAAATTTAATCAGAAATAATGAATACAGCTTTGTTAACATAAACATTGAACTGTTAAACTTAAATATACCTCATCAGGAACATCATAGACTGCCCATTCTTCCAAAGTGTTTGGAATAATATCTAATGGCCCTTTACGTTTAGGTTTCTCTTTCACTGGGGCTTTCTCTGCACCCTTATCCTTCTTCTTTGCTGATCCTTTTGCATTGTTGTTCTCACCAGCTTGTGGAGGGTTCTTCAGAATTTCCTTCATTGTTGGACCTGATACCTTGACAGTTACCTACAGAAACAAATTTGACAACAAGTTATAACAAAACATCTTTGATTAGCATTTTCTTTATCAAGGAAAACTTTTTTCTATGTCTGGCAATATGAGTGTCAGTTTATACTAGTATTGCAGTAACTGGCAATATGAGTGTCTGTTTATACTAGTATTGCAGTAACTGGCAATATGAGTGTCAGTTTATACTAGTATTGCAGTAACTGGCAATATGAGTGTCAGTTTATACTAGTATTGCAGTAACTGGCAATATGAGTGTCAGTTTATACTAGTATTGCAGTAACTGGCAATATGAGTGTCTGTTTATACTAGTATTGCAGTAACTGGCAATATGAGTGTCTGTTTATACTAGTATTGCAGTAACTGGCAATATGAGTGTCAGTTTATACTAGTATTGCAGTAACTGGCAATATGAGTGTCAGTTTATACTAGTATTGCAGTAACTGGCAATATGAGTGTCAGTTTATACTAGTATTGCAGTAACTGGCAATATGAGTGTCTGTTTATACTAGTATTGCAGTAACTGGCAATATGAGTGTCTGTTTATACTAGTATTGCAGTAACTGGCAATATGAGTGTCTGTTTATACTAGTATTGCAGTAACTGGCAATATGAGTGTCAGTTTATACTAGTATTGCAGAAACAATGATCATACCTGCCACAGTTTCATGAGATATGCATGTGCCATCAGAAGATAGTCTGCGTACTGAGGTACACCTCGACCTACAATCTCAGCAAGGAGCACGTGGGCACGTATGAGACCATCTAGCACCTTAATATCTGTTATATCCTGAACCTTTAATGTTGGGTTGGTGGGTAAAACACCTGAAAATATATATAAAAACATTAATGCAAAATTATCTGTTTGATAAACAAAAGCATCTCACTACCTGCAATGAACTATCTATGTTTAAAATACTCTTGTCATGTAACACCTTTCCTGCCTTACAAACATAGCGGTGGTGCTAGTGGGAAAGAAGTTTAAAATTCAAATAAGTATTTAGCACACAATATCAAAATGGGTTTGTATTTTCTAACAAACTGTCAACATTAAAATTTCAAAGTTTTATTTCAGGTATAATTATCATTATGATAATTTAAGAATAATAATCACCACACAACCTTTCTATATTTTCTTTATAAATTTTACTTTCATTATAAGAATATAAATATTTATTTTTTTGCTTGTAATGCCATGAACATACCTATGACAGCCTCCCTGGTTTGAGGAATCATATCTTCTGGATTGACATCTTTACTATCACCTTTATCTTTCTCCTTATCTGCTTCCTTCACTTGTGTCCTCTCCTTCTTAGCTGATGGTACTTTAGGTTTAGGAGGGGCTGCTCCTTTCTTATCTTTCTTTCCTCCTGCAATATATACATTATTTTCAAACATAATTAAGTACAAAGATCTTTCGTTTGAGCCCAAATGGGGGTCTAGCAGATTGAAGTAAGGTTCATATAAGTTTCAAGTGGTTAATAATTAATGTGTAAAATTGATAATGCTTAAGCTTAACTAACAAAAGGTGTAAGAATTCTTTCTTTTTTTTCTGAAAAGAAAGCAAGGCTGTGTAAAGCCATCTAGTCTTCACCTAAACTTTTCAAATAAAATATTGCGTATTATTTTTATTGTTTATTATCGGCATTGTATTTTTCTGCAAGTAATTTACAAATTTTCCACACGAGATGCCATTTGAAGTCTTTCTTTCACATTATGTATTTTGTAGCCTAAAATCTTAGAAAGAAAACTATCTTTTTGTTGAGCAAAGTTCCATGATGTCTTATATCAAATTTTAGTCAACAGTGTGAAAGCAAAAGAACAATATTCAGCAGACGACAATGTGAAAATTAAGAAACAAACCTTTGGCAGCTTTCTTGACCTCAGCGGCTTCTGCAGCAGCCTTTGCTTCTGTTGATAATACAACATTACACAATATAGTGACATAACATATTACATGACATAGTGACATAACATATTACACAAAATAGTGAAATCATTAATCATACAACAAAAATATGAACTTTTACAATAATTTAAATAGTAATGATATTTTATGAAAAAGCAGTTTGTGTTTGCAATGTTCATAAGCCCATTTATAAAGTTTGACAACCTTAAGTTTAATCAGTTTCATCACTAAGAAAGTATAAAATCTAAAACAAGTCTTATCACATGTCATTGTGTAATTTTTTACCTTGTTTTCTATGCAATTTAACCAATTTACACATTTCTTAATGATTCACAATTTATATTAAATGGTGTCATTTTAAGCCTATAAAAATTAAATATGTAACATATTTTTGGAGAGAAAAAAAGGTTCATCAAGTGAAATCATGCCACTCTGTCAAAGATACAAGGGTAATCCTCCATTTAACCTTTCATTTGCAAAACATTTCATCACTTTTCTCATGATAATAATTTTTCATTGACCATCACCACAGCACAAGAAAAACTGTCTCTTCTTTTTTTTCTAACCCCTTTTTCCCATTTAATCTGTATAAGAGACTCCTGCCTTGAATTGGTACTGTTTTTTTAATGTTATTTTAAGGTGTCAAGGTAAAATATTAAATCAAAATGCCCATAGGACAGGTTGAAGTCACACTGCAGAGATATCCATGGATGTGGAAGTCTTGGTTTGCTATTGTTAGCCTATAAAAGGTTTATTGTAACTAACAACAGTTTGGTGCTGAGGCAACAGAATATCATACAAAATGTAATCAAGATAATATATATTGGTCACACCACTGGATGCTCCACAATGTCTCTTTGACAAACCTAAAAACATGACCTTATTGTAAGGAAAAGTTGTAAAATTCATTATCAGTCTGTTAAAGCAGCATTGACCTTGATCTAATTAAGCTAAAATGGTTGACCTTGACCAAACTGACTTTATACCCCACTCAATGGCAGATGTCCATAGATGTATACCAATACACTATATATGTAAGATATCAGTCTATAAATAAAAGTGCTAGGAGGACAAACCAGCAACTATATGCTCAAAAAATTCTATATGTAATAATAATCATAATAAAAGGGGAGCATAATATAGATGGTGGCAATCTGCAAAGATATATATAAAATAATTTATTAGGTTCAACCATGAAGAAAAGCTTGCATAAACCATCACCTCTATAACAAAACTGGAACATTTAAAATAATAACAACAGAGGTGTGTAAAATATAGGGACAAACAGAATAAACATGGGAAAAATCAAATCTCTCATACAATTCTGTTATATCTTTTATTACCTTAGCCAGATCCAAGTATTTTAGTATAATGTTGAAAATAAAATATTGCTTTAAAGTGGTTGCTAAGGAGACTATGGAAATGTTGCACTATCAATTAATTGGCCTCTCCAATTGCCTCTTATTAACATTCTCAATGGAGCTGAGGCATTTATTTTCACTTATAAATTCAGTTTTCATTATTCTATTAGCATAGAACTAAAATATCTACCATAGACAATATAAGTATATTGCTAACACAAACCCCCCTTACTGAAGCTATTGATCATATTAAGTTAATTATCTTTTGAGATAATGACATGAAATAAATATATTTTCTCAAGACAATTATACAAATTCTAAAAAATTAACTCCATTCTATAAACTGATTAAAATTTCCCCTTTCAATAAATTCTCCATTCCGTAACAGAAACTTTTTGTAAAGTTTTATTACCTAAAAATGAAAACAACAATCTAAATGTCTATCTGCCTAGCAATGGTTGCTATAACTTATAAGGATTAAATAATACAGGGGCAACAACTTTGTATGAGAGGTTTGAGTCAGAAAAAATACAGTAATGAAGGTATAAGAATTTGTTACCAAAGAATCTGGGTCATATAGTAAATCCAATTTTCTTAGACCAAACATGTTCCCTTTTCACCCAATTAACATTAACATTATACATTTATATATATATTTTTCCAAGATTTTTTTAAAACATTTTAACAATAGATGAAAAATTTCTAGTTTGCAGCTATGTGGCTCAACTTTCTAATATTCTTCAGTAACTGAATACTTATTGAAATTGAAGAATAGGTAGGAGATTGATATATATCTTTCAAAACTGATACATAAATCACAAAAAGAGCTTGGGTTTGTCTTTCAATCAAAATCACAACAACAATTTCTCTTGTATTTTAATTTGTGTTGGTCACAAAACTGAAAACTCACTTTCTCAATGCACTAAATTATAAATTTTATTTACTATATACATGTATATAAAACACAGATTCTTTGTATACTCATTGGCAGAATTCCATTCATCCCAGAACTCAAGGTGTACATTTTTCTTTATCTTTATAACACAGCAATTAGAAACACACAATTCAATAATTTCTCTTGAGGAGGAAGTTAACACGGTATTTCAATTTTCAAAATCACTTTAAGAAAAACAGCACTTTCAGATACCAATACTATGAAACTAAGAACGTATTTTTAGCATTTGACAATAAACATTTTGTGCTCTTGATATTTCTTTTTTGAAAATTGTTCAATCGATGATCATACATCCAAACAATACTGCTTTAAATGAAAATGGGAGTGACAGGTACATTTAATTTAAAGTCTTGACACAAGCTTGTTAACCTCCTGTATTTCTGTAATGGACATTGCCCAGTGCTTTGAAATTGAAACAGTATATTATGTACTTTTACCATGAAAAACCTTTAACAACTTATCAATCTTAAAGTCTGAATAAAATCATTTATCATTTTTAGGGAATTTTCTGAACTGGTTAGAGTAGATAGCAGGGTAAAGACTTAGGACCTACAATAACTGAATGCTACAACATTGAGAGGATGACAGTATATATTGTTCGACATTGGAATACTATCAGGATAAGAAATATTTTTTGCTATAAACATCCTAAGGTTTGATCAAGTACAAGAGCAGCGTGTTCTGATTTGCTGTGTTACAAAATAAGAATTCTAACTCTTTTTTTTCTTCTCATTTTCTGCTAGAAATCTTACCTAAAATGGCCGCTGAAATTTTATATCCCACAAATAATAATACAATACATACATAAATTACAACATAATTATTATGTGCAAAATATAACATGAAAAATCTATATAAAATATATATAAAATACTAAGCTTTAAGAAAAACAGAAAAAAGTTAATTGATTATAGTCCATTACTGTACAAGTCTTCAGGCAGACTATTAGAGTTTGTTTGTTTATTTTAGCATCATAATTGTCTTTAATTCATTCAGCATATGAACCATGTCTGTGTTAAAAGAATATCACATATAATTAAAGAGAGAAAAAAAAAACATCTCTGAAAATATAAATGTCAGTGTTGCTTGTAAGCCAAAATAAAAATGTAGCATAAACTAATTTAAATACTAGAATAATTTGTTACATTGATAAAAAAGTTATGAGTATATTCTTTTTAGGTATGAGACATATTTGTTACAATGATATAAAGTAATAAACAAAAAAATACACATAACAATATTGAAGAACAGATGTTTTGAGGTGATTATTTCTATCAAATAAAAGTACAACAATGTACAATGTATTTTTAGCAATTACATTGAAAAATGAAAGCAGTTTAAGTATTAATTAGATATAATAAGAAAAAATTAAACAGTACAAACAGCTTAAAGGAACATAGTAACATACTATAGCTGTTTTAAAATTATTTTATATATATATATATTTAGCATCTGACTTAGTCATTATTATACTTGTATGTGAGGGTGGTGATTATCAAGACAGACGTGGTGTTTTAATGACGCTGCTGAAGACAGTTTATGGGAAATCGACGGTCAGTTATTTTTGTTACTTTAAAGTTCAGACATTCTTACTGCACCAAAAAAGTTAAAGGATTCTTATCTATAAAATATAAATGTATAATAAAAGTAAAAAAAAGCACATGCATATTAGTTAAAACTTAAAAAAAAGAACAATAAAGAAGCTAGCTAACTTACCTTCTTCTTTCCTGGTATCAATTTCAGCCTGCATATTTTGCATTATATCTATGGCCCATTCTACTTGATCTGTACAATCTTCTAGTGGGAAATCCTTCACACATAACCACTGGGCAAACTCTAATAACAGCTCTATCTTCAACCATTCATTACTCTGACTCTATAATATATATTAGTTTGTTTAAACATATTTATCTAAGCTTGACTGCGAAACAACTTCTTGCAACTTGTAGTAATCAAGTCTACTTCCTGGAACTAACCAGTACTGGGTGTCATAAGAAGGAGCAAGGTGATGACTTGAAAAGGGCTTGAACCCCAAATCCCTAGATTGAGAGGCAGATACCCTAACCACTAAGCCACAAGCACCCTTATTTGATATGTTGGACTTACCTTCAGTTTTATGACTGACATTTTAACTAAGTACATAGTGGAATTCAATCAAACTGGAATGATGACCAAGTGATTCAAAGGCAGCCACCATAACCACCTGGCTAATAACATAGCCCCCCTATCACTGTTAAAAGTCATTTTCATCCTGATCAAATTGTATTACAACTGAATTTTGAAGTTTGATTACATAGTAATCCACTTATTGTATTCTGAGTTGAGATATTGTGTTATTATAATTATATAAAGCAAGATAAAAACAAGAGGGCCATGATGGCCCTAGATCGCTAACCTGACTTATCAAACTCATCCAAACAATTACCTAGACAAGCATTCTGACCAAGTCTCATGACAGGTGAGTCAAAAATGTGACCACTACAGTGTTAACAAGGATGATCCATATTTGAGCAGTGCGACCTATTTTTTTACCCAGGTGACACATATTCAAACTTGACCTAGAAATCATCAAAACAAACTTTCAGACCAATTTCCAGGATACTTGGATCAAAACAGTAGCAACTAGAGTGTTAACAAGATTTTTCTATTTTTAGCTTCGGTGACCTAGTTTCACATGCGATTTCGAACTCATCCAAGCAATTACCTAGACAAGCATCCTGACCAAGTTTGATGATAATTGATACGAAAATGTGACCACTAGAATGTTAACAAGGTTTTACCATATTTGGGCGGTGTGACCTAGTTTCTCATCCAAGATGACCCATGTTGGATCTTGACTTAGAAATCATCAAAACAAACTTTTAGACCAATTAACAGAATATTTGGATCACAACAGTAGCCACTAGAGTGTTAACAAGATTTTTCTATTTTTAGCTCCTGTGACCTAGTTTTTCATCCAAGGTGTCCCATGTTCGATTTATTCCCAGCAATGACCTAGACAAGTTTCCTGACCAAGTTTGATGACAATTGAGTCAAAATTGTGACCTCTAGAGTGTTAACAAGGTTTTTCTATTTTTAGCTCATGTGACCTAGTTTTTCATCCGAGATGACCCATGTTCGAACTCATCCGAGCTATCACCTAGACAAACATCTTGACAAAGTTTGTTGATGACTGATGCAAAAATGTGACCGCTAGAGTGTTAACAAGGTTTTTCTATTTTTAGCTCTGGTGACCTACTTTTTCATCTGAGATGACCCATGTTCGAATTCATCCGAGCAATCACCTAGACAAGCATCTTGACAAAGTTTGATGATGATTGATGCAAAAATGTGACCGCTAGAGTGTTAACAAGGTTTTTCTATTTATAGCTCCAGTGACCTAGTTTTTCATCCGAGATGACCCATATTCGAACTCATCCGAGCTATTATCTAAACTAGCATCCTGACAAAGTTTGATGATGATTGGGTCAAAAATGTGACCAGTAGAGTGTTCACAAGGTTTTTCTATTTTTAGCTCCTATGACCTAGTTTTTCATCAGAGATGACCCATGTTCGAACTCATCCAAGCAATTGACTAGACAAGCATTCTGACCAAGTTTGATGATGATTGGTTCAAAAATGTGACCACTAGAGTGTTCACAAGGTTTTTCTATTTATAGCTCCTGTGACCTACTTTTTCATTCGAGATGACCCATGTTCGAACTCTTCCGAGCTATCACCTAGACAAACATCCTGACCAAGTTTGATGATGATTGGGTCAAAAATGTGACCTCTAGAGTGTTCACAAGGTTTTTCTATTTTTAGCTCTTGTGACCTAGTTTTTCATCCGAGATGAGCCATGTTCGAACTCATCCGAGCTTTCAACTAGATAAGCATCCTGACCAAGTTTGATGATGATTGAGGCAAAAATGCAACCGCTAGAGTGTTCACAAGCAATTGTGGACGTACGACGGACGACGTACGACGGACATTCACCGATCCTAAAAGCTCACCCTGAGCAAGCTCAGGTGAGCTATAAAAAACCATCTCAAAGTCACCTCAAGATAACAAACAATTTTTACAACTCACATTAAGTGCCTCTATGGCATTCTGGTAGGAAAGAAGTTGTTCTGCTGTCTCCTTGGACATGAGGGCCACACGGCGCCACATATGTGCCACATAATCTTCACTCTCATCCTAAAACACATAGTTTATAACTAACATTAACCTCTTTATTTTAAATACCAAATGTACTTTGCTGATTTTTTTAATGAATACATAATATATAAAATTATGTTCTAAAATTTTTTATAAACTATACTGCCTGTAAATCATTTCAATATTTACAGAGATTAAAGATATGAAAATGAATGGTTCTCTACCCTCACTACATGTTAGAATACTTTTTTTTAAAAACTTGTAATCATGGACATTATTCTTGAAAAGAAAAAAAAACAAACAAATGAAATAAATGTTCTAAAAAAGGGAAGTTATTAAAGAGATCTCATCTCATATTGGAAATATTTAGCATACTGCAGTAACTAAAGAGTCACTAGCTTATAACTATATAAAATAAGAAACATGTGCTGTGACAAGAAATGTCTGGAACCTGTGACAGATAATCAGTGATACTGAAAAACAAAGTCAAATACACACGTTCAACTCAGAAACAACATAATAATGTGTACAAGGAAAATACTATCAATACTGAATTCATTATGAAAACTTCTAATAAGAGTACACAAAAGTAAACATATGTAAACTAGGAAAAAAAAGATTGCTTTCTTAATTTATGTTGATGTGGCATAAAAAGAACAATTTATTTTTAGGCTAACAAATGTTCTGTGAATTTAAAGTTGGCTAAGTGCTGTGATCCAGAGGGTATTACAAATTCTTCATAAAATACGCAAAATTTGGAATTTTCATGTGTTTATTAAGCCTTACATTGCTGGAAACAATAATGACTTGTCCATGCCACCAGTATTTATGTGAGAGGCTAGTTGGTCAGTCCACTGAAGTATCTTAATACTAAAATCTCTAAAAATCACAATTTGCAGTCCAAAATTCAAAGCAATGCAAGTGTATTACACAATTTTAAGAGCAATCCTTATTTAAGCATTTATAACTGACATCAAATAATAATTAGTCTTAGAAAAATGTAATTCATTGAATCTTAAAATTAACACTTTACACCAAATACATTGTAACATGTTTCATAAAAAGACATATTTGTTTAAAACCCCAAAACCCAAATATAAGCTGAATGGATTTTAACTCAAACAAAAAAACTATAAAAAAAACACCAGAAATGTATTTCTAACTAAAATGTTTCCCTCACTTATCTCTAGAAAGATGCAACAATTAAATGATTCTATTTTCAAAAAGTGACATAAAAGAAAGAAATATTGTGACAAAAACAACAGTAAGTGACCAAAGGAAACCTATAAGAATGTGACAAGATATAGATAAAAAATATACAATAATTCTTACAACAAAGTCACCCTTAAATATTATACAATTCAAACATTCATACTTCAATAAAAAGTTACAACAAGAGCACCACATTATGTGTTAACGCTTGTTTGAAAAAAAAAACTTCAAAAATATTGGTTTCAGAATTATGCCTATTGTCTAACAATTGCACCTTGTCTTGACAAGCAAGTTTTAATGTTTTTTTTTTAAATGTTTGAATAATAAATAGCTCATGAATAAGAAAAGCAACAAAAGATGAATATAATACATGTACGTTATTCTATTGCTTTGTTTTAAAAGCTTTGTACTTTTTTAAAACTAATTTCTTTTATTTTATTTTTTGGGATTTTTTTCTGTGTTTTTTGTTTGTTTTTCTTTTTTTTTTTTTTTTTTGGGGGGGGGGGGCAGTTACATCTCACCAACAATGCACACAGTAAAGGTCATACAGCGACTGTCTAGCTTTACTGGTGTGAGGAAGACCTCAGTTCATGCATTAATCTTGGCACTAACAGGCACCTAGGTAGAAACATAATGTTGTGTATGCTGGCTGGATAGCTGAATATTTATGAAATGCTTTTAACAAAATGAATGTTTGAATTGTATATCTATGATCTACAATGTCTCTCTATCAGAAACTAACCAAATGACTTTTAACATTTTCTAAACTGACCTCCAACTCTGTCTGCAGGCAAAAAGAATCATATATTTATTAAATAAGACAGTCTCTTTTATACAGCTTTTCTACATTCAAAATATACATCATACACTCTTAAAAATCATTTCATTTTGACATATTTGTGACTTAACTCAATGCCAAAAGCCTAAATTAATAGGTCAAGAACTTTTTTAATCTCTGTGATGACAAGTATAACTGAATTTAAATGAAGGAGCAGATGTGATAGTATTAACCATATCCAGGTAACATAACAATTCTTGAATGCTAAGCTGCTAATGTACCTCAAGACTCATTTTTCAATACAACATTGGGTTAAAGTCTATATACACAGTCACTTATTTTCATTATATGACAAATAGGGTTCCTTGTATGTTTTGTGTTTACAATTAATCAAGACACACTGGCTAATAAAACTGCTACATGTGTATTACAGAATCTATTTGCCATAAACATATGGATGAATTTAGTCTAAACTTCAAGGCTATACTTTAATTCTATCCTCATTAACGTTCTAATAAAACCTGTAAAAATACATTTGATACAATTAAAGTACATGTATATCCACGCTATAGTTATGTATTCTTACATATTATATATAACAACAAACAATAAAATGTCCTAAATAAATCTATATAGATTTCAAAGACTGCTAGCAAACATTTTTCTAAGACTTGCTGCTTGATTTTATTAGAACATCTATATAGCATTGAAAATCACTTCTTAACTGTCTAGCATACAGTTATAGAATAAAGAAGTACAAAAAGGTAAACACACAACAGACTTCAAACCTTTTATATTCTATTTTCATTCATTTTCAGCTTCAGAAAATTGACTATTTATTAGTCACACCAACACTGTTGAGGTCATATGGTGACTTTCCAGCTTTAAAAAGACTTCAAGTAAAATACTGTGCATTATTTCAGACACAGACTTCAAATATTCTAAAACATATATCACTATTATAGCACATTCTACAAAGAAAAATCTCCTCAGCAACCTGAAATATTTTACACTTGCTACATTAGCACATCCTAAATGACTATTTCTGGCCATATCATTAATGATATGCTAAACATCGTACACTTACCAGCTCATCCTAGGCACAAATATATAAGATTTATAATGAAAACTCCAATATAACAGTAAATAGAGCATACACCTTTCTGAGGAAGGGGGCTGCAATAAGTTACCATTTAACAAAAAAAATGTAAGTCAGTTTTTACATGATTAAATCTTTTTCTGCTGGATTTGAAGCTATTGCAATACTGTAGATCAAACGGAGGAAGTGACTCTCAGAGCATTAGCTAAGCCTTAAACCACCAACATTAAGTCTTTCATTTAAAGAATCCAAAGTGTCAGTCAGGAATTTAGCCTGTTACTGTGACATTATGTAATTCAAAGTCAGTAACATAAATCACTTAATTTTCATACATTCCTAGTCTTACATGAAACTATAAAGCATGTTTACCTGTATGTAACAAAAGTTTTACTTACATGAAAAAAAACCCAACAAGGTCATATATCTTTGCATTCAGTTAATATTCATTTTAAACCAACCTTGATAAAATGTACGAGTGAAAATACAACAAATTGATCTTCATAGCAACAAATGAAACATAGTATTTCTTCATCATGTTCTGTACAATACATGCTGTGTAACAAATATATTTCCAAGGACCCTGAACTGCAGACACCTTTAAATACCATTGATAATTAAGAAATGATTTGTTTGTTCTATTGTGTATACAGACATATTTAAGCCTGCATGCCCCCATATGAGCCAAAATATTTTAAGAAAATCATACTTGAGAAAAACTGACTAAGATTTAATAAAAGTTTAAAGATTCAAGATTGAAGAAATAATTTAATGTTAAGTGCAAATAATTACTGATTTTGTAGTATTTATCACCATGAATGTATTTCTAAAGTGAGACTTACTCAGTATGGGCTTTTTTTTTATCATAATATAACAATAATCATCAGGAATAAATAGGGTTATGAATAAACAGGGATACTGCAAGCTGAACATGAAAAGAAGATGGCATGCTGTTCATTTTTATTTTAAAAGGTTTTATAAATGGTGCAGAACATCTGAGAATAAAATATGCCATTCAAGTAAGATATAAACCTGTACCAGGTATTAACATGAATAAAGAAGGAATATGATTTTACCTATTTATACTATTCTATCCGAGCTTGTGTAACTACGGCACAGGTATTTGTTGTATATAGAAATTGGATCATACAAATATAGGTGTAAACATAAAGGTGAGCATAGAGTTGTGGTAAAGTACAGTTATAGGGATAACATACGAGCAGGAAGAGCAGGGCAAGATGAGTAGTATAACATTGGTAAACTTGATACCAGTACATAACAGTGTACACCATCACCTAGTCACGCCCATGCATTACAATAATACACTGACAAACTATGACTTTCATATTGCTATAATATATAACATTCAATATTTGGCGGTTTTGACTATATTATACATATTTTATACAACCAGCACAGAAGCAGGTTTTGTAGGGAACTGAGTGGTTGCCATGACAACATAAAAAGCTGTGCATTAAACTAACCTTTCGATTGGATGCTCGACCTCGATTAAGGTATTTCATCTCAGTCTAATAAATTGCAGTTTAAAATAACAGACATTGTCATTTGCGTATCAAAGTTTTAAAAAAATCTTATTATCAAAAAATTTTAAGGTATAATTCTATCAAGACATAAATATTGATTTAAGGAATAACTTCATAATAAAACAGTACATGTTACATATCCCTTCATACAGAGAATTTATTAATTCACATCAATGTTAGGAATGAAACGGGAAGAAAATAGTGAACATGTAACCTCACTGACCTTGAACTTCTGGATATCCATGGCAACGCTTCTTCCTAACTTGGCTTTGGTTATAACACGATGCTTGAAGATCAACCTGAAAGTTAGCATTTCTATGTTTTACTTTTCTTGATTACATTAAAAACTTGCTAATACTTTTTCTTTAACTCCTTGTTAGCCATACAAGGCTGTTCTATTATATCTACTAGCTAATAAATACAAGAGCCCGGTTTGAGCCGGGTGATGCTTCCCGAATAGGTTTTGGACACAGGAAAGTACACCTCTTGTAGTTTCAGAGTTCAAAGTGCAATAATTCCAAAATTAGGCAAGGCAGAGTTACTGTTCTTTGCACTGCACTTCTAATCAATGTGATCTATCAACCTACAAAGTTTCTTGATGATATCTCTTATGATTTCCGAGTTATGTCCCGGACAACTTCAAAAAGTAAAAATAAACAAAGGGCAATATCTCCAGAATTAGGCACGGCAGAGTTATGATTCTTGTGCACTGCACATCTACCCATTGAGATGTATCTACCTACAAAGTTTCATGTTGATATCTCTTATAGTTTTACAGCTATGTCCTGGACAAGATTTTTCTAAAAGGGGAGATAATTTCAAAAATGAGGCTTAACAGAGTTATCGTTCTTTTGCACTGCACCTCTACTCAATGAGATCTATCTACCTACAATGTTTCATCTTGATATCTCTTATAGTTTTTAGAGTTATGTCTCAAATATGTATATAACATTTGAAATTTTGTAAGTGGTGCAAACAAATACAAATAAACATTTGTAAATGTTTGATGGATGTTCGGATAAATGTGAAATCCGTACAGGAGCTTTAATGAATAAAATCATTATCATATAAATATTTCTAGGTTATCATATAAAAAGTGTCCCTTTAACTGTGAACCATTCACTGTTAAATTTTCCCTGCTGGATTTATATAATGAACTAGCCCTGATTTGAATTGGAACTTTCCATTTTTATAAACTGCAGCCACCTGTGTAGAATATGTAATACTGAACTAACATGCAGACTAGTCTGTACTGGTGGCATAGGGAATGTATTATACTAGTAAGTGTTCAACTGGTTAACTACAAGTACATGAAGAGATGTTAAAAATTTTATATTTACAATCTATGTTTGGTGCGAGGCATGTCTGCAATGGCTTGATCCATGGCCTGTAATCCAGCTTCCCATTCACCCTGCAGAATGAAAATGAGACATGTCTAATAATCTAGTACATCTTTATGACACTTTACATATGATCCATACGTAGTTAAAATTAAAATGGAAATCAGATATAAATAATTTTTTTAATGATTTACGCTGCTTTAAACAGTCTATAAATTTTTTTCAAATAAATGTCTATATCAAAATATCATACATGTATTTGTATTGCCAGAATCACAGAATCAAGTTATGTCACTCTATTTGCTGGTGACATAGGCCTGTTCTACGTCACTTTTCAGCATTATTGGTAGTAGACCTCAGGTGCCAATCCTGGCATTATTTCACACACAAGCCAGTTCATGACTTGAACCACCCACCTTCCATTAGCTCACTGAACGAAGTTATTTACAAGAAAAAGTCAAAAGTCCCTAGCAGGATTTAAACTCATTTAGGTGAAGGGCAATTGTGATGAAGTCAGCAACAATGGCCCTAGTGTTTAAAGTGTATAAAATGACATGAAAATTTGTGAATTTACAAATCTATCATAATGTGATGACTATATTTCACAGTTTTATACCTTGTCAGCAAAAGACTGGAAGAAGACACCATAGAGAGCAGCACGTAGAGTAAGATCATCTTCAACAGCTCCTATACCTCCCACAGTCTTTTCCTCCTCTTTCATATCTCCTATACTCTCACCACCATCTTCCTCTTTCTTCTCATCGTCACTCTTCTCCTACAATTATAATCTAAATATTAGCATCATCACCTTAAATATACATGTCAACTTTAGCATTATCAGCATGGAATTTAAGGTAAACTGTAGCAACACAAGCTTAACCTTTTATGTGAATAATAGCACCAATAGCTTGAAATTTTATGTAAACAACTGCATCACCAGCTTGATTTTTTGTTATAAATTTTAGGTGAACAAATGTGTCATGGCCATGATTTTGAATTTAAACAATAGCATTAAGGTCTTTATTTTGTCCATCATGAGTTTTGACTTTAATATATGCAACTGAATCAACAGCATTTAGAGAACTGTATGTGTTCATGAAAAAAATGTGATTTTCTCACCTCTATGTGTGATATATACACAAACAAATCTTATTTTTACTTAAATTTATGTTTTATAAGTATTCATAACAACAATTTTTCTGCTCTTATCCCTAACCAACTTACCTCCCTTTTCTTCAATGAGTCAGCAGTTTCTGTGATACACTGCAGGATGATTCTGATTGGTTCTCTCAACAGCTCTCTTTCTATTGGCTGACTGACTAACGGACAACATGCATTCCAGTAGTGTCTAGCTGCAGTCATCACTAACTCATAGTTGTCTGCCTTCATAGCAAACCTGTTATTTTATAATGTAATACTAATTACAGCTCCTTAATTTACAATAAGTATAGAAATAAACAAATTAAAGTTAAACAAATAACATTGAAACAATCATTTCAGAAATGTAATTTTTAAGAACAAAGAGTATTCAAAAATAAAGAAAAAATAGAAATTAGAGTCAAAAAAGGTCTTCAATACACAATATGTACTTTTGGGTAAAAAATATCACTTCTTCAAAGAAAAACATTTTAAACATTAAGGAAGAGATCCTTTGAAATTACTTAAAATCTTTACAACATTTCTTTTACTATCTAATCTATATAAAATCAAACAGTTGTTTTTCTTGATTACTGAAATAGTGTATAATTTATGTTTTTGTTTACCTGGCACTGTCAAGGAAAGCTGAGAGGGCCTCTCTACGTATAGCATTTTTACCACCCATATTATCAACAAGACTCTGTCCTAATATACCACTGGAGTAGCTCAACATCTCGAATTCAACCATCTGATTATGCCTGCAAAATATTTATGTTAAACAAAACCATAACTTTAAAGATATTAATTAGATATATGCATCTGGCAGTGCATGTCTTTAACATTAAGGTCAAAATTTTAAATGCATTTTAACATATATTTGACCCTCAAAAAATATTTTTTCGAAATAAAAAAGGTAAATAAAACAACAAAATATACTTTTATAATTTTTATGTGGGACACTATTTGTAGCATGTTCCTAAATAACTGGTGAGAGGAATCAAATTTGCATTGAAAATGAAAAGTTAATCAAGACTCTCCTTGATCAAATGAATATTTAATTTGAATTCTCTGAAGTTAAGAAATGAGTAAAGCTTAAGTGAAACAAAATTCTTTCAAGAAAAAGAATTTGATTTTTGTACAGGTGTATCCCATGTCAGCTATCAAACTAGCTAAGTAAGCCTTACAACAGGTATTAAAGTATAACCAGATCCTAACAAGATTTTCAGATCAATTTACATATATATTTTATCCTAACATCTTTGAAATGACTAAAATTTGAAGCAGGCCAGATCAAGATCTCAAAGAACCAGGGGTTTGAGTTTTTATAGACTTACCCATCAATTTTCTTGTTCTTTGGCTGAGTGCCAGTAGCAACAAACCTCAGAGCTTTCTTACTACAACGTATAACCAGACTATGCATCTTCTGATCATACGCGAGGGACGTCAGATGTGACCAAAGTTGAAGTTCAACAAACTTATCAGTCCAGCGGCATTCCTCTACCATATTAGCAACCTAGCAAAATATATTCAAAATGCTGAAAATCTAGATATTTCAAACACTTATTTTAAGTACAATAAATAATTATAATTTTTAGTTGTAATATTAAGAAAGAAATTATCAAAACAAAATTTTGTTATTAAACTATTGACTACTAACATCTATAAAATTTCCTAGATTACCTTAACTTAATCACTCTTGGGTTATATCACCATTCTTTCTGAGCCATATAACCTGTCAATAATGTATAAGTTCTATTACTATAACCAGTCTTACCTCAGTTATGGGAGGCACTTCTTTAAACTCCATGATATTGTTTTTGTTGAGTTTCAACATCTCCACGGCAACAATTGACCTTGACATTGCCTTTTGACCTTCTGTCCATGGCTATAAATAGAATATAAATCACCGTGTAAATAAAGCATCACATAGCACTGATTTAATTATAGTCAAAAATCTATCACAGGTTGGGAAGGAAACCAAGTTCTTTTCGAGGTGGTTTTAAAACTTACACATGCAAGTAGTTAGTAGTTAACTTTTATTTTTCTATGCATATTTTTAGCTTCAGATGAGTAAATGCATTAAAAGTGTTTCATATTTCAGACAATAAAAATATAAAAACTTGCTAGAATTTCCCTTCAAATTACACCTATCTACTTTTTCTCAGAACTGTGTTTAGATAATAAGTATCAAATTAATACATTGTGGGCTCTTGATAAAGGACCTAAGATATACAGTCATTTAAATAGACTGATAAAACCATATGCTAAAACCATTTGATATTAAATACATGTAAAAATATAATGAAAACTTTCAAACACAACATGCATTTGCATTTCAAAATAATAAGGCTTTGTTTCAAAAGTATGTATAATATAAACTAAATAACAGCATATGAAATTGTCACAGTAAAACATATTAAAACAACATTACCTCCTCATCAAGGCCAAGATTTTTAGTGATTTGTTGTTGTGCCATCTGTTTAGCAAACACCCATGTTTGTAGTATAGGCATTCTGACTGGAATAGCAACAACATCCTGAGGATTTGTTCCATTTGTGACCTCTATAACATACTCACACACCTGAAATATACATTCTTTTTACTTGGGTTTTATGTCACACCAACAATGTTAAGGTCATATGTCAACTTTGGTGGAGGAAAACCTCAGATGCACTTCCTTGTTATTTCAGGCACGAACAAGCACCTACATAGAATCATCGACATTCTGTAAGTTAGCTGGGCAGCTTCCTCACACGAAAAAAGCCCCTAGTTGGATTCAAACGGGGCAAATGCTTTGAAGTCAATGACTTGGCATCAGTGGACATCGTAGAAGGTAGAATCAGCCAGGCTGAATTAAATGCTTGAGTCAAGGTCCTTTACCATGCTTAGTTTTGAATGGACTTCTCTTGCTTTGATATGGGACTTTCCTTTAATAACATAACAAAATAAATTTATTTTTAATTATCTACATATCAATGAAAATGCTAAAGTTATCATGGTTTGTATTCTTGTATTGTATTATTTTTTCTTAAATAAACGGGCCTTAAACATGGTTCCAAAAAAAAAAAACAAGAGTCCGGTTTGAGCCGGGTGATGCTCCCCGAATAGGTTTTGGACACAGGAAAGTACACCTCTTGTAGTTTCAGAGTTATGTCCCTGGAAAAAGTTCAAAGTGCAATAATTCCAAAATTAGGAAAGGCAGAGTTACTGTTCTTTGCACTGCACTTTTAATCACTGTTATCTATCAACTTACAAAGTTTCTTGGTGCTATCTCTTATGGTTTCCGAGTTATGTTCTGGACAACTTCAAAAAGTAAAAATAAACAAATGGCAATAACTCCAGAATTAGGCAAGGCAGAGTTATGATTTTCGTGCACTGCACATCTACCCATTGAGATACATCTACCTACAAAGTTTCATGTTGATATCTCTTATAGTTTTATAGCTATGTCCAGTACAAGATTTTTCTAAAAGGGGAGATAATTCAAAAATGAGGCTTAACAGAGTTATGTTTTTTTTGCACTGCACTTCTACTCAATGAGATCTATCTACATACAATGTTTCATCTTGATATCTCTTATAATTTTAGAGTTATGTTCCGGACAAAGTTCAGTGTTAAAATTAACAAAGGGCAAGAACTCCAAAATTAGGACAAAAAGAGTTATTGTTCTTATGCACTGCACATCTACCCATTGAGATCTATTCACCTACAAAGTTTCATGTTGATATCTCTTATAGTTTTAGAGTTATGCCCCGGACAAGATTTTTCTATAAGGGGAGATAATTCAAAAATGAGGCTTAACAGAGTAATGGTTCTTTTGCACTGCACTTCTACTCAATGAGATCTATCTACCTACAATGTTTCATCTTGATATCTCTTATAGTTTTAGAGTTATGTTCCGGACAAAGTTCAAAGTATTGAAATTAACAAAGGGCAATAACTCCAAAATTAGGAAAAAAAGAGTTATTGTTCTTATGCACTGCACATCTACCCGCTGAGATCTATTCACCTACAAAGTTTCATGTTTACATCTCTTATAGTTTTAGAGTTATGCCCGGGACAAGATTTTTCTAAAAGGGGAGATAATTCAAAAATGAGGCTTAACAGAGTTATGGTTCTTTTGCACTGCACTTCTACTCAATGAGATCTATCTACCTACATTGTTTCATCTTGATATCTCTTATAGTTTTAGAGTTATGTTAGGGACAAAGTTAAAAGTGTTGAAATTAACAAAGGGCAATAACTCCAAAATTAGGACAAAAAGAGTTATTGTTCTTATGCACTGCACATCTACCCATTGAGATCTATTCACCTACAAAGTTTCATGTTTATATCTCTTACAGTTTTAGAGTTATGCCCCGGACAAGATTTTTCTATAAGGGGAGATAATTCAAAAACCGGGCAAAATAGAGTTATGGTTCTTTGACACTGCACTCCCCCTCAATGCCCTCTACCACTGTATGAAGTTTAAACAAATTATCTCCAAGGGTTTTCAAGTTATGCTCCGGACAAGAAAACGGACGGACAGACGGACGGACGTCCGGCCGAAATGGAATAAGGGGCCATTTCTTTTGTTATTTTCTATTGTTTAATAGAGGGCCAATGGCCCCTTACTCTATTGTTACGGAATGAACTCTATTGTTCTCTTTTGTTCTGTTTACAGTTAGATGGCCCCCTATCCCTATTCGGTAGTGCGGACAGACGGACGGACAGACGGACAAGGCGCCGACTATATGCTCCCCCGAAATTTTACGGGGAGCATAAAAAAAGGGGGTTTCAACATAAAAATGACAAACAGGAAATAGTATATAGCATGGTCTAACTGCTATGATGTGCATACTGATCTGTCTTTATATTCGTCACATGGACAAGCCTTGATTCTCAGGGTTTACAATTTCGTCACATGGACAAGCCTTGATTCTCAGGGTATACAATTTCGTCACATGGACAAGCCTTGATTCTCAGGGTTTACAATTTCATCACATAGACCAGCCTTGATTCTCAGGGTTTACAATTTCAACTTAGTGCACACAATTCATAAACATGATCATGTAGGAAAATCCATGACTCCAATGCACTGAACATAACCAAAATACACAAAGTTGATAGAAACAAGGACGGGAGCTACATACTTTTATTTCTAAAATTCAATTTGCACTGTTCATTAACATTTCTAAAAAGACTAAAAACATGAATTTGAAATGACAGCAAATTTGCTAGATATCAACTAATCTAGTTACCTCAATAGCTTTTTTCAGGTCCGGCATTGCCTCAGATGGTATGGAAACTGTGTTGGCTGTAGTTTTCTTTGCTTTTGGATCAGCTTTTCCTTTCTTGCCGGAGTCAATTCTAGGAGTCTCAGGTGCTGGTGGCTCCTCCTTACTGGGTACAGGTATCCACGGCTTCATCAACGCATATGATAGAGCATTACATATGTTTACAAGAGATGATGTCTCACTGAAACATAGATATAACAAGAGCTGTCGGTAGGACAGCAACGCTCGACTATTCTTAGTGCTTGATAGTAAAAAAAATGCTTGATACAGTTACCTCCTCCTGCTTACAGGTTGAGGTAATGATGGTGAACAAGTGTGCAAAGTTTCAAAGCCATATGTCAATGAACTTTGAAAATATTTGAGGTATTACAAAAACTTTAACATAAATTCTAAGTTGAAAAAGGGGCATAATTGATAATTCTGTCAAAATGCTTGATAGAGTTACCTCCTCCTGTCTACAAGTTGGGGTCATGATGGTGAACAAGTGTGCAAAGTTTCAAAGCCATATGTCAATGGACTCGGAAAATATTTAAGGTATTACAAAAACTTTAACATAAATACTAAGTCGAAAAAGGGGCATAATTCTGTCAAAATACTTGATAGAGTTACCTCCTCCTGTCTACAGGTTGGGGTCATGATGGTGAACAAGTGTGCAAAGTTTCAAAGCCATATGTCAATGGACTATGAAAATATTTGAACTATTACAAAAACTTTAACATAAGTGGTTACGCCGACGCAGACGCCGACACTGACGCCGACGCCAACGCTCGGGTGACTGCAATAGCTCTACTTATTCTTATCAAATAGTCGAGCTAAAAATGTAAATTAACAAGAGCTGTCAGAAGGACAGCGCGCTCGACTTTTTTAGTGCTTGCCTATAAAACAAAACTTTGACAGTTAAGGGCACACAAGACTTTAACTAGGAATTTCTAAGTACAAATCAAGAAACATTTTCACAGAGTTATCTTCTCTTGCTTACAGATAGGTCTCATGATGGCACATAAGAACTCCAACTTCCAAAGTAATATCTCAAATGGTTAAGTCAACAAGTGGACAAGAATGAAAATCTTAACTGAGTTTCTAAGTCAAAAAGGGCCATAATTCAAATAAAATCCTTAACAGAATTACCTTCTCCTGCCCATGTTTTGGGACCATGATGGTAAACAAGTATTCCAACTTTCAAATTAATATCTCAAACAGTTCAGTCAAAAAGTGGACTGGTACTAAAAAGTTAACCAAGATTCTAAGTCGATAAAAGGCCTTAATTTTTAAAACAAATCCTTGACAGAGTTACCTTCTCTTGCGTACAGATGGGGGTAATGATGTGAAATAGCATTAAAAGTTTCAAAGCAATATCTCAAAGGGTTAAGGCAATAAGTGGATTTTACCCATATTCAATGTATTTTCTAAGTCAAAAAGGGGCATAATTCTGTCAAAAACCTTGACAGAGTTATGTCCTCTTGTCTGTTGATGAAGGTCGTGATGGTAAACAAGTATGGTCAGTTTCAAAGCAATACCTCCAATGGTTTTGAAATAAAGTGAGGTGGTACAAAAAACTTAACCAAGCTCAATACACTTTCTAAGTCAAAAAAGGGCCATAATTCTGTCAAAAACCTTGACAGAGTTATGTACTCTTGTCTGTAGATGGAGGTTATGATGGTGAACAAGTATGGTAAGTTTCAAAGCCATACTTGTAATACTTCTGAAATAAAGTGGGGTGGTACGAAAAACTTAACCAAGGTGTGACGCCAACGCTAACGCTAACGCCGACGCCGGGGCGAGTAGGATAGCTCCCCTTTTCATAGAAAAGTCGAGCTAAAAATGAACTAAATTAATACCAGAGGTAGCGGAGGACTAAGAGAAACCACACGTCACCACCTAATAGTTTAAAATTATTTATTAAAGTCTACTAGTTTCGATCAACAATGATCTTCATCAGGACCTAGTTATATCTTTAAAACTCTAAAAAAATATATTTGTGAAATGCACTTTTTTAATATTAATGTTTGTGAGGACTTAAAAACATGGGATTTTAACCCCAGTGCACTTAGTATACAGTTTTAACAACTTTTTAAATTCAAATAAATGATCTATAATGAAATATACTGATAAATATATAGCATTTCACTGAATGAATAAAAACAAACCATATAAAATCAAAAACTTTATGACTAACTTTTAATTGACTTACTTTGCATGTCCAACTTTCTTCAGTCCATCAAAGACAACAGTGAGTGTGTCCATGATTTCTCTATGCCTCAACTGTGTTAACACATGATTATTATAGTTCCACACATATGTTGAGGCACAACACACTAGCCATGCTTCGTTTAGCTCCACCCCTAGAGCCAGACCACGCAGGAAACTGCTTGTACCATTTTCTGATAATGATTTTATCCAATCACTGAAATAGACACAGCTCTCATAAAGAATCTAAAGTTTTACAATTCAAACTAAAGCTACTCTAATAAAAAAATTTCAATTTCATAGACTGACATGGATGCATGCTTCCTAATGCTGCTCTCACAAAGCTATTTGTTCATCTAGTTATTTCGCCAATTCTAACACAGTTTTGGTGAGTCCACAACACCGGCTTTCCCAGACCACTTTTTACAAATTTCTGCGGAAGTGACAAACTACTGTACTGATCTTCCACATAACTTCGAAATCAGAGGTGAGAAACAAATGACATGGTTTCTGATCAATTGTCACTAAGAAATTTCACCTCGCCAGAGGATCAAGCGAAGAAAAAAAATCTGATGCTCTTCCCTATTGAGCTAAGCAGACAGACTTGGACAAAGCTTAAACATGGCCTTACTACCATGAAAAGTCATCTTTAGCCTAAATGACATTGACTCAAGCAACCTGAAACCTCACCCAACAGGTAGAGATCCAGGTAAGGTACCTTCACAACAAATATGTTATATAACAATCACATAATTGAAAATGCTGTGAGTATTGGTAAGAAAATGAAATGGAAGATGGAACTGAATTTTCCCCCTAAAAGTGAACATTTGAAATTTAAGAGTGCATTATATGGAATAAATATTACATTCTTATTCATCTTTGACAGAGATGGACAAGTGCAACGCTATATGCTCCCCACTTTGTGGGGGCATAAAAATCTGATGCTCTTCTCTATTGAGCTAAGCAGACAGACTTGGACAAAGCTTAAACATGGCCTTACTATCAGCAAAAGTCATCTTTAGCCTTAATGACATTGACTCAAGCAACTCTACCCAACAGGTAGAGATCCAGGTAAGGTACCTTCACAACAAATATGTTATATATCAATCAAATAATTGAAAGTGCTGTGAGTATTGGTAAGAAAATGTAATGGAAGATGGAACTGAATTTTCCCCCTAAAATTGAACATTTAAAAATATGGAATAAATATTACATTCTTATTCATCTTTGACAGAGATATAACAGAACATACCAGTATTCAATCCAATCTGGATCCTCCTCTGGTTTCTTAGCAACATATCCTTTAGGATGTTTCCTGGTGTCTACAGGTGGTATAGGGGCATCATTTAACTGTACACCTTCTGTACGCAACAGATGTACCATTGCCTGATGAAATAAATCATAGATTCTATCACATGTAGCTTTGTGCCAAATTCCCCCAGCAATTATAATTTGCCTTTGCCACCATTATAGACTGTATTTATTTGGCAGATAAATTATTGCATCTTAATAATGGAAACCACTTCAGACAACTCTGTACTTACAAATTCAAAGCAAGGCTAGTCCATAAATCATATTCAGTGATGTAAGATTATGCAATCTGCTCTTTAAATAAAATCATAAGTATGAACAAAATTATATAGAGGATTTTGTTTGTTTGTGTGTAAGATGAAATTTTATTTCATCGAGTGGGCTTTAAAAATAGTATTCTCACGAGTGGCGTAGCCACGAGTGAGAATACTGTTTTTAAAGTTCATGAGATGAAATAAAATTACATTTTACACAACAAACAAACAAATTGTCTTTTTATTTTATGCATAAAAACAAGTTTAAACAAAATTTCCTTAATATTAACATTAATATTAAAATCTGTTTTCCCCACTTAGAGTCCCATTTCATATCTACCTCATTTAGTCGATTTTCTCATTAAATACAATAAGTCTTTGGCTGAAAAATAAGTTCAACAATCAACTTTAAATAGCGGTGATATTATTTATTTTATTAAAAAGATATGAATGATCGTTTGTTTTAATAATAAAAACAAACAATTCTTGTAGGAGAAAAAGTCCAACCATCCATCCATATTTCTGTTACTTACTGGGAATTTATATTAGACCTGGCTTAGTTAAATGTAAGCGGCTGCGATTTTTAAAAGTTGTGTATTTCACGGGAGGAAAACAATTGTGTTTGATTCAGAGGATTATCATTTGGATTTGTTAGTCATACACCTTTTTAAAAGAAAGAAAACTTATTTGAGGATTGTAACAGACAATTTATAAGTGTTGACAGAAGTGTCAACATTCAAAAAGCAGCTAGGAAATTGGAAAACTTGGAATTGTTGAAAGGCTGCCTAACGAAAACTGGGTTGTTTACTTATTCTTCAAGCTGATGGCTTTCATTGCTATTATTCACTGATTTTAAATAAAGCATAAAGCATGTTTAATTGTTCGACTGTAAATACTTAAATATGTCGCAAAAAGTTAGCGTCACCAAGGGATCAGCAGTCTGTCACAGTCGAAGGAATGTATTCTATCAGAATGTAATAGTGTAAGCAAACAAATAGGAAGACCATATTTGGTTGATTTTGGTAAATTTGAATGAATAGAAGTAAGTTTTCTTCTTTTTATTACTTTTAACATTTAAGTTATTTATCAATTTCAGCTTTGCTTTTCTCTGAACAGCCTGACATTGTCAGCAGCAAAAATAAAATTGAGGTACCACATAGGGAAAATCTTAAGAAAGTAGTTTCGTCATTGAAAAGTGTGAAATTATATTTTGATAATTTTCACTGTGAAATTATCAAATATAATTTTCATGGATAAATAATTAATCCACTGAAAAGCATAAAATAAATAACCATTTTTATTACAGATCTGTAAACTCATTTTTAAAACAGCTTAATTTAATGTCTTCCAACATTAACTTAGTGCCAACTTTCCAGAAGATGCAATTCATTTTCTTCAAGCACTTGAACAAGTAAAATTTACAAAATATAATAAATATACACACAACTTACCTCGCCTTGAATGAAGTTAACCTCAGCAAACATCCTGAGTAAATCTTTGTCTGAGAGTGAGGACTGTGGGGTTGGGGAGTCGGATCTGCCACCATCTTGTTGTGTCAGCTGGGTGCTGGATCGGTCATTAGATGATAAGGTACCATCCATACTAGAATCAACAGTTTTTATTTTCTCTACAGGCTTGGGGCTAAAAACAACATAGTAAAAATCAATACCAAAAACACTTGTCATAAAAGTTACCATACAAATGTATTTGTGAAGGAAATCAAACAAATATCACAAATTTCACTAGCAAAGCAAAATTACACAGTAATCAAAATTTCCCATTCCTTATCTATACAATGGATTAAATAGTCTTAAAGTTACTTTATCATATACAATTTAAGTGACGGAATACTTGTACACAATGACTTCCTCTTAAACAAGTTTGTTAAGCTTGTTCCAGAGAGACCTTATTCATTATACAAAAGGAACATGTCTATTGTTTCATAGGTTTTTTCACCTTTAAAAAAAAAAACCACCAAAAATGGGGTCATACTCCTAATGGAAAATGGTATCTTTCATGCAAATTGTTGGACAAATATTTTCAATCCCAAGTTTACTGATCTTGGTTTCAAAATACATGAACCGGACACATCTTTGCTGGTGAAGAAAACCTCAAAGTTCAAACAATACTTTGCATTTACATGTCTGAACACCTTATCAATTATATCTCAATGATGGCAAGGATTGCATAAGTGTAGTCCATAATTATTATTAGATTTTTATGATTATACTGAACACATTCATCAGATCAAAATTACAATACTATCTATCTAAATAAAATTTTGTTCTTATATCAAGAACCGACCTCTCATCTTTTTCAATGACAATATTTTTCCACCTTCCATCATCATATAACAAACAGAATCTAGATGCTACACGGCAAACATCCCAGACTTCTTGTTTGCGGGCAGTCTTTGCCAAATCTCCCCATAATCTTGCTCTGAAATATAACAATAAATGTGATAACTTTATATTTTGAAGGGTAAACCTTTTGTGAACAAAGAGGGGACAGTAAGATTAAGCACTTTATATGCTATATACAATCATCACATGTATGTATCAAAATTCTAGAAGGGATGCCTCATCACTGGTTCAAAGTAAAATTACCAAAAGTCCCTCCCCTTACCATTTATGCAGATTTCACATTCTAGACTATCAATCTCTATCTATTACAGTGAATGAAGTAATATCAAATATTTGGTTTTATCTTTCTTATTGACTTTCAGTGACAAAGAAAGAAATTGTCTAAAAAATATAACCAGAAATTACAATTACTGTTTGAATTAACAAACTTTACAAAATTAAGAAGAATAATTTGAAATATGAAGCCAACCTTCTTTAGTTTATAAAGAATTTATTTTATTTTGATTTTTAGGAAACTGTAAGCTGATAGATACATTCTTGAATTTGTTCCTGAAACTATCTAGTACTAAGTAATTGGCATAAAGTTTCAAGCTCCAGAAAACAACAGCATGCCCCTGTCAGAGTTTGAACCAATGCCATCAGCAAACAAGCAATAGTCAGCTTTACATTAACTTTGAAATGTCTTTTTTTTTATAGGACCTTTGAAACACTGACTTAACAATGTTTTAGTAAAAGAAAGTCTAAAAGACAGTTCACTTTAAAAAGGCAAATTTTCCCACTTCCATTACCTTTCCCTGTCGTTTTCATTGCCAAGTCTTTGCAGATGTCCTTCAGCTTTTTTCACACATTTATTAAACTGTCGAGCTTTGTTAGAAAGTTTCTTGATCTGTGTAAGTGGTGCTTTACCTCCAGTTACATCTACAAATAATAACATGATTGTCACTCACATAAATATAATAACTTACACATAATGCAACAATACAGTTGACAGAAAATATACAAAAAAAATAATGGCCAGAACTTAAAATAAGCCTTCATATGCATTTGTACACAAATACCGGTACTTATATCAGTTTACAATATTGAGATTTTTACACCTGTACATACATGTATGAAATATCTAAGTTTTCTTATGTCATCTTCTATACTGAAATACATCACTGCATTCATATGATAATTTCATAGATCACACCAGATTTTGGCGTCATACAATGATTTTTCATTCATCAAAAGTACATATTATAAATTATCACCTTATACTCCGATAATTGTCTGTCAAAACTTAAGAAATGTCCTTAGGTATGAAACAAAGATGACACAGTGTACATACATTACACATATCACATTTAATTCAAATAGTGGTAAGACATTATTTAGTTAACATAGAATTTATTATTATTATTATTAACACAATGTACTGTAAGGAGTTACTCTACAATTTGAGTCTTGTAAATTTTACACATTGCATGATCATTACTCTAATTTGTTTCAGGTTAAAAAAATTTTTTCAGTGTTTGCTAAACTGACTGAATTAAAAGTCACTCATTTTTATTCTAATATGCATAGTCAGTTATTTAAATGCACGCTCTTTATTAGCTTAAAAACTTCTCTGAAAAAAAGACAGTGACAGCAAAATTATGACATATTTTCAAGTTTTAGCGGTAAAAGAAGACCTCCGGTGCACAGCCACTGCATAATTTTAAGGTATGAAAAAATTCCAGGCAAAACTACTAATCACTATTATTATTATAAGCTACCAGGACAACTTGCGCATGTTGAAGAATCTAATGTGCAGAATGGAATTAGAACCCAAAACAGTGATTCATAGTTCTGAACAACTTGGAAATAAAATCCAATATACCCGGTAAAAATTTGTTTAAAAAAAAAAACACAAAAAACAACTGAGAATTAATGCTGACTAAAACTTGTAAAATAATAATGTCAACATCTTTACAAATAGAAGAACCCTTTTATCAAACTATGACCAGGCATTGTTCTTTAACAAAATAACAGAATTTTCCAATTATTTACATTAGTTTACTTACTACATAAATCTAAGTAAAACCAATTGACTGATATTGAAACCATGTTTGTAAATGCCTCTTATATTATTAGTTTTAATTATTTGTGACAGGTTATATGGCCCTAAATAAACGGTTGTTTGTAAATTTTGAAGAGGGTTATATTGCAAACAACCATTTACATAAGGCCATATAACCTGTCAAAATCTTTGTAACAAATTTATAATATAGCAAAGTTCCTTTTTTAGAGGAAAAAGCTGACTTCTTCATAAATTGACAGCAGCTGTTTATATAAAACTACACAAACATCACAATTATCCAATGAAAAGTGATGTTACAAAAATGCTGTATTTCAATAATTTTATGTAACTTGTATAAGCAATTTTAAATCAATTTTTCTTGCTTGCTATAAAAATGTCTGCATAATAAGAAAAACAACTTGTAAATAGACTTTGTTAATCCAATTCCTTTATATTCTCAAATAAAATTTCCTAAAACCCACATATTCTACAGAAAGGATAGAGTTAGCAGAGATATTTCATCGAAGAAAGTCTGAAAGTTTGACTGTTATAAGCCACAGAACCATAACCTTAGGATGTTTTTACTTTCTATTTGCCAGATTTTAGTACAGTTAGTAACATTTCTGATGTACTGGAAGAAGTTATTTTGTTTAACATAAAGCTCTGCTCTTATCTCTCCTGTGTAAAAAAGAGCTGTTGCAAAATTTGTCACTATTCCACACATATTAGTACTTTATTAAATTTTCTGTTGTTTTTTTTTACAATATTTTATTGTGTTCTTTTTCCTGCAGTGCTCTCCGTAAACCCTTGCCACTTTCAAAATGACTGTTCTGCAGAATTTACTGCCAGCTACTTTTGCCAAACCATTAAAAAATACAAATACTTTGAGATGAATCAGAATAACTCTCAAATTTTCACTGGTACCTTTAAACTGCTGATTTTCTTAAACTGAAACTGCCAAGCTTTCATTTTCACAACTATCCATTATCAATTTTAGGGATATCATGATCAAAATTTTAAGTTTGTCAGCTAACAGTAAATGACCTGGTCAGAAGAGCCTGGCCATAATCAGGCTATATACTGATGACAAAGGATTGTCAGTTTAGGGTCCAGAAGGGTAAGGGTTAATATAAATGGAGAGCAATGCCTTCTACCAACAATAAAATTGTAAATATCCATGCACCAAAGGCATGCTATATTATATAATGATCTTGTTGAATCGGTAGATGACCATTTTATCTGCTTCTTAAATTGAATGCAGTTACAGCAGTCTAGAATCTACCAAGACAACATATTCTGTATACTGTACCGTGACTGTTCTTGCTCATAGCAAGTTCGAGGGCTAACATACACAAAACATTTAACATGAATAAACAATAAACATAAACAATGCACATGTCTTGTAAACAACAGAAATTTAACATATCAAATAATTAAACTAAAATAAAAATAACTTGTGCAACCGTTTTACAACATAAGTTGGAATTTTCCATCTTTATGAAATATTTACTTAGCACAAAAGGATAAACATTTTATGAAGATTTCTATATGTTTTCTTTAACTGATGTTAAAGTTTTTGGAAAATGATTGGAACCTTAAACCACACATTAACATAATTATTCATCTTTGGAATGCTAGTGGTGTTTATGTAACAAACCTACTCTACCTATAGAACCAGACCAACTGGCACTTCAGTACAGTCTTAATCCAGACTGTGTGTACACAGTTGCTCAATTAAATTATTCTATTAAAGTATTTGAGCATTGCAATCCTTACACATTATGATATCAAGTTCAAAGCTGTACATGTCATCCAAAGTGTAATGAAATTTGAAAAAAAAACAAAGCTCACGACCATTATTTTAAGCCTCTCCCACTATAAAAATTGAGCAACAGTCTATGAAAATAATTTTAATTCTTGTTTTTACAATTTTATGTTTGTACATAATACATAAAAACATTAACACCAACAAAAACACAACAATCACTGCATTCATAGACATAAAATAGCAGATACAGATGTTTACAATATATTTTCACTACAAATACTGCCATAGTTCTTTCAGTCTCCAAGTAAACTGACTGATCTGCCTGAAATATTACTTTCAATCACAGCATATATAAATACAGTAAGATGAGCAGATAAGTGAACATACCTTTGGTGCTGCTTTCACTATCTAGGACAAGGTTAAAGGCATCTGGTGCTAAAGCCTCCCCAGCTTTCACTAACAATGACCTTTTCATTCTCATTGTACCAGAGTTAGCTTTCCTCGCCTGAAACATCAACAACACATGTTCAGAATTAAAAAAATAAAAATATGATAAATTAACTTTATCAACTACAACTTTAAACAAGGATGCTTTTTCCTCAAATCTGTTAACAACACCAAAGTCATGGTGAAATTTCCAGAATATTGACCTTAAACAGCCTTGAGCAATCAATATGAATTTCACCTGTTTTTTTATTCATTATTTTTCTTTTTTCGTTTTTTTGTTTTGATTTGACTCTTTTCCATTATCTTTCTAAAATTCTGATAATTCAGATTTGCTCCATACTGGATAATTTTTATCGACAACAGAGCTTCTTTTCTTCCAACAAAACTTCTTTTTTATAGGAACTAGTTTTTACCTGTTCTATAATCATGCCAGCAATGTCTTCTACTCTCTCAGGTTGTTGATAAAGTTCTGATCGTAATTCAAGTCTATGTAACATCACCTCCAATCTCTCCTGATAAATCTTGGCATCATCTAGAGCCAGTGCCTGTATCATGAATCATTTATGGTGAAACTACTAGATATACATTGTTGTAAAGTCTCAAACATACCTGCTTATTTGTTAATATGAAAAAAAAAAAATCAAAATATATTCAGTAATAAGGAACATATTATTCTAAAGTAAAAAAAATATTTTTTTACTGGAATTTGTTCATTTTATTTGTATTTTCATGTTAACCAGATACAATTTTAGTTTTAAGTCAAACATACACTGTAAAGGTGACATGGTTTTATTGGTTGAGAAAGACCTCAATAGGCCCCATTAAGCATGATTTCAAACACTATCAGACATTCTAGTAGAACAACCAACATTTTTTTAGGTAGCTGGAATAGTTGTCTCCCTTGAGAGAATAATCAGCCACAGAGTTCATCCCTACATTGGTAAGGAAAAGCTATTTAAACCTAACAGATTGACATATTTTCAAACCTTATAGTAATGGAAGTCTTCAAATACTAGAAAACTAGGCTATTTGGATAGCTTCATCTCTCGAGATTTATCACACATACAATACTACATCAGCCGCTTTTACCAATAAACGTTTTCTCTTAATAATGGGACTTATATTGCAACATTAAAGCCACTAACTTTAGATAATTTTAATGATTCAACAGCATTACTGTAGAAATTTTCCCTTTTCTGCTTCGTTATAACAATCAAAACATGCAGGAGTGTTTTACGAACCTTTTTCAGATTTGTCATGGCAACCTCAATTTGTTCCACATCTTCCTCACATTTAGCCAGCTCTGTGTGAACCTGACATCTCAACTGTACCAGCAAACTGAAGACAAAATATAATACATAGATGGTGCACTGGACCATTCTCAGTACCTGATTGTAAAATAATAGCCTTGCTGGAATTTCAAAATCAGAAAATAGTTTGGTGAAAATATCATGCTAGAGTTATGGGCCTTGGCCAGTGACCTAAAATCATTATCTCCAATACAGGTGTGTAATATCAAGCAAATAACGTTGAAAAATGTTATGTCTTTAGTTTAAAGTGAATATTTTCTGAAGTTATGCAGAGATTCAAATCTGCTGCATCAAGGATGAGTAGGACAGCTCTATGATTTTCCAAGTAGTGTTGCTAAAACCAAAAAAAAATGCTTAAATTAAGGCATATGGCCATTTCCAACCTTTACTGTTAGGTGAAAATCCTAAGCTAACTTGATAGTTTCTCCAAATTTGAAATATTCAGTAGCAGGGAGTGGTGTTGGGGTTGGGTGCTAAAGAAGTTCAGGGGTAGGGATGCATGTAAAATTGTTTTGTTGTTGTAGACCACGAAATGTGCATATAACCAAATTCAATTTTAAACTTGATTGTCAACAACTAATTTAACCTAGTCCATATAATTATAATCAAACATTCAATCATCAGTAAAAGCTAGTACTAACCTTTGTATATTTTCCAATGCCTCAGCTACAAGTGTAAGTGGTTTACGTACATGATGTCTAAGGTTAGGTTGAAGCAGTGGCAGACACAGGTTCCACTGGGTAACACAGCCCACCTGTATAACATTGGGGTTACCAAGTCTTATAGCATTCATGATCACCTCTTCACATCTCTTGATAGCTTGTTGACGAATCTAAAACACCAAATATAACTTTGAGGAAAAAATGTCATTAAGTGAAATTAATCACTTGGTGGAGCTCTATGTGTTATCAATTTTCAAAGGAGAAAAATTAAAGAGTACTAACTCTTTGAAAAAAAGAGCATGTTTAAATATTTTACATAATTTTTGAGAGGCAAGTATTGTAAAAAAAAAAAAAAACCTTGTTAGGTATAATCTCAAAATTATTCACAGAAAAAAAGTGTCTTAAATTATAAAGAGTAATAAAACAAGATTGCATTTGAAAAAAATGCTATGCCATCACATGGTTCAAACTTCATAGCTGTACATCAAAGGACAAAGAAAGTAGGTCACATCATCAAAATCTAGGTCACCTGATATCAAAGTTCAATTTTACAACTAAAACTGTGCACATGGTCAAAATGTCATTGCCGTACATCAAAGGACAAGAAAGTAGGTCTCTGTCCCCTTGGGCAAGGCATAATTTTGACCCAAGGGTTTAATTCAAAACAATCTTGATACAGGTCCACCAAACAACATTTCAAGTCAAATATCTAAGCTATAGCTTTCTCCCATTCAGAAAACATTTGTTTTATTTTCTGTTTTTACTATGTATACATAATGAGAGCACTGCCCCCGGGCAGGGCAAACTTTGACACCAGGGGAAAAATTTGAACAACTTTGGTAGAGGACCTATAAATGATATTATATATATTAAACATCAAAGCTCTATGCCTTGTACCTTCAGACAAAAATATTTTTTTATTTTTTCACTATATGTACATAATGAAAATCAATGACCCCCCCGGGCGGAACCAATTTTGACCCCAGGGCTATAATTTGAACACTCTTGCAAGAGGTTCACTACACAATGTTTCATGCAAAATATCTTTAACTCTAGCCTTTGTAAATTTAGAAGAAGATTTGATTTTTTAAGTTTTTACTATATACATATAAGAAAACCTATGGCCCCCCAGGGGGCGGGCTAATTTTGACACAAGAGGCAAAATTTGAATAACTTTTGTAGAGTACCTTTAGATGATATTATTTAACAAATATTAAAGCTCTAAGCCTTGTACCTTCAGACAATAAGATTATTTTATTTTTTTACTATATGTATATATTGAAATCAATGACCCCCAGGACAGGCGGGGGCAATTTTGACCCAAGGGCTATAATTTGAACAATCTTGCTAGAGGTTTACTACACAATGTTTCATGCAAAATATCTAACCTCTAGCATTTGTCAATTGCTAAAAGATTTTTTTTGAAGTTTTTACTATAAGTTTTTACTATATACATATAAGGAAAACCAATGACCCCCAGGGCGGGCCCGATTTCGACCCCAGGGCTATAATTTGAACAATCTGGGTAGAGGTCTACTAGACAATGCCTTATGCAAAATATATAAGCTCTAGGCCTTTTGGGTCTTTACAAGAAGGTGTTTTAAGTTTTTACTATATGTACATATAGTGAAAATCAATGACCCCAGGGCGGGGCCGATTTTGACCCAAGGGCTATAATTTGAAAAATCTTAGTAAGGGTCTACCAGACGATGCCTTATGCAAAATATCTAAGCTCTAGGCCTTTTGGGTTTTTACAAGAAGGTATTTTAAGTTTTTACTATATGTACATAGTGAAAATCAATGACCCCCGGGGCGGGGCCAATTTTGACCCCAGGGCTATAATTTGAACAATCTTGTTAGAAGTCTACCAGACAATGCCTTATGCAATATATCTAAGCTTTAGGCCTTTTGGGTCTTTACAAGAAGATTTTTTAAATTTATTCTTATAATTCCTTTTGGTTGCCATGGCAACCAGATTTCTGCATGGAATGATATTCTTTGAACAACTTTGGAAGCCCTTCACCCAAGGAACAATCCTGCTAAGTTTGGTTGAAATTGGAATAGTGGTTTTTCACAAGAAGATTTTTTAAGTTCACTATATAATCTATATAACACACACACAAACACACACACCAACACACGCACAAACACACGCACACACACACAGGTGAATCTCTATGTGCCACCGCAGCATCCCCGCATCGCAGATGCTGCGGTGGCATAAAAAGTAGAGGTGTTTGACTTACATCAACAACATGTTTGTGAAGAGATTCTTGTTTCTCTGCAAGGTGTTTCACCATGATATCACACTGTAAAAATTCTAGTTCCAGGTAAAATCCTGGATCCTGTAATAACAATACATGACTGTACAATAACTGTTACCTTTAAACTACATGCCTTTTTTTAAATTTCAATACTGTTTCATATTAGACACATAATCCAAATTGCAAAAGTATATAATCCAAACTGCAAGAGTAAATAATATAAAAAATGAAAATTTAATAGTACAAATAGAAAGTATAAAAGGACTCATGCTAGAATGTCCATTTTGAAAATAGGAATTCACAGCTTATCCTAGATCATGATACACAAAAGAGTTGACACTATATCCAGTTTCTCCAGACCTTTATCTTACATTTCTGATAATAACTAATATGCTTATATGTATAATAAGACACCAGTGTATCTACAGACCTTCTGTAAGGTTTTTGATAACTTACATTATTTCTTGATTTTAATGCATAAATATAAATGGACTAATTAATCATTTTAAACACAGACAATCTGATACCGTGATGGCGACAGTCATTATTTCTACTTCTTTTATTCTATTACAAACCTTAACACTGCATGTTTTCATATGGTCAGCACAGTCCTGGGCAAGATCAGGAAAGTCGAGCTCCAGACATAATCTAGCTAACTCCAGCAGCAAATAGGGCCTACAATAATGATACATTTGTATTAAAATACACAATGAATAACCTTATCTCAAACTTTTAATATTTTAAATCAGAACTGGAAACATGTAAATTGATCAAATGACAAATTAGATCTCCAGCAAAAGAGTTTATACATAATTATATAAAAAGAACATGGTGTTCTTATCATACTAAGGCGAATGAAGATCAAGAAAGTGTCTTTAATTTAAGGTATTGAGCTCTGAATACTGCAAGAAATTCTCCTTAAATTTTAACCATTTATGGCATTATATCATGATCAATATATAACAACAATCATTAGACTTTAAATTAGTTTGTATAGATTCATTTATTGCAAGCTTAATGTACTAAAAAGCATGCCAGCATAAAAATAAAAAAAAATCTTTATTATGCATTTCCATGTTTCTATTTCAACTTAACAGCTTTAAAATATATTGTATAGTACAATTTATTAGATTGAGAAAATTATCATAAAATTTATGATTTTAATCATGTGCCACTCGAATATATAGAATAATAAAGTGCAGAGGAAATTTAGGTGAATTTTCTACCACCCTTGTCTACAACACAAGGCAATAAATCTACCAGTCTACCATTTTACAAACCTGAACTTGTTTTAGTTTCTCAAATACTAAAATAAGGATTGTCAATGCTGTTGTTACTCATGAAAAATAAGTGGCTGTCAATATGGGGTCCTTTTCAAGACGGGTAAATATTTTAAATGAATCAAGGAATACTGTTAATAATATAATCTGAGCTGGTAAAAATTAAAGTAACCTTCACCTGCTGGAACATAATGTGATTAACCTTTGTCACTGTTATAGAGACAGGTCAGTCTATACATATGTGCAGTGTGAATCATAGGCTCTATACAGTTGGCAGCTCTGAGTCTTTATTTTGATATTAAAATCTCCTAAAGTTCTAATGGAATATCCCATATTCAAAAGCAGGGCAAAACCATTCATCAGATTAAGGGTTAAACAACCTGTTTGTGTTACTCACTTCTCTTGGCTCTCATCAGAGATTTTCTTTGTTGATGTTGGAGTTGGTGTCCGTCTGCCTGTACCTTTGGTAGGGCTTTTCCTAATAAGCAGTTATATAAATAAAATAACATAAATAGTGTGTCTGTGAGCGAAGAATAAAATATTACATAAATTATCTTCTATTCTCTAGGTGTGATATCTAATTTGTGCAGTATATATGTTTTCCATGTAAAAAACAATGTTCATGGTACACTAGGGGGCTTATGGTTTAGATCAAGCCTAGGGTAAAAATATTACTTCTATCCAAAACAATAAACTGTTAAAACTTTAGTTAAGATATAATTATTATTTTTAAGTCATAAACCACACTGGAGGCTGCTTCTAGACTAACAGCTCCTAGAGTAATTTGTCAAAATGCAGTTGTAACTATAGTCATTAGACCAAACCCATTTTTTTTCAGAATCTCAAATCACATGGGTTACAGTAACTGGAAATCCCAAAATCTTGAATACAGTAATGGAATTTGTTTTGTTTAGAAAAAGGAGATTTATAAATATGTAATTTTAAATCCCTAGTAATCTTGCATGTGAACATTGTTTTAGACAAGATATATATGCATAAATGCTAATAATTTGTATGAATATTTCAGTATTTCTTCACATACTTGCCCTCAGTCCATCCTTTATGTTTTCCTTTTTTGCTTCTATTAAAATAATTTGAACATTAAATTATTATCATATAAATTAATAATGTCTTAGTTATCAAGTAAATTCAGTTTTCAAATAAAGCAATGAAGTTCCATTAAAAAAAAAAAATTCTTAAAAAAAAAAAGTACTTCAAACACAAATTATTAATGAAGGATATAGAACAGCCAGAAAAAGTAAAATTCTACACCTAGTCAATAAATCCTGAAACTTATTTTAGGTAAAACTCTTTCTTTTCTACACATTTTATTTCCTGTAATGTTTTGACGGGTTAAATCCCTCTTTAACAAGAGCTGTTGGTAGGACAGCATGCTGCTTGATAGTAAAGAGCCTTGATAATGTAAAAAGTTCACAAAATGGCTAATTTTTTTACAAATCCATGTTATAGGCCTTGGAGAGAGTCCTTTTATGCTCACAAAGTAGTGCATAAAATTTTAATTTGTTTTAAAGCAAGATGTCTATGAAATATGAAAATATCTGAGGTGGTATGCAAACTTTAACATGAACAAGCTGATATTTCACATACATGTAGTTTCAATTACAAAATCAAGTACTAAAAGAATATGATTTAAAAAACATTAAGTCTGCCTGCTATTTGAAACAGAGGGGTTTACCTCTAAAAATACCAGAAGAATTAAACTGTGTCTAAAAAATAGAGATAATATTTGTTTTCAGGACAGTAAATTTAGAAAAACAAGAAGAATTAACACAAGAATTGACACTAGAAGAACCTACATGACTATAATCTAAATTTATTTTGATATTTTTGATAAAAAGGTTATTAAAATCCAGATGAAAATTTCATAACAGTTCATTAACATAAAATATGAAATATTTTTTACTATATAAAAGTGAAAAACTCTAGTAGAACAATGAGTGCCACTATGGACTAGGACACTCATCTACGTCTTTATATTCTACTTCTACAAATCCAAGTCTTGCCAAAGGCGATGTTTTATGTAAGAGCAAAGAAATAAATACATATAAATAAATAAAGTAAAATTTCCCAAATGTTCAAATCTTTCAAACAAACTTTATTCATTGTTTTACATAATGATGCATGAAAAAAGCATTGAGCACAAGGTAAAACGTCAAAATAAAAAAATCAATTTGCACAAAATAAAACCCAAACACATTGCAGTTATATGAAGGATGCAAAATTGTCATACTTTAAAGCAGTAAAGCAAAATTTCATCAACCTTACCCAGATTTATCACTTTTGTTTAAGTTTCAAGTCATATTTATACTGTCAAAACCATTTTTACAACTTTCAAGTTTTAGGTTTCATAAATATTATGTAGTATAAAATCAAGCCTACCATACTTCTTCCTGTATCTTAGACAATGTCTTATTTTTAAGCTTTAAATAAACTATATATAAATAGATCTATGGATAAAGGTCTTCTTTTTTCCTTGTCAAAAATAAAATTTAGAATTATAGCTGACAGGAACTGCAGACATTTAAAATTCTCCACCAGGATAGATTTATAGAAACCATTTTTCACTGAAGAAGGAATGATAAAATAAATACAGTAAATGGTAGATTGTTTCAAATGTCAATCCAGTTCAGTTACCATCTAAAAATAACATGAATTGCTCTGTGAACAATGTTTATGAGGCATGGATTTTCTAATACAGAGTCCAGAGATTCAGAGAAAATAATTTTATTATCTGTGAAGTTAGACAAATTCTAGACTGTGTTGACTGCTCAATATCAGTATCTACATTCTTCCATCTCTAACAATGACAACACAGACAAGTCAAACATCAAATCATTACAGGATGAAGACATTAAACAAGAGGTAGGCGGGGAAGGGGTTAAAGATATTTTACTAGAAGCCATATAGAGAAGTTACTGAATCTAAGAGTGTAGTAGAAAAGTTATATTTGACTATAGAATATAATGTACACTAGTATATTGTACCGATCTGAATCCCTGTGTGTTTTCTGTTTCCTTTAAAATGAAAAACAAATACATGTATACAACTACTACATGGTTATAGAAAGAAACATCATTAATTCATCACCTAGATCTTATGATAAATATTCAAGGATAAAAACTTTTTAAAGCTTTAAGTCCATGTTCCGTTTTTGTGTTAGATATCTATATGAATCTTAAAATAAAAAATACATTCAACTAAACCCAACTTAAATGGTTGACAAAATAGATAATTAATATGTCCTATAAAATATTATTATACCTTTGGATTTGAGATAAATCTACATGTACAATGTAACATTTAACAAATTCTATACAATATAAGAATATCAAATGTGTTAATAAACATATAGAAAGCTGGTCAGATGTTGTTTGTTTTTTATTGGGAAGGGTAATTATTTGTGAATAAGCCAATGTCTGAAAGAAACTCACCAATAAAATATTAGTTTAATGTTTTTAAGTCAACAATATTGATATGTTTGACTTACACATACATATAAATGTATATCTGTCTTTAAAAAAAAGAACTTTTTTTTTCTTAAATAGGTATGTAAACTATAGTCATATCAGAACAAGACTACCTTAAAAGTGTATAAAAGTTTTATTATTTGAACATTTATAAGAATACTAACTCTAAAACCTGTAAAATAAAGAATGAAATAACCATCACCTAAGGTAGGGTCCATATAGGAGAGGAGTTACTGGGCACACTGTCATCATATATTATATTTTGAATCTTTAGTATCTTTATTTAATATGTAATCCTTAACATTTAAAATTTAGGATCCTAATTTTTATGTGCTTCCTAAGAGGTTTATAATACATTTTCTATAACTAAGACAGATTGACACAAATGGCTTTGCATGAGATATTTAGGAAAATCATTTTTAAAATTATATCATTTTCTGAGACACCTTGATTTCTTTTTCAAAGAAGATATAATTTCTATGAAACAAAAAATTAATGATTTAATGAAATTTGTATAAATAATGTGTAGCAAAAGCTATCAGTTGTTAAGCATAAATATTCTAGCCAATGGACAAATAAAATTTAAGAAAAGCTAAAAAATCAAGCTGTTAAAAACTTGATTATGCAGATGGTCCTATGTTAATATGATGTAAATATATGATAGTGGTTTATAGCCCTAAACTGTGCAACAACGCTTTGTTTTACCTAGATACCGGTCTCCGATCTGGGCTCGATGATTTTACAGATTCTGCTCGGGCACTAATATAAAACATATAAACAAAATCACCATCAGCATATGATAATAATGCTAAATATCTATATTAATAAGCTAAAAATCAATATACATGTACGTAGTATATTTTGACTTTTTCAATGGCAATGAATGTATCATATATTATCATGTTCTCATCAAGAGTCAACTTGTAAAGTTCTATGAAATCCATGCTAAAATTACAAAATTACTTAGCTGCTGAAGTTGAATTTCTATACATAGTGGTAATATGTTTGGAAAAAATAGCAATTAACAATTAGCAATTTCATGTTCTTAAAACTATAAAATTCTACACTGTTAATCAACTTTGATCCTCAACCTTCAATATAAATAAAATATCAAAAAAGGTAAGTAAAACAAATAAAGGCCAGAAGAAAAGCCATCCAAAACTGACAAAATGGGAAAAGCCATAACTCATTGTATGTAGAGAAGACAAAATCCCTCCTAATTTTAAAAAAAGAAAGGACAACATCTTATTTTATATGATATGTATGAAGTTACAAACAAATATTTGAAGTGGTTGATTAGATAAGATGTAGTATGTAAAATTCAGAGTAATAAAAAGGCTAACATCAAAGTGAGTAGGATAGTCCCATTATTCTTTCAACAGTAGAGCTGAAAACATAAAAGAATGAACAAAATCTTTCAACAATAAGATACCTATTAGCAAAAAAGTTGAAAATGGATATCTGATTAATCATTAATATAAATAACATTGTATTAGAAGCATTAATATTTGACCCCCTTGTATATATGTAAAATGGGAGAGCCTGATTAAATGGAAGGGGTTTGTCCTCTGAGGTCCATTGTGCAGTGAACTGATTTCGTTTGAGGGTTTTTTCCTCCTTCTAAATTTGATTGACACCATATCATTTCTATGGACAACAAGCCTTTGTCTGTCCTAAAGAAAAACTGGCTGTTCTAGCATTTAAACCTACAAGAAAACCCTAGCAGAAGAGCCAGAGACTCCATAATGTGTAAAATGTGCATGAACATGTGCTGACAGCTGTTGTTGTAAATCATTAATCTACCTAAGACGATAATGCACATAAAGAAAATAGAGCTATTATAGCAGTAATATTTAATGAAAAAAAATATGCCAACTAAAAGTATGTAATACCAAAAGCACTATTTCCTATGTCTCTTTATAGAAAACCAGATAAGAATTAATTGATGGATGTTCTAGCAATAAAACCTTCTAGAAACCCTAGCCCAAAAAGCAAGTGACTCCTTGACCCTTAGAAGCTTAAAGTCTCCAAGATGTGCGCAGACTTACACGATGGACCCTTCACGAGAGGCCCTCACAGCTGGAGACCTTGACCTTGACTTAAGGCTCTCATTGGTCTTTTCAGATAAGAGGGCTTTTCTTAAGTCACCAGCTTTCAGCTTGGATGTTGGGGACTTTCCTTTCAAAGACTCGGGTAAAGACAACTCACTCACTTCCCGAGACATTAAATCACTGTAATCAAATCAATTAAGTATAATACAAAGTTGAAGTAAGACTTAAACATGTGATAGTGTCTGTGGAATCATGTGACCTGAAGTAGTATCTTATAAGCAAAAAGAATGAGACAAAATGATACAAATTTCAATAACAAAATAAGAGATTTGCAATATTTATAGTTTTCATCTAGTCTATCCAACACAACATTTACTTCAAATGGTATAATGATTTCATAATATACTCTTGCCCTAAATTTACTTTACAGATTCCTATGTCAAAATAAAATTGCAAAATTTTCTCTAAAATTTTATCTGCTTCTGTCTAAAAAACTGAACCCAAAAAGTGCTAGCCAGGACAATGCCTTGTCTATGCCATCATTAGAATACTGCAACTGCATGCTTGTAATGACAATTTTCATTGGATAATCATGACATTTATATAATTTTCATTCATGGCTGCTGTCAAATTATAAAGAAATTTTTGTTTTTCCTCATACCAAGTAATTTTACTATATAATGATGCCTGACAGGTTATACAGATGTGTATAAATAGAGATTTGCAATATAACCCTTGACTAGCGACTCAGGTTATTTAAGCTTACAACCATTTATAAACAGCCATATAATCTGCAGGGCCAGCTAAATCTGATTTTGATTTATTTGTCCATTTTTATCTAAAGAATTTCTTAATTTGTCTGTATGATATTTATACAATAAATTCTTGAAAATTTTCATGTGTCCTTACATGTTGTATGACAACCTGGGCAATACAGACAATTGATTTTGCTGCCCCTGACCTGTCCAATATTTTTTATAACAATTAGTATAGAGGCAGGCCAGTCTGTGCACTTCTGTGCCATCTGACAAGAATCTAAATTGCTTGCTGCTCAATTTCAATATTAAGGGTTGATCTACATGTATTTTATTATCTTAAAAAACCTGGAATCACTCAAAAACACAATGAATAGTTATAAATAAAATCACGGCAAGTCTTTCATACTAAATCAGCCGGGTAAAGGTCTAGACCACATGATTCCAAACACTATCAAATCTACGGCACAAAACACAAAAAACATGTTACAAATAAATACCTAGCAATGTACATCATGTGCCAATAATAATTGTATGCAAATATAAAGGGGCAAAAGATATTTATCCTGCAACTCAGGTTTCTAAATGTCTTTGCCAATACTAAACTGATACTAGTAGTTGTTTAACATCAAAACTTTCATTTTGAACATAACATACACTATATATCTTATTGGTTCAAACTCTTTAAACCCTTTTAATTATGGAGCAATATGGCAATAAAAACATCAAATCAAGATCAGTACCTATTTTCATATTTTGATTATTTTCATCACAAATGCTAAAAACACAGCTCTGAAATGGCAACAAAATAAAAAATCATAAAAGGTTTTTCCTACAACCTTTTAACAGGTGAGGATTTAATTTCATAACTTGTTAAAGATTTAGCATGCAAAAAATAAAGAACTAGGTGAAAAATTAAATAACAGACTTCAGTTTTTAATAATTACAAGCAATGTGTTGTGATGCTTAGAATTTCTTTGGTGTAACTAACAAAATTGGAGACAATTGTTCATGCAAAATTAGGTTTAAGGCATCACTGTCTTAATTATTTCCTTGAATTTATTAATAAACAAAAGTGCTTCACTTGAACCCTCAAATTCAAATTAAACAGGGCAAGGTAAAAGGGGAGTTGGTGTAGAGGTTAAGGTATTTCCGTAAAGCAGTTAACTCAAGAAACAGGTTTTAAGGCTTTAAGTGAAAATTAGGATCTTTTCAATTAGGGAGGGAAACAGCCTTACTCTTTATTCAAGATAGAGTTACGTCGTCCGCGGAAACTAGGCTCTTGCTGAACATCAGCCATTGCTGAGTTACGTCCAAGAGAACTACCGGATTTTCTAAATAATTATACATATTATGTATGTTTATCTATTTTACAAACTCAGTCAAATATTCATGTTATTATATAAAAAAGTTTCAAGCATAATTTTCTCATACTCTCTTTGGCTAAAAGTAACCATTTGGCAAAAAAAAATCTTTTTAATACTACAATACACATTGAAAGTTTAAATATCTTATTATTTATCATTTAAAAAAGATAGACCGTAAAAACCAAAATAACCAGTTTTTGTAACCATTATAAAACAAAACCAGCCTGCATATCCATACAGTTTGTCAAAATTCTAACTTGCTGCCTGCTAAATCTAAGTATTTCAATGTTTAAATTCCTATACCACTAACACAGTCAAGTTTATTCCATAAATTCAGCAAAGAAATTTATATTCTTTTAAATCTGTCTTTTTTTAAATGCAATTATTATGCTTATTTTGATAAAATATTTCTGCTAAAACTTTGATATTCATTAAGATGAAATAAACATGAATACAAACAAACAAACAAAAAAGTCAAATCGCTAATGGATTTCTAGCTACAAACCTAAATCATAAACATATATTACAAAAATTCCAATCTTAACAATGTACACACAAAAATTCTTAAAATACTATAATGATTTTTTTTGTGAAAATGAGAAAAATATATCTGATATATGACAAATCTTTACAGATTAATTTCTAAGAAGAATACCTGTCGAGATCAGTGACAGAGGATGGAGATTGTTGTCTAGCTTTCTTCTTTTTAGAGTGAGACTCACTGTGGGGTACTCCCATCTGATTCAATATACGCTGAATCTCTGCATAATACTCCTTCGGTTCATTGTTCTCTAAAGATCTGTGAAAATATCAGTGAAATCTCATTGAATAGAGGCACTTCATAAATATTCCCTGATTCTAATACATGTAATATAAATACATGTAGTTATTTCTAAACTGAGTCAGATTTTCATTCATTTATCTTCAACATCATACTGTTTTTTTCTGAAATCTGTTTTTTTCTGAAATAGGACTGATTTCAAACTGGGATGTTTAAAACTGCATACTAACATATCTACATGTATTAAAATCAAAATAGTTTCTTCTGAACAATAAACTTAATGTTTAAGCTTCAGCATTTTATTATACTATAACTAGTTTTAACCTTTTCTAAGGAAAAACATTACTTATGATAAGTTTGTTTATTTGTTTATATTTAAAAAGGGACTAGAAGTTTGGAAACTGTAATCTTCTTCAATACAGTTTCCACAAAGTTTTGGTCAAATCAGTGAACTTTAAGCCATGATTTAACAACAATAAGAGTGGCAAAATCAGTCTACCAGGTGGTGCTTTTTGGGCATGTTATATGTGATATAATCAATATCAAAACCCTTACAGAATTAATATATTACTTACACTTTGAGTTTACATATCATGTAGAAAATCCCTAGTTCTGGTGAAGCTTTGATATCCTTGTGGAACTTGGAAGAATCAATCAACTGATTCCTGATCTGTAAATAGATAAACAACTCCATCTTTTATCATATTCTGGAACATTTAAGGCTCTAACCATTAACCTGCTGAATTTCTTAAATGGACTTATCCGGCTTTTCTTTTTCAACCAGTCCATTATCATATACAGTATGGAAATATCAAAATTACAATTTAAAGTTGGTCAGTCAACAGTAAAAAGCCTTGTCAGACTTTACCTGATGTGTAAGCATGCTGGCTCTATAATAGTGGCACTTTTATTTCAAGATGGTAAAGGATTTATTATTCAAAATTTTCATCTCTCAATACAAAAATTAGGGCAACATTGCTGCGAAAACTTTTGAAATTATACAAGATATTCTATGTTAAAAAGTGTTGTATAAAAGAGAGACTTTTAGTTCTGACAGTAAATAATCTTTTTTTTAAATGATCTCAGCATTATATTATAATATGTCCCAACGACATTTACTATCTTTACTTAATGTTTAGCAATGATTTTGTGCATGCATAATAGTAATGGCTTTATTGTGAATTTATAAACACTATTCTTTCAATTCAGCTACTTTGGAATTATTTTCATCAATACTAAGAAATATTAATGGATAATCCAAACATAGCTTTTTACCAAAGCAAAATTACAAAAGATGACATGGAACAGTGAGTTACTTACAATGAGTCCAAATACTTGTTTATATAGATGTGGTACATTTTGTTTAATGAAGGTGGCAGCAGCACTGGCTATCTGTGCAGCATCATTCTTCTTACCAGCATCCAAGTTACATTCTATCAATGCACTGACAAAAAACAACATATCACAAGTACAAAATAATTCAATTCTATATACATAGAATGATTTATTTATATAAGTATTTACATTTATTTTCAGGTATTATGCTAATTTTTCAATAAAGAAAGGGCACAATGGCCAAGTGGCTAAGGTGTCTGCCCCTCAATCAAACCTGGCTAGTTGCAGGAAATAAAGTTTTAAGATAATTCAGGATATAGAGACTCCATTTTTTGACATGAAAAAATTGGATTTCTTTTTATTTTTATACCATTTGATGAAGGTCTGGACAAAAAGCTTGTGTGCGTTTAAACACTTTTAACACATATGGAGCTAAATATTGCACCAAAAAATTGATTTTCTATTAAATACTGAATATATTTCTTTATTATCTTTTGCATACATTTTTGCGCTCAAGTTGATCTTTGCAAGGATTAAAACACTTATGTTTTTAGGCTTTTTTGATGTCAGTGGAAGTTCTTTAAATAATTAGTTTTATTGGAAAACTAAATGTAATCTCTTTTGGGTGAATCCATAAAAGGTAAATAACATTGAAAAATTGGTAATAAATAGCTAATATAACTTACATCATCAGCTGAGCCCTCCATTCAAAATCTTTATCATCAATATCATCTAATGCTTTAACAACAGAATGAAGGCTGCGAGCAAGAAACTGACGGAAATTCTGCTTTAAAAATGGCCGACAAAACTGCCAGTATATCACTGAGGCATTATACACCAGAAAATGGTATCTAAAAGGATATTGTTTATACATTTAAAGATCAATGAATAAAATTGGTTATACTTGGTCTTATGTTAAATTGGACAATTGGTCCAAAGTATGATAACAGATTTCTTAATTCATTTTATCATATAATTGTACCACTTTTGTGAAGTCGGAAAAAAACAGTACTGCACAGCCGTGCATATGACATAATTTGTATTATAAAAACACAGAGGCTTGTTTTATATAAATTTATTCAATTAATTCAATAGGGTCAGTATTGAACCTACACTTATTCAATATCCTCAATAAATCTTTTATTAGATTGATAAAAAGAGCTATTCTAAGTTTACAAATGACATACCTTATAATTCAATATATAAAAATTGTTTCAGATATATACATGTTTCCGTCAGCAAGTGTCAATAAATGTTTCAAACTTCAAATTTTCCAAGAGAGCATTTGTGGCTTACCTTGGATTTTCTTTGGCGAATGATATAGCTTTCAGTAGATAGACTACTGCCTTTTCTAGTTGTTCTGGTATGGTTGCAGTAGGAGCCAGCAACTGAGACTGGCAGAGGTATGCTCTACACAGGAACTGGTTCCCTGGTGGTGGTTTCATAAAGTACATTTTCAAGCATTCTTTGGAGATGTCAAATAGCCCATTCTGCAATACATTAAATTTTCGTACTGAAACTATGTATACAAAGTCAAAATGAAATAACAATCAATATCTCATCAATATTCTTAAGAAATTTTTTTTACAGTTTTATGTCTCTCACTTATAGATGGAAAAGTCCAACTTATGAAACAGAGACATTGCTAATTACCTCACTCAATTGATTATTGCTTCACATCATACAAGAGTAAATTTGTGTCTGAGAGGACATGGTAATTCTCTGTTATTCTACTGTAAGTGGTATTAAAGACCCCTCCCCCAAAACGGATAACAATAAATAGAAGCTTGTTGTAGCTTGATGACTAGAGGTAAAGATGATAAGCAAAAATCCATGCTAAGTTAAAGGGCCTTGGATATTGACCTCTTTCTATGAACTCAACTAAGTGTTTGAAGTAACAATTTAATATCTTTAGTAGTTGATGAGAAATGATGTTGTACAAGACACTGCACATAAAACTTTAACCAAAGTGTTACGCTGACCCACAGGTAAGTATGATAGCCCAACTATTCTTAAAATAAACAAGCAAAAACTTAAAACTTACCCATACAAAAAGTTTTTATTATAAAATAATCATAGTGATAGTGGGGATTATGTCACTTGATCAGATACAGCACATTTTAAACAGTGCAAGATACATGTATATCATACCTGGAAAGCTATTTCAGCACACTGTACATACAGATCTGGGCTAAATGCCTCAGGATTATCCACTGAAGGTTTATTTTCTGCCACATTCCTGAGCAAGCTGTATGCCTGTAGAAGAGATGGGTTCTTTTCTTGGCCTGGAATAAAAACAACAATAATACATTTTTATATCATCAAAGTACCAGTGAGTCCTTCAGAACAGATTTACCAGTGAGTCCTTAAGAACAGATTTACCAAAATTTTTACCAAAATTAAAATGTTTACTAATTGGAACACATATTTTTCCATCAGTATACATATCTTAAACTATTACAAAAAACACAGACACTTCTTTCAACAAATTTAGTGGCAATGTAAACAAGATTCTGGCCCAGAACAAAAATATCTCAGAATCTAGCTTTGGCATGTTAAAATATTTTTACTATAACAGACTTCCCGAAAGTTGAAAAAAACTGTCAGACATTCGGTCTGACAAACCACGAAAATCTGTCGGACCGAAACAAAATCTGTCGGACCAAATAAAATTGATCAAAATCAAAGAAAAACTTGTGTTTGTATTTCTAAGACACTTTTTGTTTTTTATTTTTTCGCCGTAAAAATCGGCACAATCCGTACAGCGCATTTTCATCTCCTCCTTGTCATACACCAATGATTCATGATTCTGCTTCCATTTTTCAATAAATTTTGTCTCAGGTCTATTCTTTTCATCCTTGTATTGCTGTTCTGCGCACTCTTCTGACGTAGATTTTCGGTTTTTCCCAGGTTTGGCACCTTTAGCGACGCCATTTTGTATACATGCGGCTTGGATAAAAGCCGGACAGTCGGACCGATCCGGAATAAAAAATTGTCAGACCTGATCAAAATTTATCGGACATGTCCGTCGGACCGACGTATTTCGGGAAGTCTGCTATAATATCGACCTTTTACTGACACAGATTTTATCAAAATATGAAATGAATAGTACATGTCAAGAAATAGAAATGAGCAAGAATGTAAAAACAACTAATTAAGGCCGCTCACTTTGCTAAGTTTAAACCACATTGTTTCCTTTTCAAGCATGTCACTTGTAACATTCTATACGGCCTGTATGAGTTAACTTAATTCCTATACACACAGTCACACAATAATAATGATAGTCATAATAATGACATTGCTTGGAGATATTTTTACTTCTTGGCAAAGCAATCATCATAGACTATAACAAGCCTGTAACGTCAAATTTATTGGACTATAATAAAGATTGCCAATGGGCTAGTTAGGCCTACTAGTTTATTTTAAAAACAATTGGGTTGTTGGCTTGCATGCTGAGGTTGTAATTCATTTGAGTATTAAAACATTGATTTTAATTGCGTATTTACACGAATACGCATTTAATCTAGAGCTTTGGAAGTCTAGCACAGTGGGGTTACCACAGTAAAGGGAATAATTCCGTAAGACATGCTAGAGTTATCTTCCTTTTTGTCAAACCACTGGTGTGAAAGTAGAGTTATGGGTATTTGATAGTATTCTGAAATTATGTTTGAAAACACGACCAGTTGTTTAGGTGATAGGTTAGGGTTGTCGAGATATACATGTAGCTTGCATCAAAATAAAAAATTGTAAGCCGGGATAGTGAAAAAAACACATCTTTTTTAATCAATATTGTGCGTTCTCAACTTACCACTGATTTTTTGAGCTGCAACTAACAACGAGCGTATACTTGAGTCCATTATCTCTCGGTAATTTTAAAGTTTTAACTGATTTATAACTTTTCAACTATCTAACATCTTCGGACGCGCACCTTGTTTATTTACATCGCCATGTTGTTTGGACGATTCACATACTAAAAGTTTTCTTACGAGTAACAAAAGTAGTTCGGAATATAGATCAAAATGTATCATTTTTTGCGATACAGAAAATAAATTCGTCATTTACTTTGCCATTTCATACAATTTGTAATTTAATTAAAATATGTTAGAAGCTTTTTATTATTTCTGACAAATTTAGATTTGCGCGGATTTGTCATAGAAACAGTGATGCGGTTTTGGTGACTTGTGAAAATAGCTATCCGTGAAATTAGCAAATCAATTTTTTTTTTCAGGAAGTTGATCAGTAAAACAACAAAACATAATTATTTTTCTTTATCTAGATTGTATATCCAATGACAGCTATGGATAGCATTATAGGAATATCTCCTCTACAATATGTTCATGTTCTGGATACGGTAAGTATTGTTTTTGCAAACATATGTGTATATAATTACAATCTGGCTTAGATTGAATATCATTTAGAAATGTTTGTTAAAAATATTTATCTACATATTAATCTGTTAAAGATTTAGCTCCACAAGTCATTGCTGAAACATGTCTCTGATTTTTGTGTATTTTTCCTTTGATCATGGATGCGGTAGACAGACGTTTCATTATTGAGATGGTTCACACCAAGACGTTTCACTCCCAAATTGAACAGTTGAAGTTGAAGATGTTTCTCTCCCATTTTACACAAAAATTATTCTGATACTTATTATATACTAAAATAGACCTTATATTTACTAAAGAATAAATTGAAAAAGGCAATTTCACTTTTTGTCAATGACTTAAAACTCGGGACTCTTTGATCCCTTTATGTTGGCCCATCTATATATCTTTTCAGATATTTATTCTTATTTAGGGGAGGATATCATATATATGTTTGACTGGATATAATTGTATACTTAAAGTTTCAGTTCTTTAAAGCTGTTGATGATGATAATTTATAAGTGATTTTATTTTGTATATTTATATTTTTATATTAACAAGTAAAAAATATTCTGCAAATCATCTAATATAATTTATTTATATCTTATTATCTGATTAATATATTATTTTATTTTTGTTATAGTCTATAAACAAAACTTATAGAGGAGTTTCTGTTTCCAAGACTTTGGATTAAATTGGCTGAACATTTCTAAAAATATTTCAATGGTCCAATAAACAACTGATTATTGTCCCTGCCTTTTCGAAGATTATTAAGTAACTGTTGTAACGTTTTGAAGGCACACAAACCCTGTCGGTGAAAAGCTAGCTCACCACCGAGAGTGGTTTATGCCCTTATATATTGGATACTTTCTTTTATGTGAATTCATCACCTTTAGTTTTCGCATATTGTTATGCTCATTACATGACGTTCTACCAACGTCGTTACATAACTTCCCCCTCCGAGAAGTCTCGTCCCGAGACTTGGCCTGGGAAATCCCTGGGTAAGGCGACTCCAGTCCGGCAGTTGACATCACCCCACAGTGGCCACCAATTGTAGCGTTTCAGGCACACAAACCCCGTCGGTAAAAAGCTAGCTCACCACCGAGAGTGGTTTATGCCCTTATATATTGGATACTTTCTTTTATGTGAATTCATCACCTTTAGTTTTCGCATATTGTTATGCTCATTACATGACGTTCTACCAACGTCGTTACACTGTTGATGCTAAAGTGCAATGTTTAAACAACTAATTTAAAAGTGATGTCAAACTGTTAGTTGATGGTCTAAGTGTTTATACAATGTACAGCTAATTAGGTGATGAGATTACTGTTAACACCATAATTACCTAAATTTGTTTAATGGCTACTGTTCAATAAATTGATAAAGAAATAATTTAAAAGAATAATTAATTTTATACACATTTTTAGCATTTCATTTTTTTATATTTGCAAAAAAAATGTATATATTTAATATATTGATATTATTTGTTATTTAAAAATATTAATTACTGTACTGGTAGTGGTTTCAGTATTCAAACTGATACTGATAATGTGTCTTTGTTGCATGAACATTTTCATTTCTATTTTATACTATTATCTTTCTTGATTTATTATATTATTCTGTTCTGTTCTGTTCTATTATATAGAATGAATTTTCTCATGTAACAAATGTTACTCTTATAATTAAAAGGATATTTAAGACATTTGTCTTTCATTTAAAGCTCTTATCATTCAACCCATACTTAAATGAGTAATAATAATATTATTCATCATAATTATGTTCTCCTCAAAACCAATAATACAATATTTTTACTCCAAGTAATTAACAGGAATTATTCAAAACACTGTTTAAACAGAACAAAATTCACTTTTCTGCAGAGGTGATACTGTACTGGATAGATTATAATTATTTACACATTCTGTTATATTTCAGTAAAAATTTACTTTTATAATCTTTCTTCAAATTCATAAATTCTTAACAATACTCTCAAATTCAACAAAATGAAACATGAAATTGAATTCCCCCTTTATATTTATGTAAGAAAATGCAAGTTACAGCTAGTGGGATAATTTATGAAATGAATTTTCTCTAGGGTGAAAGTAATAGAGATGCTCCCAGGCACAGGGAAAAAGAGCCCTCCCGCACCGCCTGATTACTAAAGGAAGGTATAAAACAGTTTGTTGAAAATAGGCGAGAATTGGTGTTAAAATTAGTCTCCTTTATTGATTCCTGATGGCTCAAGCGTACATGTATTCTGCGGCGAATCCAGTATGTTCGGCCTGATTTTCGTGTTACATCTGACCACTGTGACTGTGTTGTTTTCAATACAACAGAGGGACACATCTTTAAAACTGTGTCCCTCAAGATGAAAATGTTCAGCGACTGAGGATCTGTTAAATTTTCATGTTCTCCAGTCAGAGCGGTGTTAGTTCATTCGTTTACTTAATGGAAGTTTAGTTTCGCCGTCACATTGTTTGTTGCACACTTTGCAAGAAATATAAATAAAGTAAACATTAATTTTGCTGTTTTACAATTCTATTTTTGAGGAGAATGTATTTGTGAGGTGCATGGCAGCATAGGTTTGGCATCGTGATGTGCCACATGGTCCAGACTGACCTTCTTTATCTGTCATTATTGGTCTCAGTTGGGCTCGGACAAGTATGTCTCGAAGGCTTTTAGGACTCCTATATGCAATGATTGGTTTAGTTGATGGCTCTAGTGTTTGTTAGTTTCTCTTTATAAATATACACTTGGAGTTGTATATATCCGCCATTTATGTTTTGTAATTTCTGCCATTTTGTTTTACGAAACCAAATGTGTTTACATCTTCATCCATTATAGAGAAAAATATACATCTCTTAATCATTATGCTTTTTTCTTAAATTTTGCAACTACTTTTTCGTCACTACTGATCAGGGTATAAATTTTGAATACCTGTTTTGATTCCAATCAACATGGGGTTGTACATATCACTTAATTTTGTCATGTCAAACACGTCAGGAAATACAAAAGATGGACTAGTTCCTGTTTTGATCCCCATTAACATGGCAATATATGTAACGCTAAATTTTCTTATGCCAAACACACCACAAAATACCTTAAATACCTTACCTTAAAACACATCGTTCAATACATATTAAAGTTACATGTAGCTCTAGAAAAACTTGATTCACCAGTACGTCTTACAACAGGCTGATAAATACTTCTCAAGAATAACATGTGGGATTATGAAATAAAACAAATTGTCGCATAGAGATTTTGTTACTTGGTCTCTGTTTCCATTTTATTTATATTTCACCTGGTTTTAGCATGTTTTCAAATACATTACATTTTCATCATGTATGGTCTATGAAAATCTCACGAAAATATGAACTTGTGAGATAATTAATTGCTGATACAGATTATAACTTAATGATTCATAGCTTCCTCTTCATTTTAATATCTAGCTCTGTGGGTATAGGTATGGAATAAAATTATGTCCTTATCATTTTAAAGAATAGAAAAAAGTTATTTTAACTTATGTGATATCAATGTTAAAATTGATATTTATTCGTCCCAGTTCAGTAATGATTTTCCCAATTTTATTAAACATCATGACAACATGATTTTTTAAACATTTACTTTCAAGAATGTTTCAGTGAACTAAGTTTTTGATTTTTTTAATTGCTGAGGAAAAAATTGATCAGTTTTTCCAAATAGTTATCATATGCATTGAAATACTACATCTTGCATACTTAAAGCATAGAGATACTTTATTGAAATTTCTGAAGTTAGAAAAAAAAAAGAAATATACATACATGTAAGAATAATAGAATAGCAAATGTATAAAAACAATGTGTTTTTTATTAATTGAGAAGAATAAATTATTACTGAAGGTTGGGTGAGTTGTTATTGGGTAAATGGTCATATATTAGGTATGGATAATATCTCTGCTGAAGCCAAACATAAGATTTCTTTTTCTAAGGGAGAGAGAAAACTGCTAAGTGCTTGATAAAGGTATATTATCTACTGGTATATAATTTTGATTTATTTTAGGTGTCTTGAAAAATAATAAATTGTCAGGGACCTCTCTAATTATATTCTTTTAAAATAGAATTGTTAACATGTTGGAATGACTGTAGATTATATGACACTATGAAATTAGCCATAAATTAAAATGAATACACTTAAAGAATGGGTGCACTGATTACATGTTTTATGTTGCAATAGATAGTAACAAAATAAGTTTTCTTTTGACAGGCCTCAAACTCATTATCATAATTTGTGCCCTGAACCACAGTACTTATGGTCAAATATGACGTCACATAGCTGAAGTTTGTGGTATGAATTGTACACAATTGAAGCAAAACTTTTTAAAATATTTACTTCTAGCCTAAATACTCTGTTGTGTACTAAACATTCATAATTTTATTAAAAACACGCCATTTAATTTTAACTCTATAATATTATGTCTTTTACATTTAGGTTATCAAACATGTGTTTAAGATCTTGTCCTGAAGGGACAATCAGATAATAAAAACCCTGCTATATGTAATTAAGTGCACATTCTTTAAAATTAAGTCCACCCATTCTTTAAGTTAGACATATACCCATTAATTTAGCACCAAACTACAGCATTTATTCATTTACCAAACAGATAAAATTTAAAACATAGAGAGGAGGTCTGGATTTCAGTTGTGGACATTGCTAATACACTTTCATAATGAATAGAGCATGGTATAC